TACTCGCAAAGTTTTTGAGAGTGTCTACTCCCTGGGCTTTTGCTCTGGGCAAGTCCTTCTGTTCAAGCACCAAAGTCCCAGCCCGAAAGTACGTTGCTCCCGGAGTGAAATGCAGGCGCCAATACAAAAAGGGTTCATCACACAGCTGGTCCAGAAGGGCTTCTGTAATGATAATCTTGGATCGATGACCACCGCCTGAGCTTTTCGCTCGTCCTCCAACGTCCGCGCTTACCATGGAGCTTCGAGACACGCGCACGTACAACGCATTTACGATGTTGTCACGATGATGGGCTACTGGCAAAATCATCAGCGGGCCGGGAACTGCACGCCCATCTCTGCATGCGCCGTTGAGAGGGGATCGGATGGGTGAGCGGGCGGATGCGCAGCCGAACTAGAGATCTCCAAGCGACGATCATTTGGCCAGACGGGGGTCTACCATGATCGCGTCCTCTCCGACGTCCGGAATCCTTGCAGTGGCGTCCAGGCCGCCAGTCGTAATAAGCTTTCAAAACGGCCCCGTAAGCCAATTTTGTGGTTCTATGACGGCTCCCCGGAATGCCTCCAGCCCTACGGCACGCCTCTTGCCGACTAGGTTGGTTTTGCAACACTAACGCGACATCTATCCTGTCGGAACCTGAAAGCTTCCACCGGCGAATCCGCGTACAGTGGCGCAAGCGATGCGAACTCTACTCATCTGACCTGTCTTTCAACGTTGCTCGATTGACACTGTCGACTTTTGTCTTGAGATATTGAAAGTGTGTTCAGCACCGTCGGAAAGCGGAATAACTGTAGCGGCTTGTGGCAGAACTGTACAGTTCCCTGGTATCATTCAGCCATGAATAATTGACTTGGTTATAGATCCTTCCCATCGGGTTTTCGCGCTTCAGCCCTACGTCAATCGGTGGGATATTCTGCTTAGCTAGCCTTGGCATAGACTGCTCAATATGAATGAAGAGAATTAGGATCATTTTGTATAATTCATAGTACGCATGACTCTTGGTATGTTTGCATTGTGAGTTCGGATGCCCTCTCCCAATTGTAACCGTGTTTTCATGGGTTCTTTTCTCTTTCTTTCAAAATAGATGGGAGAAAGACCTTCCAAATATCCCCCCTCGGGGCCCTAGACCGAAGAAAAGAATGCGCTTCAGAAATGAGTAGTCTCAAAGATGGTCAGTGTTATTTCTCGAACATCCAGAGATTTGTACTTTCTGGCCTCGGCCTCTTCCACGTGGGGCTCGAGGGTGGGCTTTCAAACATCCAGAGATTTGTACTGTGCGGGCGCACTTGTCCCCTGCTATGGTCCAAGGGGCTTGCGAGTGCTTTTTCAGGGCTGCGGAGGTCCTTCAACTCCTGACTATCCCCCCTTTTGATGTCACTTGTCCCAAATCGTCCCCTCTTTTGCGTCGCGAGCGACTGCCATGGCGGTGTCTTGCACCATAAATCCGGGTCAACACCCGTCTGCGTCTGCGGTCGTCGCCGCCTATGAACTCCGGGGAACCATCTGGAGAGCACTGGGAGCATCTTTCTGTATATGTCTGTCGCCAAGGGCCGAATTCCTGGGATAGAGAGGGCAACGAGAGTCGCGCCAATTTCTGAGACCTCAATTGCAAGTAGAGGGCTGTAAATCCATGACTGGTCCGGTTGCCACTGTCCGTTGATGACGAGAATGAGACGAGCAACTGAAATGGCGACAACCCTTCGGATGTTAGTCAATCAATATTTCAGAATAAGGGCTTATGAAGCGACTTACAAGATGCCAGGCAACAAAATGCAAGCCATCTGAATCTTCCGTTTTCGAGCCATATCCAACATTCGTAACATTGCGATTGGTATCCCAAATAGCACAAAGTCGGAAAGAAGTGAAACGGCCGAGTTGATTCCGTAAACGAAACCCCATGGTAGGCACTTGTAGTCGGTGAACTGGGTTTGCCATGCGTATGGCCAGAGTGCTGTTACCGGAAGGCAGTGGAAAACAATTAGGAGCATCTGCGTCATGTATGACGCGAGCAGAAAGAGGGCAGCTCCCTTGATCGCCAGCAAAAATCGACTGTGAACAGCACACACGCGGTGGTAAAAAGCCAACCCAGAAAAGCGGCAAAACAAAAGCGCACTCGTGTAGATGAGGTGGGCAGTAAAATCGAGAATCTCGGTCTCGTCCAGGATACTTTGCGTCATGACAAATTGAATGAATTCAAAATGCCGGCCTGAACCGATGTTTATCAGTATAATGCATATGGGAACGAAGGCTATGAACATTGCCTGTGGCGGTCTAGTGAGCTTGGCTCTTCCATCGGTCTAGAAATCATCAATCCTTACCATTGATATCATAGCAAGGATGTCGTCAATCCCAAAGACTTTGCGAAGGTATAACCGCGAGAATGCTCGGCCGTTCACTACTACCAGTGTGAGTACAAACATGATGATGACTGCATACATCGACGGCGTGTCCCTGTCCTCCTCCAAGTATGCAAGGCTGATATCTGGTGGTACACGACCGGCCGCGATAGCAGCTGTGGCCTCAGAGTCGCCAAGCATTGTGATGGTGGCTGACGAGATATTGACGACCCGGCTGAAAAAGTCATGGGGCGAGAGAAGAAGGAAGCACAGAAGGACTCCGAAGATGAGGTGCTGCACCCAAAACCTTTATGTTATCAAGCTGGCGCTGCGAGCTCATGCGTCCTGTGTCCTAGTTCAGATTTGATCGGATGATGCAGATTCACAACTCTAGTTGGACGGACGGACATCCGAGTCTGTACGTATGCTTGGAGTGAGGCTGCCAAGAAGGTTCACACTTTTGTCTGGGCAAAGAAACCTTGTCGAAGCTTAAAACTAGCCTCCAGAAGTGATGCCCGTGCAATCGGCAGCTTCTTGCCTCACACGCCCTTCATCCATCAAGGCGGTGACAAGCGAGAAACCAAGATCATCAATGACCCAACTGTGGCCCTTTCAGCGAGATAAATCTCGTCTGTTGAATTTCCTGCAAAGATTTTGACGTATGAAGTCAATCGGAGTAGTATTTGACGAGATGCGGGTTGGATTGAATGCCGGGTCTGGCTTTTGGAGAAACCTAAGCAATTTGGCAAATCACCAACGGATCACATGGCTCCTCCCTCCTACAACTGGGTCACCCCGTCAATAGCTTCAATTGCCGCGCTTCCAATCAAGCCTTCTGTCAGGGTCCATCTCCATACCGATCAAACCAGAATAGCCGTACATAGCCTATCGGAAGCAGACGAAACGACCAGCTCCAAAAGTGAACGAACGAGAGTTTGGCGTCCATTTGGGTTGTTCTTAGGAAGAACACAGCGAGCAGTGCAAGAGCCACATGCAGCCATGGATCAAACTCATATTGGATGCTACCTCGTCCTTGAGGGAGGTGCACTGCCACAAAGGCATAAAGAGAGCCGACGTTTTGGAGCTGAGAATATCCGAGTTCGAGACTGTAATTACAACATACTTGTCCGGCTTCAACTTTGGCTGTTTTCGCAACACTAATCAATCAGTTTCAATCATTTGTCCTCCCGCAATCCAGACAGCGGACCTTGGTTGCACTGTCAAAGCACGGGTGGGCCACAAAAGAAGCAAAACTACGCGGATCGCTAGAAATAATCCCCATATCGGGGTCACGCCCACTACAATCTGATATTTCATTCCCGACCCTTGGCTAGCCACGACCCAGCATGGCATTCAGAGCAGGCAAATCGCCATGGCGCCATAGCTTAAAGAGGTAGGGTTTCAGTAACACGAAGCATTCCCATATAAAGGCAACGCTTCAAGTCGCATCCTGCGATATACTTTTGAAAATGACTTATGGACAGGCCTTGGCGTGCGTACGCCTGCAACGAATCGTTGGGCATTAAGACCAATCAAAGCCGAGCCGATGTAGAAAAGCATTTTACTGACTTTAATTTTGTAGAGCCTCAATAGCAAATTCAGGTTGTGCTAGAACTGCAATTCTACTCATTCGTACGCATGAGTCAGCAGCCCAGAAGTCTATAGTAACCACCACTTCTAGCCAGCCTGGGCTTAGTGAATACATGCCTTTAGAACCCCTGGTTTTTGATGCATCAACCCGTCTACAGTCCTTCTATTAGCCCTCGCTGAGGGTCTTGCCGCATTATTAGCAGTGCCCAGCATTGATAGTGAGGGGGTTGGAGATCACGTTGTACATCGCACCGGGATCATGGCGCTGAGACGGTACTAGGGCTTGCGATTGATGTGCCTCTTCCAAATTTGCGGAAAGCCCATAGCAAGCAGGCACCGGCCGAGAATAGATTTAGTGAACAGCTATGAGAGTGACGCTGATCGGTGCAACAATGTGTGTTGGTATTAACCGTTCTTGGTCCTGTGATTCTTTGAGCTGCGCATGTTAGGTGACTGTGGTCCTATCGGCGCTCCTGTGCTATGCATGACGAATTCGATGTACAGCGGGTTCACATTGGCCTGTACCGGATCGATATCTAGGTAACGGCTGAAATGATCAAATCCAAAAGAGCGACATCGCCAAGAGCTCCACTGATAATCGCGTAGACGAAAAGATAGTTGAAGAGAATAACAAAGGAGGGTCTGGACGAAGTTGGCATCCACGTAGAATAGTTTGACAAGCCCGGCCATGGCTTCGATTCTGTTAGGTTAACCGCAGTGGCTTCAACGTCGACCGAAGCCCTCCGTCATCGACCTCGCTACGCATCAGCGAAACGGAGGGCGCTAGACCAAGATGGATCGACATCGCCAAGTTTCCGTCCGAAGGTGCCACCACATCTCCGCCCCCTGTAAATCCGATCCAACAAAAGGCCCCAAGAAAATAACATCGATGGAATACTAGCATTTTTGACTAAATGCGAGGGTCTCGACTCTGGGCCGTGGCCGGCTGCGATGGCCCCAGTCACTCGGTCATATATCCAGCCCGGCCGAATACATATTGATCATCCTCCCTCGATTCTGCATCTTGGTGGCCTCCGGTTTAATCTCTTCACTTATCCATCCGCGTCCCTCCAACAATGGTCCGCCTCTCGCTCGCCAACATGGCCTTGGGCGCCGCAGCCGCCGTCCGATGCCTTGCCTCCGGGGATTGCGTTGGCGTTGACGCTATCGGCATCAAGTGCGCCTCAAAGGAAGCGGCGCATCCACAGGACTTCTTCTACGTCGGCGGGCGCTACATCGAAGGCGCCTCGGGCAACGTCACGGTCGATCAGCTATTTTGTTGAGAAGCTCGCTTCCGTTGACGCCCACTGTAGCTGGCGCCGTCGAGGCGTCGCCGCTACGAAACCCATCGTCTTCTTCCACGGCGGTCGCACTACAGGCGTCACGTGGCTCAACACTCCCGACAATCGCCCCGGATGGGCGACGTACTTTCTTCAGAAGGGGCACACGGTGTACCTAGTTGACATCACGGGGATAGGAAGGTCGACGGAGAACAACATCGCGGCCTTCACCATGCTCGCTGGTACGGCAGCCGAGGGCGTAAAGAGGGGCTTCACAAACGTCGAGGCGTACGTTACCTATCCTCAGGCTATACTCCATACACAGTGGCCCGGCACCGGGAAGAAGGGCGACGCCGCGTTCGAGCATTTCAAGAAGGCCATTATCCCGCTCTCCACCAGTCGGATCCCACAGGGACTCGCCCTGCGAGCCTCGGGCTGCGAGCTCCTCTCCGTCCTCGGCGAGAAGGCCTACCTCATCTCCCACTCCATCGGAGCCCGCGCGCCGATCCTGCTGTCCAACGATTGCCCGCAGTAAATCGCTGGCAACATCAATCTCGAGGGCACGACGGTTCCGTTCTGGTCGTTCGAGTACCGCGCGGCGGCGAACCCGTGGGGGCTGACCAATATGCCAATCGACTACGACCCGCCTGTCGCCAGTGCGGAGGAGCTCGAGATTGAATTAGTCGGCAACGACACATCTGCATTGCGCAGCTGCTATCGTCAAAAAGAGCCGGCACGGAAGTTGCCCAACATCGCGAGCGTGCCGTATCTGATGGTCACGGCGGAGGCGAGTTTCCACGCCACATACGATCACTGCACGGTGAACTATCTGAAGCAGACTGGTGGGGAACCGGAATGGATCAAGTTGGGTGAGAGAGGAATCCATGGCAACGGCCACTTCATGCACTTGGAGAAGAACAGCTTAGAGATTGCCGAGGTTTTCAACCAATGGATCCAAAATAAGGAGAGTGCCTAGTTCTGACGGAACAAAGGGCAGTGTTTACATAAGATCAAGTTTTTGTATCCTTGTGTCTCTGGGTGAAATATGTGGTTCAATCGAGTTTGGCCAGGTGGTCGTTCCACAGTGTCTTTCAAGAGACAGACTGATCAACATGCAAACCCAATCATACGAAATGGCAGCATTTACTCGACATTGCCACAGCACATATTTACGTTCCCAGGTTTAAAGTACGAGGATTTATGTGCGAAACGATCTACAGGATGGCTTCTTGGGTTTCTGAGCTATTCAAGAAAGCTATGGATAAGTACTTTTCCTCCCTCTTTCTATTCTGGGAAGCATGCCTGAGCAGATATATCATGCATCACAAACCGAATATAGGGGATCTAGAAAAGACTGATAGGGCCACACAGAGATGAAAGAGACGGGGATGCTCTATGCTATTCTGATGCCTTACATGGTCGCGGACTTCCTCACACGTGAGAATCTGCAGCTCGCGTGCAGGATGTAAAAGAGGAGAACCAGACTTTGACGCCCCAGCTCGACCGCCTACTATGATCCGTCAGGAGTATCACCGCATCTCCTGGAAGGACGATATCATGTCCTACAGTCGTCTCCAGCGGAAGTAGGGAAAAAAGGCATTTCCTATGGAAAGCCTGTATGGGCTTCTGGAGCGGATCGATGTACAGTAGAAAGAGAGGCTCTGAAGCGTCAGCAAGGAGCACTGGCCAAGGCATGACTGCGGCCAGTAGCGGGTACTTTTGGACTTTCCATAGTCCAGAGCCGCCGGGCTGGAGAGAAAACAATCCTCCTGGTTGTCCATTTTTCTTTGCCTTCACTGTGCCGCTCTCTGGTGATATTGCCGTTTTGTTCTACGCATGCCGAGACGAGTCATCCGCTTATTTCTTTGGATCGGGCCCGGACGGCATGTATGTGTGAGAGAGATAGCTCTTACGGTAAGGGCTCTTCTATGCTCAAGCTCTGGTGCGATAATAGGGAACAGGCGTTCTGCCCAACTCCGTTTCATCATCTGGGATGGGCCGATGAGCCTGTCCTCGGGCGGCAACTCATAAGTAAGTAGCCAACAACGACATAATAGATACACTCTCAAATCGGGTTTCGCGCTGAGATTGAATTTGAAATATTTTGATCACGTCAATTTGAGAAAGATTCGCTGACTCCAAGTACGTCTGGGTTTCGATGGGAATTAATTAGTAAATAGGAAAGAAATTGCGCAAGAGTGCATTTTAGACCGCCCATGAATATCAAACGCTCGACTTTAAGCTCACATCATCGAAAAACAAACACCTCTGGACTTATCTTAAAAGTCCACATTATCATATACGCCCAAGGGTCGTAAAGATAACAACCCCTTCCCTCACCTGCCGAGCTTCGCGGTCTCCCTCCAGACCGGTAGCAGCACGAACAGCAATACGGACAAGCTGGCGAACATGGCACCCCCTGCCATGGCCTGGAGCACGATCTTATGCTGCAACTTGCGCAGGTGGGTATCCTTGACGCGGATCTTGCGGTCAAAGATCATCATACGGGAGATGAACTTCATGAGGCCAGTCCGCTGCGACAGAAGCGAGGCGCTGTCGTCGAAGCGCTCCCAGGGGAGAGGCTGGCGGCGCGTGAAGAGAAGGAGGAAGAAGCAGCTGCCACGGAGGCCGGATAGAATGAGGGACATGCCGACGAACCACATGGGCCAAGGGGCAAAAGCGTTCCAGCGGCTATGTGCGCCCGTGAAGGGAACAAAGGCGCGGAGGAACACACAAAGGAAGCCGGCGATGGTGAGGACGATGCCGACACTAGTGGCCATGCAAAGGGTCTCGAAAGTGCCGTTGGAGACGCCAAGCCGTACAAAGTTGCGATGAGAGCAGTTCTTGAGCAGGCCGTAGACATGTTCGGCGATGGGTTTCAGATGCACGGGGTCGGACGAGTGCTGAAGGTCGAGGAGGGCCTGGTCGCGCAGGGCGGGCGGGATGTTTAGTTCCTTCTCGGAATCGGGCAGCAGAAAGTTCTTGACAATGGCGTTGAGTTCGGCGCGGTACGCCGAGTTCGGTGCGATGCGGGCTGGAATGGTGGCGACATTGCTGACGGGCCTGGCACAGCCATTGGCCCAGGACTTGATACGATCGCGGCCAGTCGGGCCGATTCTACTGTTAGGCTGGCAGGCAGTCTCCGGGGCGATCAGGTTGACAATGTTGGTCATTGTCTCGTTGGCTTGAAAATTGTTAGTCCCAGTCTGGTCAACAATGAAGGAATGTACAGGGCATAAGCAGGTTCCTTACCAGCCTCAGGGTCACAGTCAAACTCAGACATGTTGATGGATGGTAGCTTTATGCCAGCCACTTCGGCAGCGGCATCATTCACACTATTCCTCGATGATGACGACTGGCTAGCATCCTTCTCGGCAATGGGGTAGTTGTTCAGACTTCCGGTCCTCGCGTACGACGCTTCATAGTTGCGGAACCTGGGTACGTGGTCAGGCCTGGACCCGATACCGTAATACAAAAAGGCTTACCAGACGAAGAACTCGAGGTTCTCGGGGGAAAATTCGATGTACTTGAGGTACATGTAAAAGTCGTACAGTGACATGGGAGAGCCTGTGGTTGGCCGTGTCAGCCATCGTTCGACTCGTCAAGAAGATGGTTGTTAACGTCGCGATGTCGTTAGTAGGATAAGCTCACAGGTCTCGTTTGCCAGGACTTTCTCCAAGCTCAATCGTGCCGGGATTTGAGTTTTGTCTCGTCCGTCTCTGCTCATGGGCCTCCTTCCGTTCCGGATAGCGGTGGCATACTCTCTGAAATCTCGGTACTCGGGCTTTTTGTACCAGACCAACCAGTCGGGAAAGTTGAACCTGGATGGCTTCGTCATCTGGAGTTCGACATTCGCCTCCTCCCTCCTCGTGTTCCTCTCTTTGCTTGCTTCCATGTCGAAGAGTATGTTGTGTTTGGGTGAGGTTTTCTCGCGTTCGACAAAGTACTGGAGAGAGTGGATACACGGGCTATGAGGTTCAAGGCAGGATGTCCGCCAGAGTCATATATGAGGTCCCCGTCTTTTTAGTGTCTTTTTGCAAGTGCCATGGGCGCAGCCCGTATCGCTGATCAGACAGAACAGGGGGGCTCTGCGGATGCGGATGGAGTGGGCTTGTGTAAGACTCACTCCTCGACGAGGCCGAGTGCGCGCCACTGGTCCTAGTCGGCTGCATACAGTTCTCGCACGGGCTTGTAGCTAAACCAGTGGGAGGGAACGAATCAATTGAGATTATTTGGTCAGTGGCATCTGGCTAGGCCGTTGGAGAGTGCACCGTTTGTTCCGGCAGCCATGTCTCACGATGGCTGGCCAATAGCAACACAGGCGGAACACAACGCCATGGCTGTTTGTAGACGAACAAGAGGAGGGGTTGCACTCGACAATTCCGGGCTCGGGATGGAGAGAGTCCACGGGGCGGCGCAATAGCAACCGGATCCAGAGAGTCGAGTCAAAGCGTCTCGATGGAAAGGTGACTTTTTGTCTAGCACAGCGAATTAGCGCATTTCACTATTCCGAGTTGGGCTGAAGAATCTGCACTTAGACAAAATCTTGCTTGTGGTCTCCCTCCCTAGAGCAAGCTTCGAATGCGGATGTGGCGAGAAAGGCAAGCAGCAGCATTTTGGACAGCTTGTCCTGCTCTTGTCCGTGTCTTGGAATGACAAGATTTGTTTGTGTCGCCCCTCCCCTCCCGGAATACAAACAAAGGAAATGACCGGACCCAATCTCGACTTCCATTTCTTTAGGACCACTGTTCGTATCCGTTTCGCCAAGCTGTGTCGGGCTCGGATGGAAGAGTCTTAGGCCTAGCCAAAGAATGCTGTTTGTTGACAAAGGCCCAACAAAGATGGAGCAAGATCAGACATTTCATCGTGGTGACCGTCTCTGGCTCAGACATATCCCGGAAGCCGTTCTCGGGCCGTGTTTCTCCTCAAAAGGGCGGCCCTGTCGTGTTTGTTGGGTATCTGTCCGGTGGGTGACTAGCGCTAGGCTGGGAGTCGTCGCACCCTGCCTTATCGTATACCCAGATCCAGAATGGCAGGGTCATTACGGCGTCAGACGCAGCGATGTGGAGAGCCGATGCAAGGCCACCACGTGGCAAAGTAAATGGGAATGGGATGGATGGTCAGACAGACGGACGTGGTGGGACGGAGAGGTGAGTGCCTGATGTGCCTGAGGTACCTGCGTCGACGCAGAGGCCGCTCGCTAGTTGCATATACTATGTATTTATGTACTCCGTATACCTACCCAAGTCGGTCCTACTGCGGGGTTGCCTTTATACCCGGATAGGCAGGTATAGGTAGGGAAACAGGCATGGATACATGGTAATTCGCTCACTCGTTCACCATTGTCTTTCTTTTCTCACAATTACATCCAATCAATCAGTCATTCAAACCTCCCTTGACGCTAGTCCGGAGCAGCTCACTGGTTTAAACGCCAACTCCAGAAGAGCGTTTGCTTCTTCGCGGACCAGAGCAGACACAAGCTGGGACATGAAGTTATTGTTCGAATGAGAACTGAATTATCGATTCCACTCGACTAAACTGAACCAAGAGGTTCTGCAAACGGTTGGTTCAGTTTGTTCTTTCCTCCCTTCCCACATTCATAGTCACATTCACATTTGCTCTAGTGTATGGATATACTCTACTAGTAAAGCCACCTGAGCCGCGGATCACAAGTTGCAAGCCACCTACCCAGAGGCTTTCCGCTTCCATTCCGCACATCCAGCATCACGGTCACAACCCTAGCCAGGAGGTGCGACGCCATCACTGCTTTTCTCAGCACGTCAATCACCCGGCACCCCGGCGCACGTCCGTGTCCGCGTCATGGTCAACACTCTGCCATCCACAAGACACAAGCAAACCAGGCTACTCATGCGGCCAGGAAGGACTTTCTGTTTGTGCAACCTTCATCAGCATACGATGATGCCAAGAATGCGTCTAGTATCTCTTAGTGTCACAGACACGCGACGGCAGCAGCGGCTGTGAGATGCCACAATACATGAGGCGCGTGGGACTATGCCACGCGTACCGAACTTCGTATATCGAGGGCAATCTCTACGCTCTCCCCTTCTTCTCTTTGTGTTTGAAGGAGCTGAAATCGGCTTTTTTCCGCAATCCACCCGGATATTCGTCTGTCAGTTTTAGCTGCATGCGGGATGGCGTTGATCGAGGAACTCTGGCTTGTTTGCCACTGGAACCAGTAATCACGACGCAAACAACCCACCGGTGATGCGAGGATCCTGCCATTTCACCCCCCTCCTATTGTCTTTGGACTAGTCCAGGAGCATCTCGACCTCTTTCGGTCGCTTATTGCTCCTCTCGGCCCGGTGGCTCCTGGGGAGCCGCCATCGATGCAACCGTAGATATGCCTAGAGCATAGGTAATTACAAGATGTATCGATATAGGTACAAGCCGCCGGCGAGTTGCTACGTTATATTAAATTGACAAGCTTTGCGTCTCGCCCTCACCCAATCGCGATCGCCAATATCGGTTTCTTTCCCCGCGAGCGGGGCGCTTGGTCATTTTTTTTGTTGTTTTCTGTGATTGTGATGGGATGGGCACGATATCATGGCTCCACTGTTTGATCCCCTGCCTAGCTGCTGATCATCCGTAGATGTTCGGACACTACGGATACCTAGCAGGAATTCGGCATCCCGGGTCAGCTGTTAGCCTGTTGTAGAATTTTTGGACCCAAATTTCGGCCCAATGTCGGTGCAGGTGTCCAGTGTCCAAGCCATGGCCCGATTACATCCTTCCATTGAAAAAAAGTCCATGTCACCGTAGTTCAGAACGGTAATAAAATCATGCTTCCATAGATCCGGTCATGTGGCCGTGGAAGGAGATCGGCAGTGCGATTTCTGGCTGCCCTCTGCAATCAAACCAAGATGTTTAGCTTCCGAACAGAAGTGCATTCCAATAGCGAGCCAGATTCGCGCACCGACCGCGCTGGAACCTATCTCATCATTCCAGCGCCTAGGTTTCATTTCCATTCTGTGCTCTCGCGGTTAAGTTGAAGAAAGTACCGGCCTTGACAAGTTTCTGGTCAAACCTCGCCCGACATATGCCACTCGGGCCCGGTCAAACCCCGCATCTCCCAATCTACAAGCCTCCACACCGCCCCGGATCGCCCACGGAGACTGCCTCCGGGATGGCGAGATCACTGCAAAAACAACTTGACACTATATGGCCCCCTCTTCACGGCGCTGTACTTCGTATTGCCCCGTATTCTACCCGCTTAGCAGGGCCAGGCACCCTTGCCAGTGTAGAAAAGACTTGGCCGGACGGGTTCTTGGCTGCATGGACCACCGTCTCAAGTTTAATCATAACGAGCACCTTCCTCTTTCAGCAGTACGGAGGAGCAGAAGGTATCGCGCCTTCACGCGGGCATATACGCTAATGTCCCGCCTGATTCTCACGATGCCAATCTGTTCCGGTCCTCCTGTGCTTGAAACCGAATGTTTGACACTATGAAATTCAGCTCGTTGCTTGCGAACGCCGCCGCCGTGTTGGAGATGGCATCGCTGGCGATGGCGCAGGAGAAGTGCGGCAGCGAGGAGCCGGGCGCCGAAGCGTATCAGGCCGCCGTGAGCTTGCGCGCCGTTCAACGCGCCGAGGGCTTGTCGGCCTATGTTCTTGCCAAGCGTGCAAAGGGTCTGCTCATTATGACATATCTGCATGTTGTCGAGGACGAGGCTCATAGGGGGTTTGTCACGGACAAAATGATTGACGACCAGGTAATAGCACCATAATGCACCAGCCCCAAACCCGCCATTGTCGAAAGAAAGGAGCGCCAGCAGTTTTATGTGTGCCTTCCGCTGACAAGCAGGGGCAGATGAGAGTCCTAAACGCGACTTTTGCGCCACATAACATCCAATTCGTCGTCAGGAACGTCACCCATACCGTCAACGATGCCTGGACGGTTCAGGCCCGCATCAAGGAGAAGGCCGAGGCCCTCCGCCAAGGGCGCCTACGACGACCTCAACATATACTTCGAGACAGGGTTCATGAAGCCCAACTCCGTGACCGGCCTGTGCAGCTTTCCAGTCGAAGACCCCTGGAATACGGGCATCAACGGCACGTCGTGGTACGCATATGACGGCTGCCACGTCAGCGCCGGCACCATGCCCGGCGGGCCCGGATATCCCTGGGACGCGGGGGACAACCTGGGCAAGACGGCGACACACGAGGTCGGGCACTGGCTTGGCCTCTTTCACGTGTTTGAGGGGTTCGATTGCGACGGTGAGGGGGATCTGATCGACGACACGCCCCCGACAAAGGTTGCCACGGTAGGTTGTCCTCTAACCCAGGATTCGTGTCCCGAAAATCCTGGACTAGATCCAATTCACAATTATATGGATTACACGAGGCACGCGTGGTAAGATTACTACTTTCCCTCCCACTCATCTCATGGTGATTCATGATTCCCTAACAAGAGACAGTCTTTCAGAGTTTACGCCTTTGCAGGAGGAGCGAATGTATCTGTCCTTTAATACCCTGAGACTCGGGAGATGACAATTATATTATGCATCAGTATGATGTCGAGAACGGCTTCGTGTGACTAGTACTAGTCAGTTATGGCTGCCACAAATGGGTCACCACACCTATAGCCCACTTCATATGGGTATTTCTACCCAGCATCATCTCAAATGTAGATTCTATATAGGGAAAATGCTTTCCATTCTTTATAGAAGTCATTGCGGCTCACCACATATTGTATCTTGTTCGTACACACTTAGCAAATGGCTGCCTGTAATCAGTGAATATTCGTTGCACCAGCCGAATGCCTTGACGGAAGAAACAGGCAGTAACAAGCTAATATACCGCCGTGAAAACCTTTTAGCAGTATTGTGTTTTTGAATACAAACAACAGGGATCATCCCCAACGCCGGAATTTCCTTTTTCGACTGGCGACACGGGGACAGACCATCCCATATATAGACGCCGTAGCAGACTTGGGCAATGGCAAAGGTTTCAGGAGTTGATGACAGAAAGCTTATTGATTCATTTCACAATAAATAGAGTTTATCGACATATGGGAATTCCCAGGGACTTGGCGCAGGCCTTTAGGTTCAGAATAGATGGCTGGGAGTCGGCCTAAACATCGCCTAGGGTTAGCCTCTACGTCCTATGTACATTTCACTTCATTTACAGAGGACATATCCCTTAAGTGGCAGATAAATAATCGGTATTATTTTAGTCGGGTGTACTGCGTATTAATCACGTCCACTAGAAATCATTCCCCTATACGGATAATTACTCGTTACTTACACGTGTATAATCTTACCAATACGTAAGCCGTGAGCTGGAGATACTACATGTTTGGCTTACCCTCATGCTTAAAAACTATCATTGCGGACAGTTCTGTAGAACATACTACTATCTGAAGTGGTATGATCGAGTATCTCGCTTGGTAACATGGAGTTCCAGCATTACCTATATCCTCGCTTCCAGCTCTCAGATAGAAACAGACCGTATAGTCTCATTCCACCAAGATATTTCGTTACCATTTCAAGCTAGTGCAGATGTCAGAAATGCTTATTTGCTGACAAGGAACGGCTGATATGTAGCCACCCGACTGAAGAACATCCCTTGCACAGAGCTGTACTCGTGTTCGGGAAGATTCTTCAAAATCTCACATAGTTGTGGCTCAATGCTCTCAAGCCTCTCAGTCTTGCTTCGTCGGATGTTCCACTGATCAATATGTCATCTCGAGTTAAAGATGAATTTGAAAACAAAACAAGACCTTGATCTATTCAGGCCTCTGGATACTATGTCCCACCATTCGATAGACTTCTATCGCAACTCAACCTGCAGACAAAAATGTTACATTCATCGCCTGTTTCCTTGCTCTCGTCACACATGCAGCTACAACTCTAGTCCGCTATAACGCCGACAAGTAAGTCACCTACCCCAGCCGACTCAAGATGCTGTTTATTAATCGGTTCACGCTGCTACCGCGCCCCTTTCCCTTGCCTGTCTTCATCTGTTGTTTCCTCCGCTTCCGCTTTCTGCGCAACAATCACTAATAGTGGCACCATTGCCGCGGACTTCCCCTCCCGTGCCACGTTGGCGTGCGGCACCGTGAAAAGCCAGTATATCTCAGCGTGTAGTTGCTGCCTAACCTGTTACGTGACTCCCACTCCGATGCCGACATCGTGTTCGACCTACGGCAGTCCCCGCTCATCGGCGATTTCGAATGCGGAATTCCTCCATGGACCGTCGAACTTCCTGGCTCCAATGCTCGCACCGCTATCGCATGTTTTTCCGCGAACCCCGGGCAGAGTTCGTTCGAGGCAAAGCTGCTCAAGAACCGGCCTCTCCAGGAACTCATACTCAGCGTTAGTGCCAGCAGTCGGATTTCTCCGTGCAGCTAAACGAGCCTGGCAAGTTGACCACTGCCCTATGGTTCGCCGATATGGATGCTGGGTTTGTAATGATTACGCTCAACGGAACGCGAGTAATGACAATTGATGCAAGAGACGGTGTGGGTTGGGGTGTATGGAAGGCGGTCCGTTATGCCGTTTGTTACGACCGTTGGAACCTCCCAAAGTGGAAACCTAACAGTTGATGAGAAGTCATAAAAAATCATCAGTTTTTTTGCATCATGTCTGCATTCTCTTGTGAGATAACTAGGCTCTGTATCTTCTAGTGCTTGGCATACGGTAGGTAGAGCCTTCCTAACTTTCCAGCTTGATACTACCCGTTCATTGTCATGTGGCCGAGGAACTTTCTCTCGGGTTAAAGGACCTCTTACAAGATTCAAGTCTTCGTAGTAGGAAATACATTTTGCCTGTTGAGGAAATGGACTCGCTTTGTTGTGCTGGGTATCTAAACAATGAGAAGCGTAGGTTCATTTGACCTATCGTTGTATTAGTTTCTCCTTCGATGGATTGGATAGTTAAGCAAGATAGAAAGGAAGATAAGCTAGTAATTCTCAATCATTACATGCTGCGGCACGTTTATATTTGCTAAGTGTACGAAATGAGCCTGAAGATATCAAACCCAGATAACGACCCAACAGTATGATCGGGGATCAGCCACTTGATTGTGGGTTGAAAGAGACCGACAGCCGAATGAGTACCAATGCATGCATAACGGTTTCATATATCACTGCATCCTCCAATGGCATTGCCAAAGGAATTGAAAAGTACAACAACGACCAAATAATCTGTATCGAGTGATAGTAGACCTAACCATTTCCCAATTTTGGAGCTCGCACCGCAAAACCAGCACGGCAAATTACCTGCGCGAGTCATTGCCCCAGGGCCTGAAGGGCGATTAAGCAGAGAACTTACAACGGACTGCCCTATTGTCCACCCGCTGACTGCATTATCTTACAAGCTTGCCACTTGACCCTCTTCCGAGATGGGGCATGCAATCTCGGCTGATTACTGCCTGTTTACGTTTCCAGTCTATTCCCGATATAGGCCGACGCTACAAAACCAAAGGAGGAATAACCAGGTTCTCGGATCGGAACCGAAGACGCCTGCTCTTCAGAGTTTTTTTTTTTGGTTTCGCTTGGAGGCGAAGCCCCTCATTTACTTGCTCACCTAGTTCCAAGTCTGCTTTATAATCCTTGTCACCGTTAAGGCTTAGATCAACCTTTTAGTTGTGGTTTTGTCTTTTCGTCCTGTCTCCAAACCTAGAAAGCTTGAGTCACAAGAACAAATAACTACCTAGACAACGCCCTTCAGCAAACTCTATCAGCCGAACTACCGGCGTCGTTGCCCACCGCCGAAGCCGGCCCCTCTTCCGAGCCTCACACGTTGCGCGTTTCATGACTTCTTACCGTAACTTCATTACTATCGACAACAACGCACACAGGCTAAGCTGGCGCTGCCCGGTATGCCTTCTCACTCTGCTCTATTTGATCAACAGGACAGCCACGGACTCGTGGTACGGGTGCCTGACAGTGCTTCCAGTGCAGCCGATAACGAGAAGAATGACGACTCGTCAAAGAACGCGACCGTCCAGCAGCCGCGCGACGATGTAGAGTTCAAGGAAGGCGGCTATGGATGGTGAGTCTCAGGCCACTGTGCTGGTTCCGCATGATGCTGACGTCTGCAACAGGGTCGTCGTTGGATGTGTCTTCCTCACCAATGCTCACACCTGGGGTTTGAATTCAGTGAGTTGATAGCTGCTACCCGTGACTGTACGCCGAGTAGGCTTTCTCATCGGTGGTTTAGTCCTACGCCGTCTTCCTCGCATACTACCTTCACTCTGGAGCATTTCCCGGCGCCAGCCCGATCGAACTGGCTTTCGTCGGCGGTTTATCCTTTTCTGTGGGTAAGTTTGGCTCCCCATTTCCCCCATTCCCCCGGGTGTCCCCGCGTCACCTCGCTCACATCCTCGGACCAGCTCTGCTCAGCTCTCCGATCGTCACCTTCTGCATCCCCCGCATCGGAACCCAAGCTTCTCTCGGTATCGGCGTCGTGGTCCAAGCGTAAGTCCGTCCCTTCTAACTCCGCATAATACTCCGGATTCTCACAATTTCTCCGTCCCAGAGCCGCCCTTATCGGCGCCTCGTTTACGACTAAAATATGGCATCTTCTCCTCTCGCAAGGCATCGGCTTTGGCGTGGGAATGGGGTTCACCTTTAACTCCACCGTCGGTCTTGTTTCTCAGTGGTTTGTTGTCCGTCGTTCATTCGCCAACTCCATCGCTACCGCCGGCTCCGGCTTTGGTGGCCTCATATATTCACTTGGCACCAACGCCATGATCCGTAACATCAGCCTGCCGTGGGCGTTCCGCATCCTTGCGATTTTGTCCTTCGTCGTCAACGGTTTGTGCTGTCTGGTGGTTAAGGACCGCAACAAGGCTCTCGGCAGTGTGCACATACCATTTCACAAGGACATCTTCAAAAGGGGTGAGTTTTGGCTGTGTGTGTCTTGGGGCTTTTTTGGGTTGTTCGGCTACGTGATATCCGTCTTCTCGTTAGCGGACTATGCCCAGACTGTTGGCTTCAGTGCCAGTCAGGGATCGATCGTATCGGCGATATTTAATTGTAGGTAGTCCAGTTACTCTGTAGACGAGTGCGAGGCGCTGACCTGTCGTGCAGTATCTCAGGGTATCGGACGCCCCATCATCGGCCTAGTCAGTGATCGCTTCGGCCGCATCAACGTTGCTGGGCTGAGCACCCTTATCGCTGGCCTCGCGACATTCTTCATCTGGATCTTCGCCGGGAAGTACCTTGTGGGCATCATTTTTTTCGCACTTTTTGGCGCCTTTTCTGGCGTGCTCTGGACGACCGTCGCACCTGTCGCTACCGAAGTCGTTGGAATCCAACTCCTCCCGTCGGCAATGTCCATCTTCTGGATGGTTCTCGTCATCCCAGCAACCTTTGCCGAGCCTATTGGTCTGACGATCAAGACCTCCAGTATCGACGCCTACTTAAACGTTCAGGTGTTCACGGGCTTTATGTATATTGCGGCCTTCCTATCAAGTAAGTTGAGGTTCAACCAGTAGCTTAAATGTTTCGGTGTGCTGATCAATCTCAGTCTGGTTTCTTCGCGTTTGGAAAATCCGGCAATTGGAGAAAATTGCGCTGTCGGGAGAACAGGAAGAATATGTCCTGCACGACAACAATGCTGTTTCTTTGACGACTTCGCGACGCACTGGGCCTAAGCTAAGCATCATCAAGTCTGTGTGGAAAGGCATGTTAAATGTGCAGCGTGTTTGAGAAATACCCTCTGGAGAATGAGTTAGTGGTAAATTATTCTGGATAATGTCCAGTAGAATCAATGCTGGTGTACTACACCCTTAGTAGTAATATATTGTTGCTCAATTTCCCTCATCTCAGCCAAAGAGTCTCCAGAACCCAGGGATAAAGCTCGCCATCAGCCCTCGAGCCACTCTATACAAGATTTCAGAGCCATATCTCGAGAAGCCCTTCTTGGCCATATTTGAAGTAACACCGACCGCCCCAACCTCTTCATACGCCTCTTTCGTCGCCAACTCTGCAAACGCTGCGCCGAGATCTGCATACGACACTGCAAGGCCTACCGACTCAGCGCTAATGATATACCCGCTCGCTTCTTCCTCAATGATTGCCGGTGGCTGTACGAGCTGTAACTTCAGCAGTTCCGGCTCGGATTGCAATGTCTCGTGCGCGCTGAGAAGGTCTGCGTAGGGATAGTAGAACGCATTTTTTATGAGCCAGCTCACGGCCACGGGTGTTTGTGCATCGAACCGCTTGTTCCATGTTGCCGACGACAGCAGGAGAAATCGTGGTGGTTTCCACTTCCCACCTGCATTGCTCTTAAGTTGATATAATGCAGTGACAATCGACTCTGTAGCGTCTCGCAGCACATGCACGGTGGGTTTGTTGTCGTTGTCACCGAGAGCGCAGATGATGGTATCCGCATCCAAAAGACAATGTTTTACGGAGGAAATGTCGGTGACTTGTCCTTCGATAATCCTCACGTCTCGGTCAGTCTTGAACTGAGGGAACATGGAAATAAGTTTATCGCGGGAGCGGACAAAGATCCTCAGCCTAAAAGGGTGATCCGGCTTGGCAAGGATTGCTTCCAAAGTTTCGCTTCCGGTACGACCTGTTGCGCCAAAGATGGCCAGGGTGCGTTCAGTGATTGGCGGCGGCGTTGATGACATGGTGATCTTCGTAGAATATCCTATGTTCTGCGTAGTGGACAATGATATCTGTAACTGATTCAATGAAGCGGCAAGGGCAGACAGCCAGTTTTATTTACTCAATATCTATGTGCCCAAACTACTTCTAATTCTTCACGCAATCCATGACGTTACAAAAATTATGAACCGGTTCGGTCCCGGAAATGAAAAAAAAGAAGTGTCGGTCGGCCTGGAGAAAACGTCCGTTTGCTTTGGGTCTATACTAGTTGTACACATGTCAGCTCGAGCGCAGTGTTTGTCGTCATAGGCCGTGATTCCCTGGTTTATGGCGAAGGATAAGTTCCGAGCAGCACTACCTCGTCATAGACTCTGCGGGAAGCTACGACCTCGGACTCAAGGATGGCTTTGGCCGAAGGGTGTGTCGGGGTGTGATGTGGGGACTTCATTCGGTGGCCGGCGCTTGAAATGTCCGTTGAAATGTCCGGTCGTAGCTCAATTGTTATCCGGGTTTTCGCTGGCGGCCGAACATGGAATGCCGAGCTTGGGTTGATCCGGCATGCAAAGGCACGAAACACTCGCATGACTGCAGTCTTCTGGGAGTCATAAGTAGCCGGAAAACGAGAACGGGTCTTCCGGCATCCATCATTTACGGCATGTGAGAGTCAAAACAAATTGGTCCAAGTCTATGTAACGTATCCGTTCATATTAAATCCATAAACTCCGATTGTGAAAAACAGAACAGTGGTCGTGAAGTCATGCAGGCCTATTCGAAACAACAAGGCCAACTATAATGATAATTATGGTATTCGTCCCCAAATGTGTCATCAGAAGCTCTCCCGAGGTCAAAAGCTTCTGGTGGGTATCCCAACGAATGAAAAACAGCTCCACCTAAGTGTGGTAGACGGCAACGTACTCGGCTTCAAAAACGCCGCCAGAAACAGTGTCGGCAGTCGGGGTGGTGCTACCGAAGACTTTGTCGGGAAAGGAGCCGCCAATAGCAAGGTTGAGTAGAACGAAGTACGGAACGTCTACAGTCTGTGCCCAAATGTCTGCGGGCAACTGGGTCTCGGTGACAGTCCAGTATACAACGTCGTCAAGGTACCAGTTCACAGACTCCGGCGATGCGGTGCGGTCAACCTCGACGGCGTAGGTATGGAAGTTGCCCTGGCACGCACTTCCGGCGCAGGTTAGGTTACCGGAGAGACCGTTATTTTCGTTGCAAGCACCTCCGGGGTTAACATCGCAGTGCATCGTACCCCAGGCCTCGTTGATACCGTTGACGCTCTCCATGACATCGAGTTCACCACTCGCGGGCCAGTTGCTATGATTGTTAGTGAATGATTTTTCAACGCTGATTTGATTATCGGTTTTACTGATAACTTACTTGTAGTTCCCACGGAATGTGCTTCCAAGCGCCCAGAATGCAGGCCAGTAGCCAACGCCGTGAGTACCCACATTAGGCAAGCTGAGGCTGGCCTGGATACGCATCTTGCCGCCAGCTGCGGCAGCGAAGTCGGTGCGTTGCGTTTCGATGCGAGCGGAGGTCCAAGCTCCAGTAGCGTCCTTGAGGGCGGTGATTTGCAAAGTGTCCTTGCCACTAAGTTGCACGTTTGCAATGGCATTGGTGTAGGTTTCGATCTCGCCGGTACCAAACTGCGCGGCACCACCAGGGTAAGATGTTCCAGTGGTGAAAATCCAGTTCGTGGCGTTGGGCAACGTTGCGGCGGCGCCGACGAAGTCGTCTCCCCAAGTAAGGGTGTAACCGCTGATGGCAGGAGGGGCAATTGCATTGACGGCGGGCAGGGCAATGGCCAAAGCCCTGGCTGTCTTGACGAAACCCATATTGAGAAAGTAAAACGGGGGAAGAAAGACTTTAGTGAAGTAAAGAGTGTAATAAGAGAGGGACTGTTCGTGATAAAGGAGCGTTGGAAGATTGTTGCTGTTGTGCTTTCTTCTTCTTACTTGACTTAGGATCTTATACTTTTCAAGACATTGTATCAATTTTAAAACTTATATTAGGATACAGCGCTCCAGCTCGTAGCTCTACATAGACAATTATTGCTGCTTGGTCAATGCCACTGGTCAAATTTACTGAGTGGACATGAACTTCGTGGAAGCCGGCATTTACGACGTCAGGTCCACTGAGCATACACATGATTTGGGAACTCTGAGGCTAGTATCTATGAGTTCGGCTTATCCGAATTATCCGGTGAAGCGGGGAGCTGCATCTGGGTGGGTGGGTGGTAGGTTGGAGAATTATCAATCGAGTGTAGTGTTGGCGTAGGGTTCAAATGCAGGATGGGTGTGTTAATACGGACGGACTTTTCACTCCTTGCTGCGATAAGATCTTTGTAAGTCAAGTCGTTGCAAGTCAACACTGGCCCAGGTTCCTCAAGAATGGAGAATAATAATCGAAGCCGCCTGCCACAGCCGGTGTAATGTACATGGAACGCAGTATCCCTCTTGACAGAATGTTTTTTTCGGCCATTCTTTAAAGTTGCGTCGAGTATAATAGCCCAGGCAGTTCACAATAACATGCGTAGCGGCATCTTTCTACCGTCTACTCAAGGTATTGCTGTAGAGCATGGGAGTCAGTCAACTAGGGGAGGGACAGATGGATTCCTTTCCGAGGCTGTGCAGAGCTGATTCTCCAGTGCCTGACTCGTCTTCCGGGTTTCAGTCGAGCTACAGATAAATTCAATCATATTTGAGAAGACGTTTTCTAGTATTGGCGAACATAGCCAGCCCTTGCCCCATGCAGCCAGTTCATCCCATTCTTCGCTCCAATTGTCGATTCTTACTCCGTCCCAGGGCTTCTCCACGGTTCTTGGCTGCCTTAAGGTAGTATATGTTCCATAGCTGGTATACATTCATCTGATGAGAAAATCGGCTTCCTCCCTTTTATCTTGTAAGGCATATGTCTGGCCTGAGTGGTCGATTGCATTTTTCCATAGGCAATGTGGTGCTACTCGAACTATCACCTCTTTAGCTATTTGGGCCTCATTCGTGATTTTCTCTTGTAGAAGACATAGGGATCGACCCCAGCATCGTCTGACTCGCTAGCATGTAGGGGTCCAACGGGAGCAAGGTTGCAGCACATAATCAGTCTATCGCAACGAATAGCGGCGGCGCCGAAGCAATGTACATGGCATTGTTTTAAGCGGTTTCCCCTAATCAATACAGGCTGGCAGCGCCAAGTTGTTAATGTGTGTAAACCCGGGACAAGCGACAAGACAATGAGTTCGTGGCGAAGACTCTTCTCTACGAAGGACATTATCAAATACATAGTGTGCTACTATGTGTTTCTTTTCATAATACTATCAGGCGACCAAAACTGCGCGTTTTTCCCCCTTGCCACTACCACGACGTCGCCGAGGATACGGTAAAAAGGCCCATTTACGAGGTATTCACGAATTAGTCAAAGCAGAGGTGATGAAACACAAGAATGATGGGATTTCTTCCTGTTTCTTGTCATCTAACGAGGACTTGTGAACCAATGGCATTCCTAGTGTTTTAGTTATGATATGGCAACGACAGCACTGTTTTTTTTTCGTCACCCAAGTGGTAAGACAGATGTATCATCAGCCTTTCCCAAGCTAGCCGTGCACTTCAGGTAAGTGGTTTACTGATCGGCGGCCAAGCATGAGGACTGAAAGAACATGGATATGTGAAGAGATCGATCCGCTAGGGTCGCCAAGGTCACCACGCGTCCAAGTAGATGCCAGCCCCACCCAATCATCTCTTACAAGAAAGAAAGGGAGGGGGAGCCGGGGGGTAGAAGAAAAGAGAAATAAAATAAAATAAAAAAGGCTCCATTCAGCTTGCTTGTCTATCGACATATTCATTATTCCCCGACGCGCTAACACCCCGCCCTGCAATGGTCAACGAGAGGTTCGTCCCCTCTGTGCTTCCTATTGATGAAGCGCGTAATTGGCAGCGATATCCTTGCGTTGATTGATTGCTATGTTGTGTGTCTCTATCTGTTGGGGAGAATAGTTCGTAGGGGGATATTCCAGCTTCGGGTGGGGGTATCCGTTATGGGGCCGAAAAGCTTAGGAGGGGGGTATCAGGCTTATTTAGGCTTAGCTTAGAGTGTGAGGAGTGTAAGAGTTTCAGCATATGCTTAGCATATACTTAGCATATCATAAGGAAATATAGTACTTACCTTCTATAACTATAAAAGACTTAGTTACCTTAGTATATCTTAAGTCTTCTAGAGTTATAAAAGGTAGGCTCTATATATTAGGGGATATGCTTAGCATATGCTAAGCCCATTTTAGCTACTCAATTTTAATTTACACTGTCTATTAGGCCTTTACCCCTGAGCTTCTGCCCAACTGGCGGACACCCCCCCTGAAGCTGGAATACCCCCCTACGAACTAAGCACCCAACTAGAAGTACTCTAAAACTATTGGATTGTCAGACTTATGCTGTGAATGCATTGCTCTACCCCGCCCTTGGCAGAAATAGGGTCACCTGGTAATTAAAGGGGTAATTCATGTGAAGGACAGCTATGCGTACAATCACATATAGACAGTCTATGATACGATTGCCGAAATGCCGGGCGTCCCACGGAGAAATGTGTCGGCTTGAGGCACGAACGGTACCCAAACCCACAGCGCTGGCAAACGGTGATAGCTTCTTCTTCTTCTTTTTCAATAAGTAGCTATACTTCGAACTTACTGCTGCTCAGCCCCATCCGATCGGATCCTACGATACCAACAACGATGTTGTTAGAATATGAGGACTATCAGATCCTGAACAACTGGGATGCCGAGCTCCGCTAGGCAACCCACTTCTATCTGCTGCATAGCTCGCCTTTTCTCTTCTATCTTCCCTTATCGAGGCAACAGTAGATATCGCGATTTAAGATAATGCTGCTTCACCCAACCCCGGACAAAAGAAACAGCTACCAAATACCCGATCATGCAAAGTGTCACCTAACATAACGACATCGTTAGTTACAGGGCAGTAAATAACGCCTTATATCCCACGTGACCAAAAACAACTGCTGAAAGAGACTTCATTCTAACCACGGGTTGACTGCTTATGAAAACAGTCCCGAGCGCCGGAATGCTGGCAACAAAGTTGGCGGCGATGATGGTGCTATTGCATTTACCATCAAGGCCGTGACAGCTAACTTGCTAGCCACACGATGACTCCATTGAACTCTGCCATCAAGGTCGTCGAAAAGCTTGTGCCTTAAGTCACATTGCATGAGGGCGGTGCCGGAAATAGGTTCGTTCGTCAGTAACCTTGCTGGCCACGGCGAGTTATATATAAGGCGCCTGAACCTGGCCTCGTGGATTGCCATTTTCCTATCTTAATACAACGTTGATTCTCAGAGCTCAGCATAGAAAATCAGCACCAGTATTTTCAGCATGAAGTTTCTCATCCCTGCAATTGCTGCAGTCTTTGTAGCCCTCTCGGCTGCCGCCCCATTTGCCGAGTGCCATTGCCAGATGATCGATGGCAAGCCGTTCTGTCCTGGCCTGGTCTGCGAGTCAATAATGGTATGCTTCCTCCCCCAGTTGAAAACAATCTTCAATAATATTAACTGATAACAATGTAGTCTAAGCCGTTATCTGTAATGAATTCGAAGCGGAGGTCCTGACGCGAGACTTGAAAGTTCTGGAGCCGTCGCAGAGAGATACCCATTCGGCACTGGCGCTATAGCAGCTTCGATGCTGCAAATAAGAAATTGATTACGGAACAACTCTTTGATTCAGTGCAATATAAAGTTGAACAATCAGTCTATCGCGGGTTCATCACACCAATGATCCATGTTGGTCAAATGTGTGAAGCTTATCAACTTCGAGGACAGTCAGCGCCGTGGTGTCTTCGTTGACAGCTAGAATCTACTTACACTTTCTGCCGGCGTCGACTTGGATTGAATGAAATCGAAGATAAAGCAATCAAGAACCCTTGAAGAATTGAGTGGTTCAGAGATACCTGCCTCAACCTCTGCTGAATTGAGACTTTTCGAAAACCCGCCCTTGGATGTGTGGATGCCATCGGGTTCTTGCCGTGCTAATGCTTACCCCAACTTCATGTCCGTCTTCTAGCGAGGTAATTACTGCCTTAGATAATCGTGCATCATTTATCATTGAATTTGATTTGTTCTGTCATCTGTATAAAACTTCAGTAAACCTCCACTGAGTGTGGGTTACTTCCGATACCTGGAACAATGTAGCACGCGCTTTTAGAAGTCTGTCACTGAGTAATGTTCTTTTTGATCTATGTAAATGAAGTATAAAGTCGTGGTGTCCTGCTGATAGTCTAAAGACGACCAGCTGAGCTAGTCGGTACGGCTGAGAAGCTATTCTAGCTTCACAAAACATGTCTATCTGTTGCACAATTTTGCGACATTCCGTAAGACATTACCAAAATTAGCGCACATATTTTCCCTTTGTTTCTGGCCAATAACTAGCTAGCGGCGGCATTTCATAGCTAGCTTGGTGAATAAGCACACCAGCGCTGTGCGTTACACGACAGTCAATAGCTTCGATTCTCATTGGCACATCAGTGTCACCACCGCTTTTTTGTGCGCAGTTGAAAAAGAGGGGAATTGAAAATTTGGTGTATCTCGCAAATCTCCCGATAAATACAAATGCGTTATTGTTGTACTCCTTCTGGTGGCTTTCCTTGTTAATACAACTCCCCTCTGGTGTGCCTTTACAGAGGATTTGATAAAGACTCTAGTCATGCCCTATTTTCTCCTGGTCCTTCTTTTACTGACCCAAAGTTTCGTTTTGTCACGATGCCAAACTCAGGTCCAAAAAAGTGTCAACTCCGTCGGCGCAGAATACGACTACATTGTGGTAGGAGGTGGCACCAGCGGTCTCGTTGTGGCCAATCGACTTAGCCAAAATACAAGCAGTAAGAGACACTAATAGCTATGCTTTATTTCATTACTTTTTGACACACTATCGCATATTAACCGGCACGTTCCCAGAGACGGTGCTGGTAATTGATTACGGGGACTTTGTCAATACAGTGAACGTTACCGTTCCGTACTTTACAACACTCGACCAGTCAGCCAACCTCTACAACATCACCTCTATTCCACAAGCCCACCTCAGAAACCGTACCTCTCGGCTCCGTATTGGTGCGACTGTAGGTGGAAGCTCAACTGTGAATGGTATGGCCTGGGACCACGGCTCCGTAGCTGATTACGACGCATGGGAAGCCCTTGGAAATCCGGGTTGGGGATGGGATAGTTTCATGAAGTACTTTCGCAAGTCTTCGGCTTTCCTACCCCCTTCTCAGAAGTATGTCGATAAGTACAACTACCAATGGACTCCAGAGGCATATGGAGATGGGCCCGTGAAGATTGGTTTCCCGTCATGGCAGTGGCCAGAAGCAGGTGAGTTGCATATATTTGCCGAGCCGCGTACTTCTTAGCTCAGTAGTATCAAGCTTTCCAGGCTCAAGCTTGGGTCGAAAATCTCAAGGCTCCCGTTTTGAGAGACGGCGCTGATGGAGACAACGTCGGCATTGCCTGGCTACCTCAAAACTCGGGGGGCGAGAGTGCAACGCGCTCGACATCCGAGACCGCATACTTCAGTCCTATTAGCGGCCGCCAAAACTTGCACCTCATCGTGCGCCATTACGGAGCAGCTATCAGATTCGAAGGCAACAAGACAGTCGGCATCAACATCAGCAGTCGCGATAATAGTTCGGAAACCAAATTCGTGCGATCTGAAAACATCGTCCTGGCTGCAGGCGCTGTCAACACTCCGCGAATTCTGCAGCTCAGCGGAATTGGTGCAGAGAAACTGCTGAGCTCCCTCGATATTGACATGGTGGTTGATTTACCTGGTGTCGGTGCAAACTTTCATGATCATCCAACCATCTTCATGGTTTACGACTGTAAGCGATCTTTATTGGGACCTCAGGTTCAGTCCGCAGCTAATTTTGTATCTTTATAATTAGTCGCAAATGACACTGCACTCAATCCGAATTTGATGAGCAACGAGATCTTCTACAATAGGTCTTGGGCGGAGTACGAGACCAACAGAACTGGGCCACACACCCATGCCTGGGGAAATAAAGCCGTGTTCACGTCCCTACAAGATCTTGACCCGGCCAACTATCAATCTATTGCGGAGGCAGTGAGCAAGCAAGAACCATTGCAGCATCTCCCTCAAGTCTACGCCGAGAACCCGGCATTGGTAAAGGGTTACCTCCAGCAACGAAAAGTGTTAAGGGAGCATTTCCTCAACCCCAAGGCAGGTATTGTTGAGTTCGCCTTTGGAGGCTCAGGAACCGTTCCAGTGGCTCTACAAAAGCCCTTGTCAAGAGGCACAATCAGCATCAACAGTACCAACCCAGACCCGTCTATCGCACCTCTGATCGACTTCAACACGATCTCTAATCCAGTCGACTCACTCCTTCTGATCCGGGCAGTTGCAAAAGCTCGTGCTTTCATGTCGAGCCCTAGTATCCAGCCGCTTGGAGCAGTTGAACTGGTGCCAGGCCTAGGCGTGAGTAGTGACGCTCAGATCGAGGCAGTCATGAAAGAGTCATGGCTAGCTTCAAGTCTTGACCATCCCGCTGGAACGGCGGCGATGATGCCTCGGGAGTGGGGCGGTGTTGTAGACAGCAACTTGAAGGTGTACGGAGTTGAGGGACTTTGGGTGGTGGATGCAAGCATCATGCCCATATTACCGGCGGCACATACCCAAGCAACGGTCTATGCTGCTGCAGAACACGCGGCCGACATTATAAGAGGCTGTGAACAGTGATTGGAGCCAATATATAGTATGCCACTATGGTTGTCTGACTCTCTGGCTATGTTTTCTTCGTGATAAGCCTTTTGCGGAGTAATTAATTGTCAAGATCCGTTCATGAACTTTTATGAAGCTAACGGTCGTGGGGTAATTGAGAATTAATGCCTATACTTCTATATTGCGTCAGTGCTTGCCTCGAGCATCACATCAACGATCAGAACTTACAACCTTATACGAGGACTTTCGTTCAGAAATTCACCGCCCGAACAGACTTGAAACTTACAACCTAAAATAAGCAAAGTCTCGAGGAGCTGTAATGCTACTGTCTTGTTCAGATTCGGTCGGATGACCTAAAGTGCCTCGGTTGCCATCATAGTGAAGGTAAGTAGAGTGGGCTTATTGCTTTTACGGCATGTCAGTCGGTGATAGGCTTTCAATCTATACACCGAACGGCTCAAGGGATAACTCGGAGATATCCAACAGCTACAAGCCTGATTCCAATCGTATGTATACTCACAAACTCATTCATCCATCAAGATAGAAGAAGGTGTTGTAGGAGTATCAGAGTGGCACCTCTTCTGAAATGTGCTTTTCGTTATGTTTGGGTATTGGTTTCCATGCCTTTATCCGAGTGACTAACTCAGCGTTTGGCTTGGTCCTGCAGGTACCTTTGTGATGTCCGCTGCATAATGCTTCAGGTGCGGCCAGTGAGGATGTGGATCAACAGACGGCCACTACCGATACCAGGACGGACCAAAGAACCGGCACCTTGGTAGGAATATCATTGGCTGCAGGCTTGTGGCAAACAGATGTAGGAGAGAAGCCAGGTAGGTATCCAACCTCTCAAGGTTGCAAAGGTACACACAATACTCTTAATACGATGGTATCCAACCGAGGTTAATTAGACATGCCTGGTAACCAATGTTTACCCTACTGGAGGACTTTTAGTGAAGGACTTTTAGTGAATATTCCCCCTGCATTAAACTTACCCTTGCCGCCCTGTAAAACCAGAAGGGCACAGTAGGAGTATCATGCCCGATACTTAGCATAATAGGAGGTTTCTAGAAGAAACATAGTACCATGGTACCCGGGCATCTTGCTACCCTTTTGACTGAGTTCGGTGCGCTGAATGTCAAAGTTTGATCTTGAACAAGGCCAAAAGAACTTTTTGCAACAGTAAGGCTTTAGATACAGTGTATCACAAGCCAATATTACGTCTACAACATGTGACAATTGACAGAAGAAGCAATCCAGAGGTGTCTATTTAATAACTCACCAAGAGGCCCCTTCTTGACTGTATGGGAGTTCATTATCACCGCAATTGTACTTGTCTCAAGCATGGTGAACAAGAAGAAGAAGGCAATGAGAAAGGCACCAAAGAAGGCAATGAGCTATGCACCAGAAAAGGACGAGCCAGTGGCCATTGCCGATGTCGCTGACGGTGAGCCCAAGGTGCTCATTCCCGATGCCATTGACGATGGACCTGAGATATCGTAAGTTTCACACTCCATTAGCGGTGTCGTACTTGATGCTAACAGTCATTCGAAGCCCATATAAAAGCCCAACCTGCAGCGTCTACTTCCAAGACGGAGAGGCGTTCACGGTTCCTCGCGACATCTTATGCGTGAGCGACGAGCTCAGGGAAATCTTCAAAAACTCCAATGAGTTCTTCATCGGAGATGTGCCGGCAGAAGCAGGTCATGTGCTACTTCATTACCTTCACACGCACACTTGGCAAACCCTTCGCAAGAGGTCATCGCTGCACGATTCCAGGACCTCGGCCCAGTTCGAAACGAGCGTGTACGTCTACGCCGCCGCCCAAACCTACGGTCTTCCGGGGTTAGCCGAGCTCGCCAAAGAAAACATACCGCGTTACGCAAACGAACTGTCCGCGCTAGACATCATCGTCTTGGCTGGAAAGCCATGCGAGAGACTTCCAGAAGACGACCCGTGGTTCTTGGCATTCATCGACAAGCAAATGGAGCAACTCTTTGCGGACTCGGCCTCTCTCAACAAACCGGTCTTTCTAGAATGCTTCAAGGGCGCTTCTTCAGAGTACTCCAGGATACTGGGCAAGAGCATGTTTTCAATCTGCTACCAAAAGTTAGCCTCGGCAAAGTCGGCAGAAGCGCAAGCTGTTCCTATGGTCGATGAGGCCCTTGAGCTGGAGACTAAAGCAGCATTTGAGGCTCCATCTCCCGCATCTCGAGTAACCCCGTGTGGGGACACGATCCCTTGGGTGCCTCTGGAAGAACGAGCGGTTGAGGTTGAACCAGAGGCAAGGCCTCTATCCTTGCGGGAGATGTACGAGAAGAGAAAGAGGTTTCTGTCGAGTTGCATCGCAGCGGTTATGGACGAGGCGGACGGTGGGCAGCCGGCATTGAACCGCAGCTCGGCGGCCACGCACGTAGGAAACAGCAAATGGGAGCATTGCTCCTGTTCCATGAACGCAGACGACTCGTCAACACGCTGCGGGTCATCAGCTGCGAATACTCCAAGCAGTGGAAGTGAAGCATGGTGGCCACACCCTGCCTCGAGGAAAAGGTACACCTAGAAACGGCGTAAGCCCCCAAATTAGGAAGTTGAAGTTGCACGATCACACGCTGCATCTCTAGTCTGTATGCCATTCTTCCCTCTTTCTTTTTCCGTGAAGCTTGCCCGAAACACTTGCAGTTTTCATCAACCCCCCTGCTACGTAATCGAAATTCGGCGGGCCGTGGCGACAGGAATCCTAGACGTGTGCTACCCGACCCCCCTTGCTAGCGGCACTTGCATCTAGGCCAAAGGCTGGGAGGGGTGGAGAGGTCTCATACAGGTACAACCACCCTTTATGGTTATTTGCCACTATCCAGACCGATATCGACTTAACGGGGGCATTGCATGCCCTTGGCACCAATGAGATGTACCGAGATCCCTTGTCTCAGTGTCACATCGCATCTAAAGTCGGACTGATGCGAATGGGGACTGCATGTTTGACCCATGAGCAGGATCGTCTTCCCGGTCCTCTTGGCATCGTTTTGCTGCAGAGAAAGAGACAGAGAAAAAAGTTCTTTCGTCCGCTCGCAGCTTTTCTGCGTGGTTATTTCTCCTCCTTTCGTGATGATGCTTTTGGGGTTTTCTGCTGGACAAGTTTCCCCCCTCCGCCGACCCAAATTCAAGCGAGAAATCGACCCGAGAGCGAGACGAAGATGGGACAAGCGGACGTTATCGAGATGCGGCGGCCCGAGAATGACTATGCCGCCGTCAACACCACGACGAGTTCGTCCGGCAAAACGGACGACAGCGCCGGGGACCACTATGAGGGCCGGCATGCGCAATCGGACGGCGGCACCGGCGGCTCCTCATTGAGGGTAATGTGACGTTCCGTCCTGCACCAAACGATCTCAACTGGCACATGTGCTAACTGCGGAGAACGCAGCGTTTGTTCTCCTTCTGGCAGTTGCTGGCCTTCGCCCTGATCTTCATGTCGTCGTGGGAGGTCATGGCCATGGACATGGGCGCAACCTTTTACAACGGCGGCCCGCAGACGCTAGCCTGGGGCATTGTCCTCGTGGTCATCGGTGCCATGGCGCAGGCGCTGTCCATGGCTGAGCTCGCGGCGATTCAACCCATCGCCGGAGCACAATATCACTGGACTCACTTCCTAGCGCCGGAGAAGCACCGACGGTTCATTACGGTATGTCCCCGGTTCCCTTCACCGTGGCGTCAATGCCTCGGCACGCTGAATGGACCGTACCACGGAAGGTAAAAAGAAACTGAACATCTTCGCAGTGGATGCAGGGTTGGGTGACATGGTTCGCCTGGGTCTCAGCGCTGGCCGGCTCCGCCGCCTCCGAGGCCAACATCATCATCGGCCTCGTCAGCACCAACTACCCGTCGTACCAGTTCCAACCGTGGCACATCACTATGGTCATCATCGCGCAGCTCGTCGCCTGCGGGCTCATCAACATGTACGCCTTCCGTACGATCCCGTGGATGGAGCTCCTCGCCGGGGTGCTGCACGTCGCCCTGTGGCTCGTCTTCGTCGTCGTGCTCCTCACCCTCGCGCCGCGTGCCAGCGCCGATTTCGTCTTCTTCGAGCGCACTGTCAGCTCGGGCTGGACCAACGGCTTCGTAAGCTGGAACATAGGCATGCTGGTCCCGGCGTGGGGCTTCATCGGGTTCGACGGCGTGGTACACATGGCCGAGGAGGTGCGCCGGGCGAAGCAGGCAGTGCCGCGGGCCATGCTGTGGACGATAGTGCTCAACGGTGTCCTGTCGTACGGCATCATCATGGCCATCTTATTCGGCATGGGCGGCGCGACAGAAGACATCCTGGCTTCTGACTATCCCATCATCCCGCTGCTGTTCAACGCAGCGGGCCCTAAGGCGGGGACGGCCATGGTGTGCGGCCTGCTCATCATCACGTTCTGTGTCGTCGCCGCCTCGCTGGCGTCGGTGTCGAGGATCACCTGGGCGTGGGCCCGGGACGGCGGGTTGCCACGGTACTTTGCCAAAGTGCACCCCAAGCACCGGGTCCCGATCCGGTCCGTGTGGCTGCCGTGCATCATAGTCACCTGCTTGTCGATGTTCACTGTCGGGAACAACGCCACGGCGACGGTGTTCTCGGCCTTCACCGCGCTCTCCTCCCTGGGCTTATACAGCTCGTACATCATCGCCATATCCTGCATGCTCCACGCCCGTGTGACCGGACGCATCGGACACGGCCTGGAGTACCAGGTGCAGTACGGCAGCTGGTCGCTGCCCAAGGGATGGGGGGTTCCGATCAACATCTACGCGCTGCTGTGGTCGATGTACCTGACCATCTGGCTGCCGTTCCCCCAGACTATTCCCGTTACCGGGACGGAAATGAACTACGCCGGCCCGATCTATGTTGTTGCGGTGGTTGGCGCTCTGACGCTCTGGTTTGCCAGGGGTAAGAAGCACTGGGCGGGATTGAACAAGACGGCGATCGCAAACGTCGAGGCATATAACTGATTTGATGATGGCGATGGCGTGCCAAGGGGGGTTGACGATCAATGTGTACTTCGTATAGACGTTTCATACCGATACCCTGTGTCATTGCGGTAGGCTCTGGCAACTCCTTCCGGTTCAAGTATGGTGTCTAACGAAATGATACTGTCTCGGTGAGGAGTCTCGGTGAGGAGTCTCGGTGAGGTGGGAGTGTCTCAGAAGAGCAGTCCGGGGATGGAACGTGACGAGTCGGCACCCCAGTCATCGGGTGGGACCGAAAGATATTAAAGAGCATCACATGGCACTCGGATGCGGGGGATGCCTGGAAACAAAACATGGTGTTAGGCAACTGGGGAAACTAGGCCACGAATGACGGACAGATGGACGGCTGTTCTGATCCAGGAACCGAACCTTGTTGCTGTGAACAGCCATATGTCACAGGAATACATTAGGACAGATATCTCGGCCGGCGAAAGGGCAGGCAGGCTGGCAGCGATGTGTGCATGAACGAAGGAAGAGTCTCGTGGTATATAGAAGCGGCCATCTTTCGTTGGTGAGACCTGCGGGAAGAGAGAGAGGAAGACAACACCTGACGTTGGACGGGTTCATCAGGTTCGCTCCCTCTCAGTTCCGGTTTCAGCCCGCCCTGCTTATGTCAGCTTAATCGACCAGGCTCCTTTCCTTATCGGCTTATCTAGCGCACCATATCCGTACCTACACCTCGGTAAGGTAGGTACAGGTAGATACCTAGATATAAACAAGTACGCAGATACTTCCCCATGCCGTACAGTAGCACTGTACTACCTGTAGTGCCCCTCAATGACGTTGAGCATTCACTACCGGTAGGTAGAGGCGCCCAAGCTAAGATCTCATCCGGGCCCCTCTTGCCGTTTGCCCCTCCGATCTCCCCCAAGCCACTACCCAATCGGTACGGTACGTACCTCCTTCGTACCGTGTAGGTAGTGCCGGCTTCCAGCGGCCCCTCACCCTGCCTTCCCCAGCTCTAGGGTGCCATCCGCCGAGCTGCAAGGCTCACTTGACCTGGAATAGCTTTGTCCTCGTGCTCGGAACCCCACCGTGCGCCGGGTGCTGGCACTGGTACTGCGACAGCTGCGCCTACAGATACCTACACACCTGCACCTGCACCTGCACTGCAGCACCCCGCGCGCGCGGCTTGCATCTCCAACCATCGTCCTTCTTGCGCCCAATCCGTATCTTCTCTTCTCAAACGACCTACCTACGTACATACCATACTGCATACCTCAGCCAAAGCTTATACGTGTACACCAGACCCGCAGCCCTTGACGGGAACGTTCTGGGACCCCTCGAGACCCTTCAAACGCCCGGCCTCTTCCTCTCACCTGTCACCTCAAATCAACTACCGGCCTGACCGCCCCTCTACCTCACGGCCATCGTATCCGCCACTCCTCCTTTGCGCTGACTGAGCCGTGCAAGGCTACGGACCCCTTCCATCTGTTTCCCTCCTCCTGCTCCGGGGCAACAACCTTTTTACTTTCTTACACCCACCTCACTCGACCTTGACGACCTTCTTCAACCCCCTTATCGCCATCATGTTCGACATCTTCGCCCACCTCTTATCGTGAGTTCCCCTCAACAGGCGCCGAACCGGCACCTATTTGCCCCTCCCTCTCTCTTTCGCCCGTCGGCATAAAGCTCGCCCGCGTTCCTGCCTCCAAAGTCGACTTGGAGACCGCCACTCTGCTCCCTTTGGCTGATATCCCATTCCGCATTCTAGCTCCATCGCCTCCTTCCTTTTCCCCCTCTTCGCCTCTTACAAGGCCCTCAAGACATCCGACCCCGCCCAGTTGACACCATGGCTCATGTACTGGGTCGTCCTCGCCTGCGCTCTCCTCGTCGAGTCTTGGACTGAATGGATTCTCGTCTGGTAGGTTCTGACTCGCCACACTCCCTCGGACCCAACTCTCACTGACACCGCCGTAGGATCCCCTTCTACGCCTACATCCGATTCCTCTTCCTTCTCTACCTCGTCCTCCCCCAGACCCAAGGCGCCCGCATTATTTACCAGACCCACGTCCACCCCTTCCTCCAAGACAACGAAGCGCAGATCGAGGAGTTCATCTCCGACGCCCACGATCGCCTCAAGGCTGCCGGCATCGCCTACCTCAAGCGTGCCATAGAGCTCATCAAGACCAACGTTCTGGGCCTGCCCCCGGGCGACCCTGAACCCGCCGCTCAGTCCGCCCCCGCCGCTTCCAACGCCCCGACCCAGACTTACACCCAATCGCTTCTCGCCCGCTTCAGCGTCCCCACCGCGCGCTGGACCCCGGCCGGCCACGCTGGCTCCGACTTCTACAACCTCCTCGCTGGCGCCGTTACCGCCGCCACAAACGCCGCCGCGGGCGGTGGTGCGCCCGGTCAGCACCAGGACCTCTCCAAGTCGGGCTCCATCATCCCTCCGGAGCTTAAGGGCGGCGAGAGAATGAGCTTCATCGCGGCGCAGCGCGAGCGCCTCTCCTTCCTGCTCAAGGCCCTCGAACGCGAGGCCGCCGCTTCGGAGACTTTCGACGGGCCCGGCCGCCCGGGGAGCATGCAGCTGGACGGTAACAGCGAGGAGGAGGTGACGCAGAGGCCAATGAGCGCGCACAGCGGGCTGAGCAAGTCGCGCAGCGAGACGGACTTTGAAAAGATCGATGCCGAGAGCGGGGCCGAGGATCTCGACGGCAACGACGAGGACGGCATCGTCCGGCGGAGGCAGACGAGCGGTGGGTCGTCGTGGATGCCGTGGGGCTGGGGAGCGACGCCGACGGCCGAGAACCCCGATGGTGGGTCCAGCTCGGGTGTGCAGAAGTGATTGCACCCGCCTCACTCGTCTGATGATTGGTGTTTTGGTACCTAGGGAACGGCGTTTCGTTTGGGGTGGTGGTGTTGCCCTTTTTTTTTTACATGATTTTGGTTCGGCTTTGCGAGGGAGTCTTTGGGTTGATAGGATACACTCGAGGGTGGCTATCATTGGGACCAGCAACGCTCTGCGCTCCCATTTCCCTCTCTGTTAGATTCCCATGTTCAGGAGCTGAATAGACTTGGGATAGTCGCTTTCAACAGCCGATTTCCCGTTTCAATTGTCCGCCAACGAGACCGACTCAACGTAATTGTGCACGAGGGTGGCAATTGGTCGCTATGGAAATGTGCTTCTGCCGTTCGTCTATAAGAGAAATTCTTCGTCCACGGCCCTTTGCCTCTACTGGCAAATGGCCATGATGGCGTTTATGCGTATCTATTTCTACAGTTGAGATGCCCACTCTTCGAATCCTACAAGGTACTTCATTTCTTTCCCCATTTTTATACATGCCTCATCCTCGTCATGCCGAGGGCCGCAGATCTGCATACCGCGTCACCTCATCGTCTCGGCGAGGCTCAGTTTGTCCGCTTGTAGGGATATGTCACCGGCACGTCCTTGCGCGTCCAGATGAGCTTCTTCTTCTTGCTCACGACGTGCTCGGCCCACACCTCTTCGGCGTAGTCCTTCTTGAACTTGCGGATGAAGACGGGGTCCCAGAGGTCCGAGGCGATGCCGAGGTCCTTGCAGCACCGCATCAGCGCGTTGGACTTGCAGCCCTCGACGGCCGAGGGGAGGCTCTCGAGCGCGAAGTAGCTGTTTTCACCCTGTGCTTGGGAGATGAATCTGCGCCGGGGGAGGAGTTTTGCGTGTTAGTCTCTTGGCTGCTTCCTTTCCGAGTCACGGGGGGGTTCAAACGTACCTTCCTTCCGCGACGAGGGCGTACTCCCTCGTCACGACCTTGTCACCTACGATCACCTCGCCCTTGGGCACCAGGCCCCAGCCACCGGGGCCGAAGGCAGCGTTGAGGATGCGCCGGTACTTGATCTCGGGCAGGTAGATGATGCCGTCAGCCTTGACCTCGACGTCGGCAGGGTTCACGGGCTGTAGGAGGATGTTGACGACCTCCTTGGAGAAGCTCTGTGTGCCCAGGCCGTAGTATGAAGTCGACCAGTCGATTATCTGCCCCGGTTGCGGCTGCTGCTGCTCCTGCTGCGGTTGGTAGGGAGGCCCGCTAGAGGAGGCAAAAGGGGTCATAGAGCCCGCGGGGTAGGTAGCCACCGGCGCGTCGGGGAGGGGGTCCGCGTCGGCAGAGGAGGAGGAGGAGGCAGGGGCCGCTGGCGCGGGCGGCGGCGCCGGCTTCGAGGGTGCTGCTTTCGGGGCGGCGGGGCGGGAGGTGCTCGAGGCCGGGGACCGCCTGACGTAGCTGGAGCTCGTGCTGGACTTGGCCGGCGTCGCGCGCTGCGCCGAGGTGGCGGCCGCAGCGGCGTTGTGGCGGCATGTTGTGGTGATGCTTGCGGTCTGTACGAGGGACTGGCGTGACGTCGCGCGGAGCAGCGGGCGGAGGAGGGCGCGTTGGTACGCCATTGTGGTTGTGCAGCGTGCAGGCTCTCTCGTCCGCGGAAGGAAGATCGAAACGGGAGGAGGGTCGACGGGGCGAGGAGAAGAAAGGGCGGTTCTGGGTGGCAATAGGTGACAAGAATTGTTCCTTTTCGGCATGGGCAACGATAAGTGCCAAATGGAAATTTAGTCGGCCCCGGGTGAACGCGAGGCCGGGGGTCGGTAGACGTGGTGGCAGGAGCTTGGGCCACTTTGGGAGGTGAACGAACACTGTGCGCGCGACAGGTTTTGTCATGGTTATGATTACCGTTTGCCGGCATCATCAGCCTTTCTCTTTTGGGAGTAGAAGTAAAAAAGAAAAAAAAAAAAGGTCTACAGGTTCTGGTACAATGGTTTCTCACAAGTTCGTCGGTTCTTTTCGGAATCTCATGCATCCTTCGTATCGGTCCGCTGGTCGTTGCCTTGCTGCTTCCAGCAGCTCTTGAACCGCTCCATCTACGCCGGGTAAAAACATCATCAGCTTCACTCTACCATCGATGCAAGCTCCACGGGACTCGACATGACTTGGTGGAGAGACGTACCTCGGCCGTACACTGCCGCCAGTCCTTCTTTTCAAAATAGCAATCGGTCAACTTGGTATTCTCATCTGCCAGAAAAAGAGCATAGAGTTAGCGCGTTCCGCTGTCCACGCGGAAGGCGGACAAGATGGTGGGAAATGCCGTACCTGCACAGCCCGTGCTGAAGATGCGCTTGTCCCTGCACACGGACGATGTTTAGTTCGTGAGGTTGTTTGCTTCTCCCTTTCAAGTGTTACCCGGGAGGGTCCTCGATGTGTCTTACGGACCGCATCGCGAGCTACGAGTTCCTCAAGGCAAGAAACAACTTTGTGTTGACCAACGTACCAGTCATCGGGCTCGTCGTCATCCGCTGCGGCCTTTTGCGCCGCGTCGCTCTCTTGTTTCGACATTGTGTCTTCTCGCTCAGAGTATGAATCCTGGTGAGTGCTGCTTCGGTGTGTGCCTTCAATTCGTCCTTCTTCGTTAGCCTTCCGATCGTGTAAACGGAAGACTCGGGTTGGTGATTGGGATTCTGTTGGGGGCGGTGTCTAACACAGTGCCCCCTAAAAGAATGGTGACTCCCACCACTGAAACTCGCTCTTCACGCACCAACTCATCTCATACTACAACCCATCACAGCCCGCTCACCTACGCGCGATGGCCTCACGAAAACTCAACGTGCTGGTCTACACCGGTAAGATCACCCTCCCCAATTGACAAAGGCCTCATCTCTGAATGACTCCCAGGCACCGGCACGACCGTAGAGTCGGTCCGCCACTGCATCTACACCCTCCGCCGCCTCCTATCTCCCACCTACGCCGTCATCCCCGTCGCAGAGTCCGCCCTGCTCAAGGAGCCCTGGCAGCCCACCTGCGCGCTCCTCGTCATCCCCGGCGGCGGCGATCTCGGCTACTGTCGCGTCCTTAACGGCCCCGGCAACCGCCGCATCGCCGATTTCGTCCGCCGTGGCGGCGCCTACCTGGGTTTCTGCGCCGGGGCCTACTACGGCAGCCGTCACTGCGAATTCGAGGTCGGCAACCGCACGCTAGAGGTCGTCGGGCCCCGCGAGCTCGCCTTCTTCCCAGGCACTTGCCGCGGCGGGGCGTTCAAGGGGTTCGAGTACCACAGCGAGAGGGGCGCGCGGGCCGTGCGGTTGCGCGTGAAGGAGGGCTTCGGGGTCGGCGAGGTGTTGAGCTATTACAATGGCGGCGGCGTCTTTGTCGATGCCGACAAGTTTGACGACGTCGAGGTGCTGGCGTCGTACGCTGACGACATCGCCGTCGATGGCGGAAGCGGCCGGGCCGCCGTGATTTCCTGCAAGATCGGCTCTGGCAATGTCATTTTGACCGGCCCTCACCCTGAGTGCTTCAACCCCGCCCCCTTTTCGCCGTGGTATCAAAGACTAACCGCTCTACAGGTTCGCTGCTGCAAACCTCCACCCACAACCGCAGATCCCCTCCTACGAATCCCTTACCTCTTCCCTCGCCGCCGCCGACCCTGCACGTGTCGCCTTCCTCCGCGCCTGCCTCTCCAAGCTCGGCCTCGATGTCAGCGCTGGCCCGTCCGCGCCGCTGTCCCTCTCGCGCATGCATCTGACATCGGCGAACCACGCCGAGGTGGCCGAGACCCTGGCCTCGTGGGAGGAGGCCATCTCGCGTGAAGGCGAGGGCGCGGACGTTGAGGAGTACATCCGCGGCGAGCACGACGTGTTCCGCATCGAGAAGCACTCTTCGCGGTGGGACGTCGACGAGCTGAGGGGTGCGCTGCCGGACGGCAAGGAGGCAGCCATGATTGATTACGACGGGGTCGTTAAGGTCATCGTGCCGCACGAGGAGGCTTGGCCTGACGCTAAAGAGACGCCGAGCTTCAACCACAGGCTGTTCTATAACTCGCTCAAGACGTACCGTGTGAAGGAGCCTGCAGCAGAGGACTGGGGTGACACCCTCATGTACGGTGAGGTCGTCACCAGCACTAATACCCTCCTAGATAAGTATGCTCTCTGCTTTCTCTCCCTCTATTCACACTCACTTTTCGAGAGACGCCTACTCACGATGATATCCGCAGAAACCCCAAGCTTCTCGCCCATCTCCCGACTGGCTTCACGCTCACGGCCACGACTCAGGTCGCCGGCCGCGGCCGTGGCACCAACGTCTGGGTCTCGCCCGCGGGCTGCCTCATATTCTCTACCGTCATCAACCACCCGGCACACCTGGCTGCCTCGCATCCCGTCGTCTTCATCCAGTACCTCGCCGCCATCGCCATCGTCGAGGCCGTCAAGTCCTACGACGACGGCTGCGGGGACGTTCCCGTGAAGCTTAAGTGGCCCAACGACATCTGTAATGTCCCTCCAACCTCCCTGCTTCGGCCTGTAGAATAGACGATGGGTACCACGACTAACAATATGCACAGACTGCCGCGACCCGAACACGCCCGCGACAGAACCGCCCTCGTATGTCAAGATTGGCGGCATCCTCTCCAACTGCGCCTACTCCCAGGGCGCCTACCAGATCGTTCTCGGCATCGGCATCAACACGACAAACACCCGCCCGACGACATCGCTAAACGCCATCGCGCCGGCGTCGCTCGCGGGTGGGTTCCACCTCGAGGCGCTCCTCGCGCGGATCCTCACGCGCCTCGAGGCGCTGTACAAGCAGTTCCGCCGCGAAGGCTTCTCGCGCGACCTCGAGGAGCGGTACTACGCGCACTGGCTTCACGGCGGGCAGCACGTCACGCTCGAGGCGGAGGCGGGCGCGCGGGCCAAGGTGGTGGGCATCACGAGGGACTGGGGCATGCTGAAGGCCGTCGAAGTCGACTCGGCGGGGAGGGAGACGGGCAGGATGTGGGCGCTACAGAGCGATGAGAACAGCTTCGACTTCTGGAAGGGCCTCATCAAGAGGAAGCTGTAAGGATGACGAGTGAGCCAGCCGAGATGAAAGTCCGCGTTGTTGCAGGAAAGTTGCCTGGACCGTATGTAATTGAGTGCAGCGGCTGAACCCTCATTCGGCTAGGTCTCTTGCGGCAGACGAATCGCAAATGGATTGCTGGAAGCATTCAATTCGTTTTCCACATTCCTCGTCTTGGTGGAACTCTGGTAACACGGCCGTCTCACTGCTCAATCCAAAATGTACGAGAGAGCCTTCAAATATGACTGGTCATTGCCGCATGCCGTATCCGGGAACCCACCACGGAATCCATTCCGGCTTACGCTCTCCCCACCCCTCCTCTCATCGCCCATGAACGCCTGGGATCGGTCTTGTAAGCCCCGGTAGCCGTTATGCTCAGCCTTGATACCGGTTTCTTTCAAGCCCTATTGGGCTAAGCCACAGCGAGATGCCCGACGAGACTCGCGATGATCCGATGGTCCCCTGGCACATCTTTACGCCGTCTTACGGCCCAGCCTCTCTCCGTCCCCTTTCGGAGACAAAGCGGAAACGTTGCGCGCAATATTCGAGCTAGGTTGCTTTCCATAACAGGACTGACGTTAATAGACCTGGCAGTGAAAGGGGAAGTAGGATAAATACAACACCTCGTCGCGCAACCAAACTACCACCACAATGAGTCCAATCAAGATATTTGCAAGACGCTGCTGCCTTTCGAGCCCATTAGCCCACGGCATACTCTCATCACAGCTCAAAGCCTCCTTTCAAACGCGAGGCCGATTCGCCTATCCGCTGCACTCCGCGTTCGTAACCTCACGTACCTCGACATCGACCAGATCACCACCCGTAATGGCGACGGAAGAAGAGCTGCCGAAAGTGAAGCTCTACTGGTACCTTTCCCAGTCTCCTACCACCCCCACACCATGAACTCCCACTCACGGAACCTCCCCAGGCTGAACGATTCCCGCGCCTCAAACACCCTCTGGCTCCTCGAGGAGCTCCGCATCCCCTACACCGTCCAGACCTTCCGCCGCGCCCCCAACCGCCTTGCGCCGCCGGAGCTGGCCGAGGTGCACCCCCTGGGCAAGGCTCCGATTCTCGAGATCACGCCCCTCACATCTTCCGCGGTCGATCCCGCGGGGACAACGTCCGCCAGCGGCGTTGAGCCGAAGCCCATCCAGCTCGCAGAGAGCGGGTACATTACCCAGTACCTCGTCGACCACTTTGGTCACCGCAATCAGGGCCTCGTGCCGCCGCGATGGAAGCCGGGCCAGGAGGGACGCGTCGGCGGCGAGACCGAGGCCTTTGCGAGGTTCCAGTACCTTTTGCACTACGTCGAGGGGAGCTTCTTCCCCGTGATTGTGCAGTACCTCCTCTTTAACGGTGAGGACGCCCCCATATCCCCCCCCCCCCCCTGCGTCCCGTCATCAACCGCAACCTCTGGCGCTCGAGAACCGCGGTTTCTAACATATCATAAACCGTCCAGTCCTCAAATCGAGAAACGTCCCCTTCCTCATCCGCCCCCTGACTTCCTCCGTCGCCAACCAAATATTCTCCATCGTCATCCTGCCCAACGCCAAGAAGCACCTCGCCATGCTCGAGTACTTCCTCAAGACCGCGCCCGGCGTGGCGCGCGGCAACGCGGCGCCCTTCCTGTGTGGCCCCTCCCTCACGGCCGCCGACATCCTCATCAGCTTCGCCCTCGTCACGGCCGAGGCCGAGGGCGCCTGGGACGCCATGGGACGCTGGCCGGGCGGCTCGGCGCGGGCGGCGCACCCGGTCCTGTTCGACTATGTCGACCGGCTGCAAAGGGAGCCTGGCTACCTGAAGGTAGTGGACAAGGTCAAGGAGATTGAGGGGATGGAATGACGTGCACAAGAGGGTAGCATTCTGAATGGCGTTCAGAGCATTTTTCTTTTCCTTTTTATGATTTAACTTTCCCCCTTTTTTTTTCCTTGTCCCTCTCGTCTTGGAAGTGGCTGTGATCACGATAATGGCGAAGAGGCGAGGATGCCGTAGAAGTTTAATTGTTGTGCAAGCGGTGTCGGCTCCTCGATTGGCTGCGGCAACGCGTGCAACGAGTCTCGGCCCCAACGGGTGAACGTTCACGAGACAGACGTGATATGCTACTTATGATGTGTCGAACTATCCTCAGGTATACGTTCGACTATCTTTCCGCGATTCTGCTTCATAACCGCTTCCAACCCGTGATGTCAGTTTTGCACAAGCCCTCGTTCGCGACGTGGACCACACCCGGCATCACACCTTCGACGGCTTCGGTCCGCCGTGCCGTGCGAGGCTCGAAAAGGAGGGGGGCCTTTCTCATATCGATACGTAAGTCTTTTGCAAAGAAGGGCGGCATGCCAAGACGGGGCTTGCGTTTGCTCAGGAAAGTTCATGGCTCGGCGCGGCTCTCCGTCCAGAGACTTGTATGTAATCAAGCTTTCGTCTGAGCGCTGCTCCGGAGAAGTCCGTAGGGCTTCAGAGACATACAAGGCTTTCTCCTTTTGGCCAAGTTTGATTGATTGAGTTCCGTGAATTCGACAGATCAGAAGGGGGGGGGGGGGGGGGGGGCTTGTCATGTCAGAACAGAACAAGCATCTGCGATAAAATATGCTCATGATCCCACCTCCCTGGGGCACAGCTGAGGGCCGTGGGAGGCGCCGTCACACAGACGATGCTATCGCGGGCATGCATCCCTCTCAAGAGTTGAGCCCTAATCGCCAGGCTCACCGTTGCGACCGCACCGCTTGGTCCTCTCCGCGATCCTGAGTCCAGGTAGACCCTCACGGCTCCGCATGCACCCGGGTTCAGCCCGCCAAAGCAACGGCAAGAAAAGGAGCCGTCCTGCGCCTCTCTCCCTCCCATCGATCCCCAGCACTCTCGATATGCCTTCCCTGTCCAAAGGCACACACGCGAAAGGGCAATCGACGCACGACATGGGGAATCTTCGCGAGCGGAATCCCTACGCCAGCGAGGAGGGAAGAGCGGCCCGCAGAAAGGTTACGGGGCACCAAGTGGTCATTCAGTGATTCGCTCTGTTTGGCAACCACACCTATACACTACTGAGTAAGCTCGAGTTCAGCAGGTTCTCTCCGACTCGACTCTGCTCTGGAAAGCTGGGCCTGTGAGCATCGTGAATCCTCGCGGAGGAGCTTGGTTGGATCGGTCAAAAACAGACTTCGGAAAGACGGAAGCAGCATGCGGGTGGGTGATTGGGTGCATGAGTGAGTGAGTGAGTGAGCGGGTGAGCGGGTGTGAGTACACATGTGTACCATCCGCAGAGGGGGAGAGATTGGACGAAGTATGCATGATCTAGCTCTGCGCGTTGAACGCAATCACCATGCCCGTCGCTTTTTCTCGCCCATACCGTCCTTCTCTGGCCCCTTATCCCCATCGCCCTCTCTCGTGCATTGTGTGTGTGTGTGCGTGAGCGTCGATTGAAAGCGAGCAAAAACACAGTCCAGTGTGAAATGGCCCACCAATCGGGGCTGCTGCGCGAACTTGTCCTTCCATATTGGGAAAGCCATAGACAACGCTCCGTCTGCAGGTGAGCATGTGGTTGGTTTGGTGCAGGATCTGCGCCGTGTGTGTGTGTGTGTCGATGGGAGAGGGATCGAATGGGAGGAATTGCAGGGTTCCCCCACTCCCGATGAGCCAAGAGAGGAGTGGACTTTAGGAAGGCCGGGGTGCGGCATATTCTAAGGATTCCTCGGCGTTGGCTGCAGACGACTGCAGAAAATCTACAGACCGACGGGCAGAGGTGTGTCCGTGTGCCATGAAGCGAGAGAGAGAAAGAGAGAGAGAGAGAGAGAGAGAGAGAGAGTTCATAGCCCGCATGTAGGAAGATCCCTACCTAGCACGCGGGTTCGGGGAAGACACTTGCTCGGGTTGGGGTCTGGCTTGACTTTTTCCTATTCGTCCATATCCTGTCCTTGGCAACCCTGTTGGTCGGACGGGATGCCGTTTTCCATTCCATCTTTGCTGAGATGAGAAGGGGGGGCGTGTGTGGCGAGGTATGACCCACGATATCCCATCCGCCCGCTTCTTCTCTGCCGGTATGATCGGCATCAAGGGAACATGAAAACGGAGAAGAACGGCAAAGCGGAACATCGAGCTGTGGTCAGCATCAATAAATAGCCTGCCTCTCTGCCAAGACCAAATCCATACCCCAGTCAGCCCAACTGCGATATGCCGCGCGATTATCCTGGTGCTCCCATCTGGCACAGCGATATTTTCTTTTCTTCGCCTTGCTCAATGCCTTGGACTGGTCTTGGATGTTAACAGTCTGCCGGATGTTGCAGAGCAAGCACGGCTTACCACCCGCTTTTCTACACCACCACCACCATCATCATGCCACCACACCACCCACCCACACGCACGTACGCACACACACACACACACCAGGAGGCAATACAACCGCGCCGACTAATCGAGTCGAGTCTCGAACGCGGGGGCCCGTCGACTATCTGTCGGGACTCGGGACATGCTTCTCCAGGGCCTCTGCCGGGACGCCCGCTGTGTCATGACTGGGGTGCGATGGACTAAACGTGTTGGACGACCCGCATAACGGAGTAGAGTCGACCTCTGTGACTCTCAGACGTGCCCGCGACTACATCGGCAGAATCTACAAGAAGCCGGGGCTGCCCCTTACGTAGGGTTTGCGTTGAACGTCGGTCTGTCAGTCAAATAAGCCATCTGCTGCTGCTGCTGCTGCTGCTCGACACCGGATGCCCCCAGACGAAGGGCCTTTCGAGTGATGTAAGTCATCGACCGTACCACCCTGCCGTGGCAGATCGCAGCAAGAACCAGACACTTTGAGCACCTCTGCGCGCCTCGCGGAGCCAGTCTTGCAGCCATGGCTGGCGGCAGGATCCCGGAGCTCGTCACCCGCAACCACCCGTCGTCGCCGTCTCCGACAATACCGGCGGCCGTACTCAAGGAGATTGTAAGTCCCTCTCAAGTGAGGTGCTCTCAGAACCCACCCGCTGACCTGTGATACAAGCACGATGCCGGCGTCCCCTTTTACATGATGGGCATCTTCCTCCCCCACGCCGTCTGCACGCTCTTCATCTTCTCCCGCGTCGTCTGCCGCATCTGGGTCACCCGCAAGTGGTTCCTCGACGACACCCTCATTTTCCTCGCCTGGCTCTTCTCCACCGCCCTAAGCGTCGTCTACGCCATCACCGCCTTGACGCCCTCGCTCCTCGGCGCCCCCGTGGATGGCGCCTCCTCCATCCTGGACGCCAACCCCTACATCATGCGCACCTACCTCGGCCTCGTCTACTACCAGCTGTGCTTGTGCCTCACCAAGCTCTCCATCCTCGCCTTCTACCTGCGCGTCTTCGCCTGCCGCCCACGGGAGCGCTTGCTGGCGCGGGCCGGCGTCGTCTTCGTCGTCCTCTACAGCGCCCCGATGCTGCTCATGAGCTTCCTACAGTGCCACCCCAGCCCCGGCCTGTTCTTCGGCCAGCCCATGGTGTGCTTCAACTTCCCCGACCTGCTCATCTCCAGTGCCAGCCTGCACTCCGCCACCGATGCCTGGCTCATCGTCATGGTCATCCCCACCGTCAGGCGCCTCGACATTCCCCACCGGCAAAAGATTGCCCTCGGGGCCGTCATGAGCCTCGGCATCTTCGTCATCGTCGCCAGCATGATCCGCCTGCAACTCAGCCTGCACTTGCAGTACCGACCCAACAGCTCCGCCGTCCGCAACACCCTGGGTTTCTTCGTCATGACCGTCCTCGAGTGCAACGTCGCCCTCATCTGTGCCAGCGCGCCGACGCTGCGGCCGCTTCTGGCCAAGCTGTTCCCCCTGTGGATGAACAGCGCGCAGCGGAGGCGGTCGTTCGAGCCCTCGACGGGGCAGAGCTTCGACCTGACGAGCCTGACGTACAACGGGTATCCGTGGGCGGCGCCGCGCTCGCCCGCCGCCGCCGCCGAGAGGAGCAGGAACGGCAGCGTGAGAAGCCACCTGGACAAGCCACGGATGCCGGCGCCGCCGGGCAGGGTCCTATCGATGACGCAGCGCCAGCCGACGACGTTGAGCCTGGGCAACATGATTATTGGAACGGCGCCGCGGGTCGCGCAGCGGACCAGGGCCCGGCCCCTCGCGGCGGACGACGGCAGCAGACCCATGCTGCACGAGACGTGGGACGCGAAGCGCAGCTCGTCAATCTACTCGCAGGACCCGGTGTGGGACGAGCTCGGCGAGCACGATTATGAGGAGAAGGGCGTCATCCCCAAGACGATGAGTCTGTGCCTCCGCTCCGATCACGCGACGGACGGCGGCAACGTGGAGCTCGGCATGACGCAACAGCTGGACGTCAACCGCATGAGCCCGATGTCCGGGCTCAGCGGAGAGACCTGGACCGGTGATAGGAGCAGCTCAGGCACGAACGCCGAGAGCATTAACGGAAAATTGATGATGGAGATACCCAGTGAGAAGGAGGAGGTAGAGGCAGACGGCAAGCCCAAAGTGCCCATGCGGAGCCCATTGAGAGATAGCCGGAGATGAACATTAATCAAACAATATAGAGTTCCCTCATCACTTCTTAGCCATGCTCCTTCCCGAAAACTCCTCTTCAAGTGGTATGTTCCTCTATTGCCGTTGATATGGCCCGCGGCAGAGAGTATGAAAGAGCTTGGAGGTACGCAATCGAGCCCAAATGTCCATTCCAATCATATCTTCCTAACTGACGGGATGGCTGCGACTGTCATGGCTACCGTGGCGTAGAGACACAGCAAGCGCAAGTCGCGTGGCAGCCTGGGCAGATATCTTCTTGGGTCGTCTTTTGAATCGCAATTCAGGGATATGGAAACGGACGGTGTCCTTGGCATCAGACACAGTAGCATTGCTCATCAGATGTAGCAACCTAGCAAGCAGCCTGGCCTACCTAGCTAGCCACGAGACTTCATGCAGCAAAAGCGGAGGCGAGCAATCATAAGATCCGTTTACGTAATCGAACGACTGAGACTGTTTATGTAATCTAAAAATCAAGACATGGACCGTGCCCATTCGTCCCATATCCCCCCCCCCGCTCGGGCTCCCGCTTGGCGCTAACATGGCATGAACCAAGACTCATTCCCAAACTACACGCTTCCTTTTGCTCATGTTTTCAATATAGATTCCAACCCTCGTTGGGGAAATTGTAGACGCAATTGGCCATGTCACTCCTTTCCCTGGCTTTCTTTGATCTACTTTGCTTTACTTGGTTTCGCGGGCTGAGGTGAGGCGATTGCCGTCAGCTCGTGTTCCATCCTTGGCAATGCTGACCTGTCACATCTTGATCTTCCGTCCCCATCGCAGATCCTGTATGCTGGCTAATTCCAATCGGACGAGCCGGTCTGCGGTATCCGGGTTGTTCCTGGACATTAAAATCGGTCATATAAGTATCGCATCTGAGCTGTAACAGGTCTTCATACTTTCCCGTCGCCGGATGTGTCAATCACCCAAGGTAGGTCCAACAGCCGGCATCTTGACTTGATGACCACTTGGCATATGGGGATGGCCTCGTAGATCGATGTGAGCCTCTTCTTCGAACTCATCAAAATGAGACATGAAAAGCATTGCGCCTCTTGCACCGCGGTCTGGTCTAGTACACTGTCTCGACATGCTGCCAAGGGCAATTCAGGAGGCCAATCGCATCTTCGTAGTGTATGGACGATGCCATCTTGACCGGACTCACAGACCAAGGTATCTGATGTTTCCTTTCCGTGACTGGATATACCTGGTTCCCAGAAGGCACAACGCCGAAGCGTTCCGTTTGACATCTTCATGCTCTAATCCTTTGCTCCGACGTGCCCTATGCCCGTCTCTTTACCCTTGCTTCTTTTATTTCTCTTAGACTTGCCTTGAAGGTTCCGTCGTTTGTTTCTTTTCTTCTTTTTCTTTTCATCTCTACGAGGCCAACGCCATTACGCTCTTTTTTTCCACTATTCGCCAACTGTCTCTTTCATCAGCAACCTCCTGGGAAATAGAGGCTAGAGCGAAAAGACAAGCATCTAGAATAGCTATCATGACGAAAGCCTGCTGGGCCTGGGCCTCGGCATGCCTTCTCTTGCTCCTGTTCACCGCCGGCGCAGCTGTCATACCGAACGGCAGCCTTGCTCTTACCTCGACAACTTCATTGGCACCACCCTCCTCGACTGAGGGATCGCAAACACTTATTACGCCTCTGAAGCAGCGTATGAGGGTTCGCAAATATCAGAGCAACTCAGCAGAAGACGGAACTCGCCTCGAAGCATTGCTTGTTGGACAGCATGATGGCCCGAATCAGAATCAGATACGGGCGCGCCAACAGCCGCCGTACGTCATAGCTGCCCTTGATGCCTTCGATGCGAGTACTGACCAGTTCAACCAGGCCCGCCGTTGGTATGTCGCCTGCCATCGGGGTGCCGCCCGCCGTTGGGATGTCGCCCCCCGTAGGGACGCCATTGACCGTTGGGAAGCCGTTGACTGTTGGAACGCCGTTGCCCGTTGGGACGCCGTTGCCCGTCACCACTATCACCGTCGTCCGGACTGTGACCGTTGAGGTTGCCTCCCAGACCAGAATCATCCACCAGCCCTTCGCGTATACCCTGACATTCATCAATCCTATCGTGGTCTACGAAACCCGCGCGGTTGCTGCTCCGCAGCCATTCATAACGATAGCTGCGAGAGGCAAGACGAATACGGCTGCATTCAATCAAGAGTCGCATCCTGCGGCGCTACCGGTATATTCGCCCCAACACAAAGAAGCTCCTCTCTTTTCGAGGCCAGCACGCGTTCAACGACAGGCTCCGGTGGCAGCCCCCATGGCTTCTATGATCACCGTCGAGGTCACTACGACTTTAACGAAGTTGGGCCCCGTTAGCACTATTACTGCGTACAACCAAGTCTTCGTGTCCGTGACTGTGAACCAGACCGTGACCTTCACCAGATACACAATGGCGCTTTCTACTGGGACAACGGCGTCCCTTCCGTCGGCCAATCCCATTCCCTTGTCTCCCGAAGGACCCGAAGGGGTCAAGCCGACCGAAGGGATCCAGCCGACTGACACGACCACGTTCTCGTCCACGTTCACAAGTGGCTCGGAATCGGCCGGCACCACTACCTTTTTCGCTCCGTCAGATACATCTGCCGAGGCTGGCGTTACGACTTCATTCTCGACGCCATCTGATCCAGAAGCTCAACGTCCTACGGAAAGCACAGCAGCAAGCTCTGCAGGGCCGCAACCGGACTCCGTCGTCACCGCTGCGCCTGCGCCTTCCGGGCCAACTGCGGTAACAACCCCAAAACCCGCTTCAAAACCGGCTCTGTCACCGGGCACGATCGCCAGCATCTCGTTGGGCGCTGTCACCGGTGTGCTCTTCTTGTTATTTCTTGGCTACCTCTATCGAACCTACCGCAATTACGCCAAGAACCGCCAGCACCACCAGTCACCAGAGAAAGACTACAAGATGGCACCGCCAACGATAACCACCGCCATCACGCTGAGCCGGCCCGAAGTCGCCTCCCCGAACCGCGAAAGTCAAGACGGGGCCACACCCGGCCAAGCTGGCAGCAAGAGCGCAGACGAGGCCAAGCAGATCAGGGTTGTCATCCGGCCGGTCACGAAACGGCAGAGCGAGGATGGCAAACACAGCGAGGACAGCGACGAAATGGAAGCTCGGCGGGAAGAGTGTCAGCGCGCGTCGAACAACATGAACAAGGGCGCCTACAGCGTCTCAATCGCGGGAGGAAGCGATTCGACTCTTCACGACACTGCCGGTTGGAGCAACCGGAGCGATAATGGAAGCACGATCAGGCGCGCGGCCTCGCAGGACGGCGACATACCGGAGCTCCCGGAGCCCCGGCCCTGATAGGAGCAGCACGGATGAAAGACCGGCGCTAGGCTGGGGCGGCATGCCGCCCCGAATGTAACCAGAGACTGAAGTGAGGCTAAGTTCCTCGAAAGGCCGGCGATGGTAATATAATAGTGAATAATAACAGAAAAAGGACTTTGTTTGAACATCGCCGCTGTACTCATGTGACTGATAATCATATTACAATGAGATGGGTAGAGGCGCGATGAAAGGATGGGATGGGGGATGGGGCGATATAAGGCGGCTAATTATCAAGTGACTCGTAGCAATTACCCACCTATTGCTTGTGTGTACGCCCAGTCCGATTGCACGGTAAGTAAGAAGTTGCAAGAGCATGTTTTTCAGTCAGAGAGGGCATACGCACTGCAGTTTGAGATGGCTATGCTGGGACGTGTAAGAGTGTGGAGATGAACGGCCTTTGAGCTGAGCCCGAGCTTTCAATACCTATGATATGACACTCACGCCACCATCTCAGCCATTGTGTCACACTCGAATGGACTTGCATGAACGTTGCTGACCAAAAACAATTGTGGAGGCAACCCGCTTGACACTCCCGTTGTCACGCTGAAGATGGGCTGACACATCAGGGTCTAGACAGTCATGGAATGGCACAACCCAGAGTCAACCTTGTATCTTTGAAATGACATTGTTATGATTGGTTGGAAAGATCTCCAGCCAATGGAAGCTTCGACGATGACCGAGTGCAGGGATCACCCGAAGTGGGGGGGCAGGAACCGTGACGTCGGTACTCGGCCCCTCTGTCCCTGCATTGCAGTTGCTTAAAAGGACCCCTCTGCGACCCTCCCTTTGGCTGCTGTTCCCCTCCAAGACAGACAGAACGAACTCAATCAACCCAAAGACCAATAACATCGCATCCAACCTTACAAACACCTGAACACTCGAAGCCTCTTTCCTCTTCTCTAGCCAAACAACCCATAGACCATCACAATGACTGTCGACAAGGCTTCTACCTGCTGCGGCAAGAGCGCCGAGTGCGTCTGCGGTATGTCACACACTCGCCTATTAATCCATCCCACGTGAACTTGCTCGATACAACAACACGACAACACATTCTTCTCTTGGAAAATATCCACAGCACATTCGCTCGCTCGCAACACAACTATTCCCACAAAGAATTACAAGCTGACTTGTCCCTCCTCTCGTTCAGCCCAGCAAGCAAAGTGCTCCTGCGGCGAAAAGTCCGCCCTCCACTGCACCTGTAGCAAGGCGTCCACAGAGAACTCCGTCACCGGCCCGCGCTGCTCGTGCCGTGCTCGTCCGGCTGGCGAGTGCACTTGCGAACGCGCCTCCACCGAGAACACGAAGCCCGCCGGCGAGACCTGCGCCTGCGGAGTCCGCCCAGCCGGTACGTTTTCCCTCCTCCCAATATGCTCTTGGGGGCATTGCATTGACACTCGTTAGACGCCTGTACCTGCGACAAGGCCGCCGACGGATCCTTCAACCCGAGCGAGCACGAGACCGACTTCACAACCCGTCGGTGATTACAATTTCCAGCTCATCGGTCTTCATTCAAGCTTTCAAAGAAAATGGCGTTCGAAAATGGGGGTTATTTCATGGGTCTGATGGACGGGGTCCCGGCGTTGACGGATCATTATGGTATGGCCTCTTCCGAGGCGGGGGATTCTGGCCAGTAGGAACGGCAGGACCCCGACAAAAATATCACAAGCTTCTTCGATATCTGTGGCTTCTTCTGGGGTGCCACCGTTTCACTGTGGCATTTTACCTGCAGCATCGGTTGGTACGCGGCTATTGCATCCGTCGTCCATACCGCGATTGTACTTGCCCTCGATTGTTATGCGGGTTGTCCTCCGTCGTTTCTTCGTGTCCTGTGGCCTAGGCCGAGATGGGACATTGTCTGGCCGATGTCCGGCACCATCTGGCGGATGGCCAAATACAGCTGCCGGTCATTGATATACTTCTGCTTGTTTCTGCTGGCGACCTTGGGCAGATTGCGGGATGAGTGGATCATGGCACGGATTCTGAAGCAGTACCAGGAGAGCCCTCCTGTGGCAGACATCAACGTCGTCGTCGGCGAGCCGCAGCCCGAAGCACACCAGCAAACAGTCGAGAACGCTATCGAAACCGCAGCGGATGATTCAAACGAGACAAGTCGCAGTCATGATAATAAAAACAAAGACACGAATAAGGGCCAAGGGAAAAACAACGGAAAACAGGCTAAGGCGTCTCACAACATCGGAACGAAGCAGCCCAGGGACCGAAAAAAGTGATACGGGGCTGGGGTGGTGATGGGAGACGCAGTCAAGCTTGAAGCAGGGGCAGTTGCAGCAGCGGAGCATGGATACCAGATTGGATTAGCAGCAAGCGCTCTTTCTGTTGGCTAGCGATGACGATATGTTAGACAGCATTGGCAATCAACTGGTATGTTTTTTCCAGGCGCTTGGCTGATGCTGCTTAACCACGCATCGGTGGATCTGAGGGGATATGATGAAAAGACGGTCGCAAAGTGCCTACAGTACAGTAAAGGGGCGGTCAACGGTGCCACCCCAGGTGCCCCATTCTTATAAGCCCTCCGAGACCCGCGAGGCAGTCAAGCAGTCTACGGATAATATGCATTGGCATCTCTTTAGCATTGTGTCATAAGGCTCTCCGCATCGAGCCCTCAGGCACAAAACAAATATGTTTTTCACAACAATGACGCCTCGACACATAAAAGAACTCGGCAATGGGCCATGATTGAACAACACCAATTCATAAAAAGACTGGTGTACGGAGACACAGACAGGGAGACGGACAGACAAGGACCTGTCAGACGGCGTTCAGTACAATTTCAAGCAATTTGACAAAATGAAATGAGAGCCGAGTTGTTCGTGGCTGTGGGGATTTTGGGAGGGCATCTCGGCAGACATTGAATGCGAGGGTTCCACGACTCACCGGAAGGTCGTAGGCCCACCTTGACGTCTGTTTTTTTTTTCTTTTTCTTCCTTTCCTCTCTCTCTCTCTCTCTTTCCACCCCTTGTCGTCAAGTAGTCGTGGATTCTGCCGCGAAGAAAGGGCAAGTGCGACAGGGCGGTCAGGAGCTCCGACAGGGGGTCGTAGCTTCTCGATTTGACGCAATTGGTTCCCAGGGACCGGAGCTCAGGCCACCCCTTGTCGTGAGGGCCCCCCAAAAAAGGGCCCAGAAGGGGGAACCCACGTATGTTCCCACCCGATCGCACCAAAGGAGGCCCAAGAGGCGAGGTCAGCCACCAAAAAGCCAATTGGGGACACGGCGCACTCTGCTGCAGCGCGGCCCAGCGTCGCGCGCCCGGAAGCCACAAAGCGCCACCCCTGCTTGGTCAGAATTCCACAGACCCAAGAAAATAAAGCTGCGCCTGACCAGCCGGTCGCGTCACTTTTTGCACACGTCCCCGTCCTCGAAACATTTTCTTTCTTCCCAAAAACAAGAGCACACGATTCTTTCGGAGTCTCTTGTTTCTAAATCCATCACCTTAATCACCCCAACTCGCGTCGCCATTGTTTACTTTTGCAATTGCCATCGCTGAAATATCCCCCATTACCCTGCCCATCCCCCGTCGCCTTTCTTACACGCGCGTCGTTCTCGCCAGGACCCTACCTACACACCATCCTATTATCACAATTACCTGACGATCATGCCTCCCAAGGGCACGACCAAGAAGCCGGCTGCGCCCAAGGCCAGCGCCCCCAAGAAGGCTGTGGCCACCTCTGCCGCGCCCAAAAAGGCTGCTGAGGCCCCCAAGAAGACCGCTGCGAAGCCCGTCGCGAAGAAGAACACAGCCACCAACGGCGCGACTGCCGCCTCCAAGAAGCGCAAGCTCGTGGAACAAGAGCAGGTAGACGAGTCTGCCGAAGAGTCTGCCGAGGAGGAGGTTGAGAAGCCCGCGACCAAGAAGAACGCCAAGAAGGACACTGAGCCGGCCGCGAGGAAGACAAAGGCTGCCACAGCTGCCGTAAAGAAGAAGGCCGCTGTTGCTGAAGAGACCGAGGATGAGTCCAAGGCCAAGAAGCCAGTAAAGAAGAGCGCTCCAAAGAAGGCCGAGCCCAAGAAGACGGCTGCCGCCAGCAAGGCCGAGACCAAGGCCTCTGCCGCAAGCAAAAAGCGCAAGTCCAGCGAAGAGGCCGAGGACGAGAAACCCAAGGCCAAGAAGTCCAAGACCGACGATGCTGAGGTCGACAGCCAGGCCACTGAGTCCGCCAAGGCGACAGAATCCGCCGATGAGGAGCCCGAGGTTGAAAAGCCTGCCAAGTCCACCAAGAAGACTGCCACAGCTGTTGCCAAGCCCCATCCTGCCCACCCTCACAAGGTTGGCAAGAAGATCAACTCTGCCCCTACACAGATCCTCGACATCTACGTCTTTGGCGAGGGCTCGTCTGGCGAGCTCGGTCTCGGCAGCAGGAAGCTCGACGGCAAGAAGGTCGTCGACGTTAAGCGTCCCAGACTCAACCCTCACCTCTCCGCAAAGGACGTCGGCGTTGTTCAGATCGCCTGCGGTGGCATGCACGTCGCTGCGCTGACCAAGGACAACAAGATCCTAACCTGGGGAGTCAACGACCAGGGCGCGCTTGGCCGCGACACCAACTGGGACGGCGGACTGCGTGATGCTGATGCCGAGGAGGAAGAGGAGGATGACGATGATTCTGGCATCAACCCTCGCGAGAGCACTCCCACCGCTGTCGGTGCTGAGTACTTCGCCCCGGAGGCCAAGTTCACTCAGGTTGTGGCCAGTGACAGCGCCACCTTCGCCCTGACGGAGGATGGCAGAGTGTATGGATGGGGCACGTTCAGAGTAAGTTGACTTGTAGCCGGAACCCGAGAGTTCCTTCGCTAACATACGTGTAGTCGAGCGACGGTATCCTTGGTTTCACCGAAAAGATCCAGATCCAAAAGACTCCCGAGTACCTCCCCACTCTGAAGAACATCACCGCACTTGCTGCCGGTTCCAACCACATCTTGGCTCTTGATGACAAGGGCGTCGTCGTTGCATGGGGCTGCGGTCAGCAGAACCAGCTCGGACGTCGTATCATCGAGCGCAACAAGCTTGCCTCTCTCGTGCCCCAGAGCATGGGTATCCCCAAGGGCAAGATTAACCGTATCGCCTGCGGATCCTATCACAGCTTCGCCTTGGCCAAGGACGGCAGTGTTTGGGCCTGGGGTCTGAACAACTTCGCCGAAACTGGCATCGAGATGGGTGCTGGTGAAGATGACGCCGTTGTCCTGAGACCCACCGTCGTCGAGTCTCTCAAGGACTACAAGGTCAAGCAGATTGCTGGTGGAGAGCACCACTCTCTTGCCTGCACTGAGGATGGTAAGCTCTTGACATGGGGTCGCCTGGACGGCCACCAGGTCGGTATTCCCGTCGAGGAGCTTCCTGAGGACAGGGTCATTAAGGATGAAAGCAACAACCCTCGTATTCTCTCGAAGCCCACTGTTGTCGAGGGTAAGTGATTGTCCCTTTTTGACCAAGATTAAGACTAACAGCCATTCCAGACATTGCCAAGTGTGTATATGTCGCCGCTGGTGTTGACAACAACTTTGCCATCGACGACAAGGGCGAGGCTCACTCCTGGGGCTTCTCCGCCAACTACCAGACCGGCCAGGGCACGACCGAAGACATCGAGACCCCAACCACCATTGACAACACTGCTGTTCGCGGCAAGAAGCTCATCTTCGCTGGCGCCGGCGGCCAGTACTCCATCCTGGGTGGTGTTGCCGACGTCCCCAAGGTCAATGGATTCGCAGCACTAGCAGCCAGCCAGCCGGCAACCGGTGGCTTCAGGCCCGTGTTCTAAGACGTCCAGTTAGGGACGAACACTCAGTTCGCGAGAATGCGCCAAAGGGTTTCAGAAGCGAAGCAAGCATATGGAAGATGGTTTCTAAAATTACACGTATGATGAATGAGCTGGAACCAAGACTACCAGGTAAACCTGGTCAGCGTGGAGCTTGGCATAGGAGCGTAAGCCATCGCTACCATTTTCAGAGTTGCGATTTTTTCCCCAGCTCATTTTCTGGTATGAGCGTATTTCTACGATAGGGCATATTCATATGATATTTTGGTTTAGGGCTCCGGGTATTTTTTTCAGCGGTCCGAAAAGGCGGACCCATAGATGTTTGATCCTCAACCGAGAGACAGCACGAGTGTGGCACCGGCATGGCACGGACGGGATGGGCGAATATGGGAGAACGATGGTCCCAACGGAAGTCAGGCTCTTTCATGAGAGTACCGGGGATACTCCCGCTCATCGAGCTCCGTCTTGGCCGTGTGTGTATATGGCTCGCCGTTGCTGTAAGGCTCTTGGTTATCGAGACGATTGCGGTCTCTTGTAACACTACGTTTGGCCTTTGGTAGTTCTGATGCATCATCTTTCTCTTGCGCTCGTGGAGATAACATGGAGAAGAGAGGTGGGGTGTGGTCCCAACTTTATCTCGCTTCTTTTTTTTTCCTCTCGCTCATTCGGCAAGGCATGGGGAACGGGTGAGGAATGCGTTAGAATATCAACATTTTTATTCTGGCTTCATCTGGACATTGATTAGATATTGTACAGTGACTTTGGATCATCGTCTCGGCCCCCGGCTCCCTCCTTGCCGCTGGCAAGTCATTTCATTGGTTGCCTCCCTTCCCGTCTATCATGACTCCCCCCTTTTTTGGACTCCAATTGTGATGTCTTTTCCTCCATTTCTAGTCCCTGCCATGTGGCCTCTGCGCTTTGGTATTTGGAGACTCTCTCAGTCCCGGTGTGCTGCTGCTCTAGTAGTCTGTTATCCAAGGACTGAATGAAAGGTTATGAATATCTGAGCTGGTGTGTTCTTCCCCCTTGCGTCTTTCCTTTTCCGTCTGCCTTCATCCCTTCAAGCCGGCCGCGGCCTTGGCCAGCGAACCGCCGCTTCCCCTAGAGCTGAAGATACCCATGATGCCGAAGCCGACGTAGAACAGCGCCAGAGGATAGGCCACAAGGCCGCGCATGCCCCGCATGCGGCCGACGGCGCAAAACATGGCTGAGGCCGAGTAGGTGCACCACAGGATGGCCATTGTGGTTAGGACGATGCCGAGGGGGGTGTCCATGGGCATAACAATGCCGAAGAGGCTGGTGGCGACAAGGGGGAGGAGGCAGTAGCCCAGCACGGAGCTGGAGCGCGCAAAGGTGAGGGTGGTGGAGAAGTGGCCCCGTGAGGGGTGGTCGTGGTCGACGGGGGCGCCTGGATAGCCGCCGCCGACGCCGACAGAACCGCCGTACTGGGGCGCGGCCGGGTGCGACGAGGCCGAGGGGTGGGTGTCGGTCGGGGTCATGAGGGAGAGGATGATGTGCAGCGAGGTGCTGCCGAGGAGGGCGAGGCCGTAGATGTAGCCGAAGTGGACCTTGCCGGCGAAGAGTAGGAAGGTGCCGTAGAGAAGGAAGGAGAGGAGGGGGCCGGCGAGGTCGCTGTCGTCCATTAGGTGTTGGTCGATGCGGCGGAAGGGGTTGAGGACTGCGAGGGTCTACAAAGGTGGGGGGGTTGTTAGTTGGTTTTACTCTCAACATGCGAACGAACGGTTTGGGGAATGCCGTTGGCCAGCTACCACATGGGCATGGGAAGAGAACGGGAAGCTATCGCACCTTTGCTTGGATGTGTCCGAAGTTAACGCCTAGCTCCTCGAGCAAGGGCGGCTCGCCGTCATAGCCCTCGGTCGAGAAGGCAGCCAGCCAGCCGGTGCGCAGGCCGCCCTGCTCGCCCATGCGGCCTGAGACTCCTGGCGGCGCGCCAAAAGCCGCCGCGGCGCTGCCGCCGACGAACTGGCCCGCGGAGGGCTGTCCTCCGTAGCCGTACGAGGCCTGTTGTGGGGTCGCATGGCCCGAGACGGCGTCGGCGGGGGAGTAGGAGGAGGGGTAGAATTGGAGGTTCTGGGCGCCCGTTCCAGGGCCGGGGCCGTAGGACTGTTGCGGGTAGTAGTTGGACATCGCCGCGGGTATGAGCGTTGCGGGAGCGCCTCGGGTTGCTTCAAGGGTTTTAGGCGGGGGACGTTCCGGGTGCGGTTATTGGTTGTGGCTTGAGATTGTTCAACCCCTGTCTTGGACCGTCTCCGTTTCGAAGGGGGGAGGGCAACCTTTGAGGGGATCGAGAGTTGGTCGCTGTCGCTGCGTACGGATTGCAATGGGGTTTCTGGAGAGAACGGGAGATCGTCTCGGATGGTGGGCTCGAGAGCCGTTTTGCGCCAGAGGGGAGGTTGCGAGCGGCGCGCGGTTTGGCGTGGGAAAGGACAGGTTGTACCCGAGCTTGCGATATTGGAGATGTAGCTTCTTTCGAGGTTCACCACGTCAGCCAGGGCAGGAGCTGTGGAGTGGGACCTGGAGATATGTTGGTGCCTGGAATGCGAGGTATCAGATCAGAGCTCCATTGATGCCTTATCGATAATGATAAACGAGCATACCTAAGCTGATAATGTCCGGAACAATGTCATATTCCATGACCGAACCAATCAAACCCAATCTCTAACATTGATTTTAACGCACTCTAACCACTAACCCTATTTTGGACTAGTAAGAGGCACGGTACTCTCGGGTTGACAAGGGGGGGGACATTATCAGCTTGTCACTCATGAGAAACACCGCAGCTCTTATCGCTCAGAAAGCTAATTAGGACCAGAGCTTTGGACGATATCTCTCGTTTCTCCATGCAAACTGAAGGTGAACTGCTCAATAACACAACAGGCCTTAGAGAGGAACTCACAGGAATGACAGAAATCTGTTATATACCCCTCAATGTGACGTCAAATGAAGCGCAATCTCTGCCCACTGCCTTGCTAAGAGGTAAGTGCTAACTCCAGAGATTCCTATTCCCGAGGACCGGTCCCGGCTAGACTAGCCCCGGCAGGATGAGAGAGGGAGAGATTACGGACTGCTCTGTGGGGTGAAATGTACCTCATTGTGACTAGATTGATCAGCCGTGGCCATTCAGTTTTTCGGCGGCTCTACGAGATCACCATCGTATCTCAGGGGGCCTCCTGGCAATCGGTCCTTTGAATCTCTGTATTGGTGGGATTTCAACTGCAACGGAGACGGTTGATGGATCCCATCTCGTTCCCAGCCTCCATCAATAGGCTGCCTTTACGGCTGTAGAGACGACTTTCCACCAACGGGAGGACGGTTCGTCTTCGACCCCAACATAACGGGGAGCTCACCGATGGCATCAAATGGAACACGATGGCCTTGGGTGGGATTCGAAATGATTGGGTGAGGCACATCATCCCCATGGGCCTAGGCCGAGGAAGACGCTGTCAAAGTAGGGACTCCCTATTGATGATGCGTGGCTTTGTGTTTAAGCTTGATGGCCGCTGATAACTCGATTTTATACCGCTGGCTGTTGTCAACCTGGTACGTGGGTAGCTGTAGTCTCGCATTCAATCGTTTCCTTGTTCATCTTATGCCGTGCTTCTTCTTCCAATAATAGCAAGCATGGGACTCTGCAAGTTTCTCCTCGCCATCCTTCCAATTGGTCTGGCAGCCGACCTCTACGTCGCGCCTACGGGCTTCGATAGTGCGGCCGGCACCTTTGCTGCCCCCCTCAAGTTGATCCAAATTGCTGTTGACAAGGCCGCTGCCGGTGACACCATCTACTTGCGTGCTGGCAACTACTCGCCCACGACCAACATTCAGATCACCAAGAGCGGTACCGTCGCCAATACTTGCACTCTGACAGCTTACAACAATGAGACGGTCGCCATCGACGGCGAAGACTCGCCCGGGGCCCCGGTGAGTCTCCTCCCAACGCTGACCGCGGTGTCCTCCATATTGAGAAGGTAGGGCTGAGCCATACGGATCTAATCATGATCGTAGGCTTCCACTGACGCTGCCACAATAGACCAGCTACTGAAAGCTCTACAAGCTCACCATCATTAACGGCCCCTACGGCGTCTACCTCCGTGACGGCTCCAATAACCTTTTTGAGAGCATCGTCGCCCACGACAACTACGAGACGGACTTCCAGATGCAGGGCACCCTGAGCAATAACCAGGTCGTCTACCTCGATTCGTACGGCAACCGCGACCCCCGCAAGAATGGCGAGAGCGCCGACGGCTATGCTTACAAGGAGGGATCCGGAATAGGCAACATCCTCAACGGCGCCCGTCCCTGAGAGAACGTCGACGACGGCCTTGACCCTTGGTAATTGCTTGTGTCTCTTTCTCCTTCGTCCTGTAACCATGTCTTATACAATGGTGGATAAAGGCGGCCCCTGTAGCTGGGCGTGGTGTTGTCGACACCAAGATATCGGCCTCGACTAACAGCCCAATAGAAAGTTCAAGTCACCCGTTACTATCATGGATACTATATCTTGGGGAAACGGCGTAAACCTATGGGGCTTCAGTGACTTCCAAGGGGATGGTAACGGATTCAAGCTGGACGGCAGCGAGACCGTTGGCGCCACCACCGCTTGGGATTGATAGCCATCTTGGTCTAGTGTTCGTTGATACATACTGCGTACAAGCGTAAATGATTCTCCTGTAAATATTTAGTAGGAATGCCAAAGCTCAAGGTACATTGACATAGCCAGGTTCAATCTAAGATACACGCTAGTGGCGTCAGTGTGGCCATTGAGAACCCATCAACCAGAACGCCAGCCCTTTTCATTGTGTATGGCGAGCGCCAATATACTTCGTTTGTCCACAAGCGGCCCGGCCGAACGGCGTGCTCATTCCCAAGCCTCTTCCGTCCTTTTCCAGGGCAAAGGCAGCAATAACAGTAGTGGTGATAAGAACATTGACAATATCTAAGTCGATGTTGCGATTTCCCCTTGCCTCCGCTCTATGTACGTGCACAGCATTGAGGGTATAATTCAGCCAGAGGCCAACTCAGGGGTGCTAGAATTATAGGCTTGTGGCTTAGAGCGTAAGGTTTCCGCAATCTTGATCTTACCATACCCCGTTTGCCACTTGTTGATGAGAGAAATCCATCCTGATGATAGGAAATGTGTTCGCGATGGCATCTCCCCAGACAGGGTGATGCAGCTGTCACCAGCTGTGAGCATGCTGAGTTGTACATAGTATCGAGTGAGGTGGCGTCCGAGAAAAGTTCTCGGCGCACGGGCAAACTCGCCCCTCCGATGGCGCTGGGCAAGCCCGGAATTTCTTGTCGGCAAAATCTCCCAATCGTGAAGTGGAATTTTCTGGATTGCGAGCCAACGCAGAGCCCATCCGGTCCTCCGCAACAAGTCAGCCCTCAACTCGCGACATCGCATCCCGGTTCCCCCAAGACCGCGCGACTAGCCAAACTTCGATTCCACAGTCCCCTTTTGTATCCCTTATCACGTGGACTGCGTTCTACTACCCGCAAACATGGTGAGTTCATCCGCCTCGTCCCCCTTCCAATGCGATGCGATGCGATGCGCCTCCCGAAGTCCTCCGCGATATGTCGCCATCTTCGAAGCTCTCCACTGACAATTGTCCACCAAAGGCCTACCGCCTCATCACTCAGGTTCTCTTCGTCGGTACCCGCATCGTCGGCCGCTCCTTCGCCGCCGCCTACAGGCAGGCCCAGGCCTCGTCCGAGTACCAGCGCGCGCAGGTCAAGAACGGCAACGCGGCCGCCGGAGCCAAGGGCAACCTGTCGTCCGGCATGACTCTCGACGAGGCTTGCAAGATCCTCGACGTCGAGGCGCCCAAGGACGGATCCCAGAGCACAAGCAACGTCATGGAGCGCTTCAAGAAGCTGTTCGACGCCAACGACCCCAAGAAGGGCGGCAGTTTCTACCTGCAGAGCAAGGTCCTGCGCGCGAGAGAGAGGTTGGAGAAGGAGATTGGGCCGCTGGTCGAGAAGGAGGAGGTCGAGTCCGAGGTGAAGGAAGGGTTCAAGCCCAAGATTTACAAGGACCGGTGAGCGGATTGCATTCACGGTGCCCGGGGCGGCGGGCGCAAACGTAACCGACTGATCGACCGACGTACCGGCGGAAGCAAATCCGAAAGACGGAAGGCCGTAGAGTGGGTGATCTGCCAACGCGGACCTCTCTCGAGAAGGGGGATGGCCTTGAGTAAGACAACTGTATTGGAACAAACTTCACTCGACTCCGCATGGCAAGGCGTTTCTGGGGAGGGATCTCTTTTTATTTTCACGGCGCGGCACCGCCAGCATTGGCATGGTTAGACGATATAAAAAGAGGGCGGTGCCTGCGCGGGAATGTGTTAATACTGTACTATAAGACACGGGAAGACCAACGATGAGGACTTGGGCCGATGAGTAGAGAAAGAGAGGTCGACTAGAAAGCGCGGACCTTGTGTACTAGATACTCAACAATGAAGTTATCAAACTGCCGGTGGATGGACTGGGGGTGATTGACTTGCCGACCAGATGCCGGCCGCGCAGTATGTTGGCTGCTGAACCTGCCCACGTGCTGTACATCTAATGTGAGCATATGTGCATGCCTCTCCTACTCCGATCCTCGGCGAATTTGACCAACTCTCTCTCTCTCACTCCACCTTACCAAGTTGCACCTAGCAAGCAAGCCCAGCCTGGCACAGTGAACCGACCAGCTCATCACCAAAATGCAAAAAGGGAACCGACCACGATGGCCAACTCCGTACTTGCCCAGAGGCGGATTCGAACCGCCGTCAACACGGATCGCTGTATAGAAGAACCACAACGTATCATCCTAACCAACTAGACGATCTGGGCGAATTGCTGCTGCTTTTCCCTGGTGGGGAGAGAGGAGCTGTTGGGGGGAACCCGCAGGAGAACGGGTCTATGTCGCCTTGTGGGCGAGGGCTGAAGCCGCGGTGGAGCAAGCGGGCATGCATGAAAGTCTCTGGCAACAGGTCCAAGTCAGACTACAATCCCAAAAGAGTAGTGATTTAATAATTTAAACACAAAAGGCGTTGAACTGAGTTACTTGCAAAAGGGGAGCGAATGTGCCGGTCGTCAGGTTTCAATGTTGAGTCTCAAGAGTATTGGCATGAGTCGTGGCCGACTCGAGTCTCAGCGAGGGACTCCCAGTGACAGGCAGACACAGGATACTCTTCATCCTGATGCGAAGATGCATGCAGCATTTTGCCTCCCTGAAACGAACATGTTGAAAGTGCCTCATTGTTTGCGACCAGCCCCCGCGGCAGCTGAAGCCCAAGTACAGTCAACATGGATTGGTGTTCTCATGGTAATGTTGCCTTGCCTGCTGCCACCAAGATTTCTCCGTCAGGCGGAGCGTTATGGTCAAGCTCTTGGAACTCGACTGTAGATATAAATGAGAGTGGCATGGGATCTCCATGGAAACGATGTGTGGGTGGTCCCTCATTGACTTACTGTTATTCCAAAGCCCAGTCTGGCAAGTTTCTGGTCGTCTTAACACGCCATGTCTGCCTGTGCCAATAGTGCTTTCATCAAAGATATGCTTCTTTAATCCACATGATATCTTTTTGAAGTCCACATGAGCGCAGCTAGAAGTGATGGTTACACAATACACTCACTTTCACAATGGTCTTGCTGTGAACCAAGCTGTGCACACAGTCGAGGTTAAGATGCATGCAGAATTGGCAAGTCAGAAAAGTGGGACAAGGTCGAAGACAGGACGTCACCACCCCACCTTTGATAACATTCATCACGTGAACACTGTCTTATCGATAGCCGCAGGGTGCACAGGAATTCTTGGCTTTGTCCTTGTACGACACCTGAATTTTATTTCAGTCGCTTAAGCTTCTTAACGCGTCAACACCAGGATCCACAACCCAACGCGCCCATAATGAGTTCATATAGACCCTCACATTCGCCTCGCAGAGGCAACGGCGGCCACAACAATGCGCGCGAGAATCGCAACTATGGTCGCTACGACTCGCGCTCATCCCATCACCCACCGCCACCAGGAGCTGGAGACACCTGGCGCAATCCATGGCCCGAGGACCGTGAGTATCGACGCCATCCTAGCAGATCGCGGTCCCCTCCGCGTCGGCTCGACCATTATGATTCTTACAGAGGAGCCGATTCAGGCCGCAGATCCGGAGCCCACGATGGCTACAGACCCGATACCCGACCACCCCAGGGCGACTTCACCTTTCGCATGGATAAGCCCTCGGGTGTAGGCGAGGCTGCCACAGGAGATTCCTACCGCCCTTATCAAGGCAACGACCGACGCAGGGCTGGACGTACTCGCGGAGGGCCCTACCGTGGCCGCGGCCGAGGCGCGTACCAGAAGATCATCCCAGCCGAGCGCGAACTTTTGCGCGAGCGTCGCGACGGAGTTGACGAGAACCTGGTCGCTGAGGGCGATGTCGGCGTTGTGTATAGAGACATCGACGAGCTATCAGACGACGATGAGGCTGATATGGAAATCTCGGACAATTCGGACGATGAGTCGGGTGAGCCTTCCAACAAGCGCGCCCGCCTTTCTGGCAACGACGATTCAGGCAACAGCATCCCCAAGTGGTCCAATCCAGACCCGTACACGGCCTTACCCCCGCCTGATGCCGCCGAGCGCAAGAAGAGGGACATGGTCAAGATGATCCGGAAGGCGCGAGTGGACGAAACTACGGTCGACAAGCTTGCCGCCAGTACCGAGGCAGAGGAGTTCATTTCTTTTGACCTTAATGAGCCTGGTGACAACGACAAGGCCGAAGAAGAAGAAATTATTCTTCCTCCTTCCGAGCCACCATCCCCTCCCCCTCCCCCTCCCCCCCCAGTGCAGTCCTCTCCCCATTCTGCTCGAGAGCCTCCCTCCGGACCTCGAGCAGACCGTGACAAAAGACCTGCCGCCAACGGATCGGCTGCCTCAATAGCTCCATACATGCCCGCTACTGACAAGCCTGCTGGCCTACCTCCCAAGCCCCTCGTCGCCGACGACGCTCTGGGCTCGCGGAAGCGCACTGCTGATGACCGCATTAAGCCTCCTACTTATGGTCCTCTGAAGAAGGTCAACAAGATGCCAGTCGGCGGCTCCATTTTGCCGGAATGGCAGATCACCAAGGGCGAGGACCCTACACCCTGGATCCAGACCGACCATTCCAAAACGTCCGACATGAGCGTCTGGTGAGTGGGACTTGAGTTGTTTTGGAATATAGCGCCTAATCTCCTGCAGGCTCCATAAGGAAATCATTGACTTTTACGAAGTTGTTCGACCTCGCGACTTTGAGCATGAGATGCGGACTCAGCTGGTGGAGCGACTGCGCAGATCTCTTAAAACTAGTCATTTCTACAAAGATTGCGACGTTCGCCCCTTTGGATCGTACATGTCCGGTCTATACCTCCCCACAGCTGACATGGACTTGGTTGTCTGCGCGCGAAGTTGGCTCGACGGCGCGCACTCCAACTTCTTTGGTATGAAAGCGTTGCGAAACTTTGGCAAGTTCCTCGCGCAAAACAAAGTCACCCACTACAACACCATGGAGTTTATTGCTAGCGCCAAGGTGCCCCTTGTCAAGTACATTGACAACATCACTGGTCTCAGAGTCGACATCTCCTTCGACCGCCTCGACGGGCCCCAAGCTGTCAAGACGTTTGCAGAATGGAAGGAACAATATCCGGCCATGCCTATCCTTGTCACCATGATCAAGCACTTCCTAGCGATGCGTGGCCTGAACGAGCCCGTCAACGGAGGCATTGGCAGCTTCACTGTTACTTGCATGGTTGTGAGCATGCTGCAGCTCATGCCCCAGGTCCAGAGCCGCAACCTTATCCCTGAGCACCATCTGGGCGAGATGATGATGGAGTTCCTCGACCTCTACGGAAACAGGTTCGATTATGTCAACACGGCGATCCGCATGAACCCACCAGGCTATGTGCACAAGGTACGTCTAAACAAGTCAATCCATCGTCAGCTCCACCTAACCAGTCCTGAATGCAGGTCCGAGTCCGCGAAGTTGTCTACAAGAACATGGACCGTATTTCAGTCATTGATCCCAACAACCCTGCCAATGACATTTCCGGCGGCTCAAGTAATGCCGGTCGGATCCTAGAAGAGTTCAGCGTCGCTCACAAGATGCTGAAGAAGAGAATGAGCGAGCTTGCTCAGCAGGGCTCCCGCACCGATAGACCCGCTAGCATCCTCGAGACTATCTTTGCTGGTAATTACTCTTCGTTCCGCCTCCAGCGCGCGCATCTCCGCAAGCTGTATGACTCCAGGTAATGGGGTAGGGCCAGTGGGTAGGGCCAGTCTTGGGCAAGATGGCCCGAGACTACCGTTCGCAGCATTGATACAGGGAGGATTGGGCTTGACACGATACATCAGAAGAAGCGAAATATCTCAGGGTATAGGAATCATTGCTTTCATTTCTAGAAGGGAACGGCACAAACTCCAGCCTGGAAACGGAGTCAAGAAGAGGCGGCTATTTCTTTCACACGATACCCACCCACCATTTCCCCTGGCCGTCGGACTCGGGATTGCGCCGTCGAGTTGAACTTGCACATATTCCGAGGTTCTTCTTTTGTTCTCTTTTTGTTTCACTTTTCTTACTTTTTTGAAATGAGTTGTATGATAAAAAAAGCGGAGGTTTTGGGCGGCTACGAGTATTGACTTTTCCAGGCCCGGTCTGTTCCGCTTGTCGCTACACGGCCGCCCTTTACTCACTCTGTGCCAGCTACCACAGCATCGAACAATGCCCTAGTGGGCTTATCTCAATGAACATGGTCTTATTCTATACTACTCAGCACGCACGCTACGAGCTAATCTGACGCAGTGCTACCGTTTCTACCAGGAGCGAGATGCTGCTTGAGCATGGAGCTGTGCCCCTCCTTGCCCATGGCGGCTCAAGGCTTGCCTCACTTTCACGCTGACCATTCACAGACAATAACGCAGCTTCGCATGGAGCCTGCACGCGACGAGGGAGGGCCTTGTATCTCTGAGATACGGGATGCTTGGATCTGGTACGAGGACTCGCACAATCTTGAAGCCAGCGCTCTTCGGGGTGCTGGTGGCTTTTCTCACTGCATACTATGCCTCGGGCACGGGTGTGGAGAGGAAACGAAGCATGGGGAGAGGGGCATTCAAGATGAGCAGGCCGATGAATAGGAATACTTCGTGGCAGTGGCGGCGGCAGCAGCGGTTGTGTTGCAAAAGCGATGGCAGTTCCACGCCAGTTTTTTTCCCCCAAGTATTGCCGGTAGCATAGGTAGAAAGACTACTCCAGACGCAGTCGCCTCGGCTCCAACCCAGAGCTATCATTTGAACTAGTCTCAGGTTGTCGACAGTATCGATTGCGATGCCAAAGGTGTGATCTGGTGTGCGGCTACTATCGCAGATCTCGACAACCGTCTGAATCGACATAATGTGTCATGACAAAGGTGGATCTACCGTTGCCGCTGCTACAACTGTACTCAAGTACTGTCAAGACGTAATGGTAAAGAGAGCAGCCCGCAAGGGAAGGATTCGTTGATTCACAAGGGTGCCGATACACCGTTGTACATGGCAGCGAGATACGATCTATTCTGTAGCTAGCCCAGTTCCCAGTCCATGGGCGGCGGCAAAGTCTCCAAGAGCAGCGCGTCATGGGTTGTACAAACCTGATTGCCAGAGATGCGGACCTGTCATGGTATGATCACGCGAAGTGTCTCTTCGTCGCTTACAAGCACAAGATGAAGACGAGAGGGCCCTCCTGGGTAGAAACTTGACGTCCGGCTGGCAGGCTGCGAGGAGAGCTTCGATGGATTACTACCTATCTAAGCTTTATTACTGCCACCCAGTGTCGTAGTGCCTGTAGAGGATTCTTTACCCACACGAAGAATTGCTGCTCCAACATCAAAGACAGTGTCTGCTATTCTATTGTTGGTGATAGCAATAGCAAGTCCCAAGGGCAACCGTATGTTCTTCTCCCAATTTCTGCCAAGGAATCGGTTTGTCAAGTGGCCAGAAGCCCACACATATTGCGGTGAATGTTCTACCCTCTTTTCTGGCCTGTTCAAGCTCTTTGCTACAGGCCAGTTCACATCTCTGTTTCTGGGCCTCCCAATGCTTGGGCTCCTTGTAGATGAAGCACTTCCGTGCAGACTCCTCGCGGACCCGTTCCCGGTAGTCGACGGGGTAGTCGGGCTGGGGTCGGGCGCGAATCGTGCATACGTCCTCCGGGCAATTGCCATACTTGCAGCTGAACTGGCAGAGGTGGTTCAAGTCTCTGTCTGCATCGTCCTTGGCGGCGACGTGGACCTCCCTCTCGCCTGGGACGGCAATTCGCGCGCCCCTGGCGGTGCACTCACACAGAGACTCTAGACAGAAGCCATATCTACACGAGAACTCGCAGAGGTTGCCCGACTTCGTGGTCCGGTCCCGTCCTGAAATGCAACTACCCGCTTGGATCTCGTTTCTCGTCTTTTGCCTTCGCTCGCACCAGACACCTGTGCATCCTCCCGTCGGGCGCGAATCACCGAATTCGGAGGGGGGGTCGAAAACAGATGCTGACGGGTCAGAAGGGAGTACTTTTTCACCGAGTCTGCCTTTCTGGGCGACGACATTGTTCCCCCTGGTTTCTGTGCTGTTTCCAGCTGCAGCGCGAAAAGGAAAGGCGTTGAAGAAGTGAATGCTGCCGCTGGAGCGACCTACGCACAATGCTAGGAGGATAACGGCGGCTTTCATTGTCGATGAATGTTCTGGATAGGGACAGAAAGGGTGAAAGGGAGGGGGGGTAATCGTGATGCCAATAGATGTGTATTGACGACAAATTCGGAGTGGAAGAAGGGTATTCGTTTGTCAGAAAATTCGAGCTCTATTCAGATGATATAAAAGAATCTGGCAAAGCTGAAATTCGAAGAGAGGCCTCCAAGGGTTGGTCAGTGGCAAAGTTTTATGTCCGTCTTTTGCTTGATGCGTAGATGGTTTTCCAAAACATGGTTCGACTGAAGCTTCCGTCCTCTGAACCAGCCAACCTTTTGCCTTCCTTCCTGAGCTATGGTACGTGAAAATCTTGCCCCTTGAGGCTTCTACGAAACATGGGCTCCAGTAAACGCTTTCTGTCCTGCGAGCAAAGCTACGAGAGGAATCGGGCTTGTGGCTCAGAGCATACGATTCCCGCAACCTTGGTTCTACCGAAACCATGCAAAGACGGAAGACATTTGGGCGGCGTAACTGACTTACGTCCCTCATTCCGCCACTTAAGCGACTTGCTATTCAAGTATTGTGAGAGTTTCACAACCTTGCCGGCTGAACCAACCCTTATCACGCCAGGGTATGGGCTCATGAACATGGAAGTCTCCAAAGGTAATGATCGAGGTCCTCGCCGCTACCACCCATCCGGACAGTATCTTTGGCACGATCATGATCATAATTGATGATGTATGGGGAAGGAATTGCTCCAAACTGCTGGGCTCTTCTCACTGTATTAAAATGTCGCGGTTTATGCGCATTATACTGAAGCGGGGATGTAAAATACTGCCCCTCTTGTCCAGACAGGTTGTTTGAAATTATCGTTAAACTTTCAGGCTCACGAGTCACAGGATTGCAGCCGTTCTTCCATCGATGTGTTCGTTCCCTTCCTGACCCTTAGACCCATCCCTCGGCATACTTGTACCCGCGACTGGCAGGGAAAGCTGTAGTGGACGTAGCAACAATGCAGCGACCTGTCATTCTTTCTCACGCTGTTGGGTTTCCGTTTGGATCAGTCCCCCGGAGCTCGATGGAAGGGAAGGAGCCGGTACTGAACCCTGCCGGCCCTGGATTGTGTCCAGGTTGGCAGAACCCGGTCGATCATAGCAAAAGGCGGACAACTCTTTGACCGGGTGTGTGCATCCAAGTAGTGTTTATTCATCACATCTCGTGAACCTTGCCTGACAGCATCATCTCATCCTACCGAGATAGCAACACTCGCCATTGTGTAACAGCCGCCTCCGTGTATCAAGCCCAAAACGCTTACTCTATCTGCGGATTCGCCGTCATTGATACGTGGCCGCTCATTCCTTCCCGTATTACCCACGCCATCCAAATAATCAGCTCAAGATTTGCTGGGGCTTCAGTCGCAGCTCAGAGGTCTGCGCGAAGTTGATGTCACAACTTGTGCTGTGGGAGTGTGTAATCAAAAGGGCTTTGCCGATCCAATCAGAAATTAGTAGTTCGGTCCTTGCTGCCAGTAGTCGAGTCCAATGTTGAACTGTTCAGGTCACCCACTACATGAAGCAACAAAGCTCGTTCCGCGACTGGATAAAAGATCACTTCTTGACGACACCTGCGAGTCGGGAGCAGTTGACATCATCTTTGACGCGGCCCCGGAAGTGAAACATGATTCTTCCACTGAATCTCTGTAGCAGGCCTATCACTTTTATACCTGGACGTTTACCACCATATCGGCGCATGGGTATAGGAAATGTGAAGAAGAAGAGTAAGGGAAGACGACGACTACTCTCGGTACAACGGGTCCACACAGAATCATTCACAGGGATCACATCGCTTCGAGAGCGCCGTTGGAATAACATATAACAGAAGCAAAAAAGCGCTGCATTTGCAGCCTGGCCGGCACATGGTCATTTCGCCCCGTCTCTTTCGGCATCATTCAAGATAGCGAGCAGAGGAGAGCACCACACCCTCTAATAGATCCCACCCATCCGCGCCCCCCCCTAGGACGAACCCCTCCGTCTCAGAAAACAATACCGCCCCCGTCAACGACCAGGTCGCTCCCGTTGAAGTAGCTCCCCGCGCGCGAGCAGAGCATGACGACGACGCCGGCGATCTCCTCGGGCATGGCCATCCTCCCCGAGGGGTTCCGGCTCGCCCAGACGGCGCGGGCCTCGGCTAGGCCCTCGCCCTCGTTGAGGACGGTGTCGACGTAGCCCGGACTGACGCTGTTGACGGTGATGCCGTGGCGGGCCCACTCGGCGGCGAGGCTGCTCTTGAGCTGCAGCAGGGCGCCCTTGCTCGCGTTGTACGCGGCCTGGGGCTGCGGGTAGTTGACGCGGTGGGCCGAGATGGAGGCGGTGAAGATGACGCGGCCGCCGCGGCCGGCGCGGACCATGGCGCGGGCGGCGGCCTGGGCGCAGACGAAGGCGGACGTCGTGTTGACGTCGAGGACGCGGCGGAACTCGGCGGCGGGGGTGTCGAGGGCGTGGGAGCAGCTGACGATGCCGGCGAGGCAGACGAGGTAGTCGACGCCGCCGAGGGCGCCGACGGCGTGATCGACGGCCGAGGGGACGGCGGCCTCGTCCGTGACGTCGACGGCGCGGGCCTCGATGGCGGCGGCGGGGAACTCGTCGCGGAGGGAGGCGACCTGGGCCCGGGCGGCGGGGGAGGCGACGTCGAGGTCGAGCAGGAGGAGGGCCGTGAGGCCGTGCTGGAGGAGGGCGCGGGAGACGGCGCGGGCGATGGCGCCGGTGCCCCCGGTGATGATGGCGGTGCCGGGGACGGCGAAGCGGTCGGCGGCGGTGTCTTGGGCGGAGGCGGTGCGGAGGGCCGCGCCGGGGAGGTCGGCGAGGCCCGTGGCCAGGGTCATGGTGGGGAGCTGGCGCTTCGTGAGGTCGGCGCGGGCGGCGGCGGGGTCGGCCATGATTTGGTGTTGGTGGTGGTGGTGGCGATTTATGGGATTTAGGAGATTCGGGTGGTTTTGAGTCGGGACTTGTAGGTTCAGTGAGGGATATGAGGTGGGATATGAGATGCTTAATTGAATCGACGAGGTCAATGGAACGCTACAAGGGAGTCACTTTGTTTTTCTTCTTCTTTTTTTCGAATGTTTAACCTTGTTTCCGTTTAACCCGCCGCAATGTTGAACACCCCGATTTCGCCAAGAGGCGGGGGAAGGGGGGTCATCCGGGTTATCAACACGTCGTCGGCAGCGCAGGGTGACAGGACGCCGCGCTCGACGGAGGACTGTCGCCCGATGCGGGTCAGGGTCTGTGCTGGCCGGCGGCGGTGGCGGCGGCGGGGTTCCGAGTGCGGGGGTGGATGACCTTGTACGTCACGTCACGACGCGTTGGGAGAGAGGAGGGGAGGCCGGGGGACGTCCAGTTTAAAAACATGTATAACAGGGTATTGTCAAGCGGGCGAGGACGACATCGTCAATAGTTCACCCCGGGCCACCTTGCGCTCGCGGTATGGCGTGGTATGTACCTGTCACGAAATCGGAAGTGAGATAGGTTTGAGTAATTCTCATCATGAACAGACACGGCATTTGTCGCCGCGCCGATTAAATTACGTAAACTAAAAAAAAAATCCATGTGAAGAATACTACTTTGGGACAATCCACCATTGTCATGCCATGTCGCCGTGTGCGCGCAATGAATGCCGTCTCTAATCTCGCTCGACTCTTTTGCAAAATGCTGAAAAATAAACACCAAAATTCTGTTGCTTTTTTCCGATCCCCCCCACCATCCTTCTCCCTTCTATAATCAACAGACAGTAAGAGAAAACGTGACCATGTCGGACTGGGTATGAATGCAATCATCTGCGGTTGAAGTTCAAGAACTTGCTCTGTCAAGTTGTCAGCGTCTGCTGGAGGAGAAACCCAAAAAATGGGGAAGGAGAAGGGGGACTTACGGCCATAAAAATAATAATGATGTTGCTACCGACAAACGCCGCAAAGATACCAATATCCCTCCAACGGTGGTTGAAATCCAACCCCAAGGGCTGGTAGAACTCGTCGCCGACCTTGTAGGCGCAGTACTCGCAGTTCGACGTGTCGTTGTTGGCAAGGTACCCGGGCCCCCCGTTGTCGAAGAAGGGCTGCATGTACTCGCCGCACGTCTGGCCCGGCGGCGCCGTGAAGGGATTGAACTCGGCCTTGGAGCAGACGACCTTGAGGTCGTGCAGCGCCGTGACGACCATACCGCCGATGAGGCGCGTGAAGGGGTCGAGCTGGTAGAGCCAGGAGCGCCAGAAGGCGGGCATCTGCGGGGCGGGGATGGTGACACCGCAGAAGAGGGCAAAGGTGATCATGAGGAAGGGGTCGAATTGCGACGAGATGAAGGGGCTGGGCGTCAGAGAGGCGATGGCGTGACCCAGGGTGACGGAGAAGAGCTCGGTGACGAGGATCATCAAGAACTGGTAGCCCGCGCGGGACGACTCGGACTGGAAGCCTGGCATGTAGTACAGCGGCAGGAAGAAGGTGACGGCGCACAGGATGGAGTACGGCAGCTCGGCGACGGTCATGGCGGCGGCGAAGATCAGCGGGTTGTACATCTTGGACGACGACTCGCGGAAGAAGAGGGCGCGCTTGATGTGGAACATGATCTCGACCTGGCTGATAATGAGGGCCGGCAGAACGGTGACTTCGAACATGACAAAGACCTTGTACTGCAGCGCGCTGCGGCTCTGGTCGAGGTTGAGGTAGGTGAGACCGGTGATGAGGGCGACGATGACATGGTTGAAGAGACGGGTGAAGAGGTAGTCGGGGCTGCGCCAGAAGCTGAGGTTCATGCGCTTCACGACCACCTTGAGCTGGTGCCACTGCGGGCTGGCGTACTCCCTCTCGAGGTCGTGGTTCGTGGTCCGGCCCGCCGCCAAGCGCTGCTCCTTCAACTGGCTGATGGTGTCCTTGACGTTAGCAAGCTCGGCGCTGTCTTCCCAGATGTCGGCCCAGTCTTTGTTCCCGACGCGGGGCGCAGAGCCCGCGCCGATGGCCTCGAGCATGTATTCGGCGACGTTGTCGGTGGGCTTGGCGACGGCGCCATGGCGCTTCAGGTAGTCGCGCAGGACGACGGCGTCCTGGCCAATGTCGCCGAAGTAGACGGTGCGTCCGCCCTTCTGGAGGAGCAGGAGACGGTCAAAGTTCTCAAACAGGGCGGCGTTGGGCTGGTGGATGGTGCAGAGGATGGCCTGTCCGGCGGCGGCAAGCTTCTTAAGGAAGCGCACGATGTTGAAGGCGCTCTGGCTGTCAAGACCGGAGGTGGGTTCGTCGAGGAAGAGGAGGAGCTCGGGCTTGGCAGCCAGCTCGACACCGATCGTGACGCGCTTCCGTTGCTCGACCGTCAGGCCGAATTCGGGGGATCCAATGATACAGTCGGCGATGTGCTCCATCTCGAGCAGGGCGATGATCTCCTCGACGTACGAGAACCGCTCCGGGATGGGGGTCTCGTAGGGCTGACGCAGGAGGGCGGAGAAGCGGAGGGCCTCGCGGACGGTCTGAGTGGGATCGTGGAGATCAAGCTGCTCGGCATACGATGTGCTTCGCTGGAACTGCTTTCCGGGCTTCATGCCGTCGACAAGAACGTCACCGTGAATAACACCAATGTTCTTGCGGGACGCAAGAACATCAAGGAGGGTGGTCTTGCCCGCACCGGAAGCACCCATCAGAGCAGTGAGCTGGCCGGGCTTGACGTAGCCGTAGATGTTGTTGAGCAGGCGACGGGTTCCTCCGGGAACAGGGACGTCATAGTTGAGGTCCTCCCAGGTCAGGACGGCCTCCGACTTGATGCTCAGCTCAGAGCCCTCCTGCTTGTCGCCGCGGCGCTTGGCGGCTCGCTTCTCAACGAGAGCCTCGTTGAGCTTCTTGCGCTCCTCGTTGGGCTTCTGGTAGACCTTGGCTGAGTTGCTGTTGTTGCCAAAGCTGATGAGTTCACCGAGAGTGACGTTCATGATGAGGAAGAAGACGATGAGGGCAAAGATGATGCCCCAGTTGCGCCACAGATCGCCCTTGAAGTAGCTGAATGCAGCTGCAATGTATGCCGAACCGTCGACGAGAGTGGTGCCGGGCTCGGAGCCAGGAAGGGTGCAGACTTGGTGGTTGATGTCGCCATAGCCAGGGCCCGATGGAATGAGCGACGTGCCAGAGCATGTGAGCTTCTGCCGGCTGAACTCGTTCTCCATCATGGCGCTGAAGGCAAGACCGAGCGCGTTGACCCAGTAGATCCATCGAATCCACACGTGCTCAGACTGGTACTGGATGATGTAGCCGGATGTCACGACGAAGAAGGTGATTAGCACGACGGCGAGTTTGATGGCTTGGTCGAAACCTAGATCAGTGTTAGACGTATTCTTTGATACAGTTTACCCACTTAGGGAGTCAAATATTCACCGAAGCTTATGCAGCCGAGAATCCTGAAGAACAGGGTCATGGCGATGTTTCCTGACAGAATCATGAGGTAAAACGTGAAGAAAGCCCCAGCGTTGCGGACAAGGCCCTTTTGACGTGAAATTAGCTTCTATCAGATATTGTGTGAATACGATAATAATAACTCACGCTCATAAAATATACAATGACGGAAAAGACGAAAATCTGTGTGGCTGCAAAGGCCTGGTCGACGATGATCTGGGCAATCCAGAGGGCAGAAGGTCGGTGGAAGGCGTAGGCTTTGTGTTTGTTGACGATCGCGCGACCAGTCATGGTACTTCCGAGTTCCGAGAAGGCCTGGAAGGCGTTGAACAAGAGCGAGATGAACATGACACCGCCCTTGCTGAAGGCGCTGGCAGAAGTCGAACCGAGACGGAAGAAGAGGGAACCGAGGACGAGGGCGATGACGATGGAGCGGATCCAGGAGAGGGCGAGAGCGAGGCGGTCTTGCAGCTTGAGGACGAATTGGCGCTTCATCAGCGCCCACACCTGTAGGTGGAAGCCAACAGCGTAGACGGACTTTTTGGAGGTGCCGCGCTTGGCCTCCTTGACGGCGACCTGGAAGTCCTCGTGCTTCTCCTTCTCCTGCGCGAGGCGGGCCTTGTACTCTTCCATCTCGCTGTCGAGCAGCTTCTTGAACTTGGACGCCTGGAAGGCCTCGGCAAGGGTCTCGGGGCTGTGGGGCGCGTTCTCGGGCGAGCGGCCGGGGGCGTACTCTCGCTCGAACTCGTCGGTGCATCCGGTCACGTAGTCGGGCGTGGTCTGTCTGGGGCGGGGCGCAAAGCCGAGACCCTCAAAGTAGGCGCGGGCCTCCTTGGCGGGGCCGAAGTAGACCTGCTTTCCGGCGTCGATGACCATGACCTTGTCAAAGTGGTTGTAGATGTTCTCGGAGGCCTGGTAGAGAGAGACGAAGGTGGTGGTCCGGTACAGATTCGTCTGGACGCGCAGAGACTTGACGAAGTCGAGGGCGGTACTGGCATCGAGGCCGCGGGTGCTGTTGTCCCAGGAGAGAACGCAGGCGTTGCTGATCATCATCTCTGCGATGGAAACACGCTTGCGTTCGCCACCAGAAACACCGCGCACCAAGGCGTCGCCGACGATGGTGTGGCGGGTGTGCTCGATGTTGAACATCTTCAAGAGGGTGGAGATGACGTGCTCCTTGAAATCCTGTTTGGACAGGCCGACAGGGCGCTTCGCAGGGAGCTTGGTGTCGAGAGCAAAACCCAGTGTCTGCTCGACGGTGAGGGTGGCGTGGTGGATGTCGTCTTCCTGATTGTAGACGGCCTCGCCGCGGTACTGCTTGAACTCGCCGGCAGTAAAGGGGCCGTAGAGCACCTCACCTTCGACGGCGGTGTAGCCATCGCGCCAGTTGGCGATGGTCTTGAGAAAAGTACTGCAGCCAGAGCCAGGTTTACCCAGGACCAGAACCATCTCGCCGGGCTTACAGACACCCTTGAAGTTGTCCAACAAGGTGGCCTCGACGCCCTTCTTGTTCAGTCCAAGCAGGTCCATGACCGGGGTGACGTAGTCGACGAAGTTGACAAAAGCATCGGGGAATGTCTGCACGTAGTTGGTGGTGCCACCCATGCCCTTGACGGTAAGGCCGTCCCAGTAGGCACCGATGTGCTTCGGTCTAATGCCGGCCTGGCGCTCGGCCTCGACGCCACCGCGCAGGACGGCCTCGAGGTCGAACTGTTCACCCTCGGTGTCGGAGGAGGGCGAGGACGAGTTGACGTTTGCGACGGCCTTCTCGACATCTTGATGCTTGTTGCGACTGTTGCGACTGTTTACCCTGCTTGCGCGCGACAAGCCAGACAGCTCGCGCTGCAGCTCAGCAAACTCGGCCTCGGCCTGGTGAACCGAGACACCGGTGTGGATGGCGCTGAATCCATCGGGGTTGTTGCGGCGGGCCTCCTCTCGCCGGTTCTCGGAACTGTCAGTGGCGGTGGAAGTGGATGATCGCGAAGGCGGGTTCGCGTCGGCCGTGTTCTTCTCGTCGACGACGGCAGGGCTGCCTCCGGCGACAGCTTCCTGCGTCTTTTCAAAGGCCTGGTCGGCCATTGGACCGTCGGGGTGAGAGACTTGTCGCTTTTGGTCGATGTCGACTGCGAAGGGTAGCTTAGTGGTAGGGTACGAAAATTCGGAACGGTGGTTCGAAAGCGCGGGTGAGAAAGTGAGTGTATGAGAGAGGTGAAATATTTATTATTATAATAGCGGGTGGTGATCCAGACGGCTGGGAAGTGGTGGTGGCTGGCCCGTGCCGATGAGACGAAGTTGTTGTTTGTAGTGGAGGTACGGGGATGTATGTGTACCGGTGGGAGGGTGGCACGGAGAAAGGGACAATGAGTCGGGGAAGGTGCCGTTTCAAAGAGATGAAATAGTCATGAAAGAGTTGGTGTAGTAGAGAGAAAGAGAGCGCGTGGGCATACGGGAGTGGTGATGCTTCGGACCAGAGAGCCGTCGTTCGGCGGAGGGAAAGATTATTGACCGGTAGACTCACAACCGCCGTTGATGAGTCGAACGACAAGATGGAGGGAAGGTTGAATGAAAAGAAATTTGTTGACCAGAGAAAGCAGTCAACACGCGAACTAAAGCAGCGCTAGGGGAGGGACGGGGATAGAAAAAAATAAGGAGGGACCCCCCTGACATGTTTGGCTGTCCATCGTTGTTGCCTCTGTCGGATCGACTTCGGGAGTCTAAACCGAGGAATATTACATTGCCAATCAGCAGCAATGGCAAACTGGGGGTCGGGGTTTGGCCCGGATGTAGGCCGTCTTAAGCCCGCGCTGTGGGGCACCCGGCAGCTAGGTCTCTTACATCGTAGCTGGCCGATGCTTACTAGTACTTATCGCAAAGATCCGTGTCCATACGGGTCTGTACTCGACCAAGGGAGGTGTTCAATATCATTATCCGTACGGATACATGCAAGGAGACGGGTATCCTGTCTGACAGGGGGCATCCGTGCTCTACGGAGTGGTACTGCCTGTACATACCTACTCAGTAGTACGCAGTATGTTTGTGTGGGGTTGCTCCCAGCTCCATTTGCGGCATGCAGATGCGACCAGGGCAAACACAGAACAGAGAGCCCGCAGCTGATAAATTGTCGGGGATGCCCAGGCCTTTCTGTTGTGCCTGCTGGTGTGAGGGTGGTGGGGTCACCGTGAGTGTGTGGATCATCGATTCTTCGAGCTACCTACGTAGTAGTTGGTGGCCGAAGGCATGGTACCGTATCCCTACTAGATGAGCCATCATGATGCTTGCAAGGTCACAGATTGAGAGGCCGGAAGCTGCAGGACCATCCATCGCCTTGGTAGACAGAGACGGCAATTCTTGCATCATCGGGAGACGAGACGAAGAGACAGCTGCCACCCTCATCCTTGGACGAAGAGGAGGCGGTCAGCATGGGGGAAACTTAGGATGAGATGAATTGGGATGGATCCGAGGGTTTTTTTTTTTTTTGGGGGGGGGGGGGGGGGGGGGGGGGGGGTTTACGCTCTGTGCGTGGCCGTTAATGGACGGATGACATACTCGGCAGCCGAAAAGGACATGAACAAGGCCGGCTGCTATCTAACGGCATCCCACCCGACAAGGCATCTTAGGTCGGCGACGGTCATTGGATACACGTATTCTTTCCTAGGTGATATCGCTGCTTGGCTGCTAGCTGCTAATCATCTTAGCAGCGCCGGCTTAGTGTGCTGCCCATCATGGATGCGAGCACAAGTGCGAAACACAGGTACCGGTATCTAACGTGCCGGTTAATTGTCGGCAGCTGGTAGTTGTGGAGAAGAGACTCTGACCTGTGCCTACCACGAATGCAATATCAAGCTAAGTAACTATCTAAGCAGGTAGGTACAAAGTATGTCTTGCACTTGTCGGTTTGCTGATGCTTATGCCATTGCCGCCGCTGCTGCTGCTGCTGCGCGAAAAGACGGCAATCCGCTTCCGCTTTCTGTCCCTGACCGAATAGGCATGTTTCACTCTCGCCAAATAGAGTACCATAGCCACTCGTCAGATCCAATATCTGCTAATTCTTGGGCTAACGGGAAGGGGTATTACAGCCGCCGTAAGGAGTATGATCTACTAGCAGAAACAGGGATCTGGTGGTAGCAAAAATAGGGTTTTGTCATGTATATTAGAAGCAAATTAGGTAGGAAGTGTAAGAAAGACTGGCAAGCAGGCTTGTTATGGTTGCTAGACGTCTTCTGCTGGAGATTGACCGCCTTCTATTATAGGCCTAGTTTAACGGGCCACACTATACCTTATATAGTAACCGCGATACCTTTTCCTGTTAGCTCCAAAGTTAGCAGATGTCGGATCTGACGAGTGGCTACGGTAGGTATGTAGACATGGTACTGTTGAAGGAGCCTTGTTACAGTCAGCTCTGGCGGGGTTTCCTGTTCCTGTTCCTGTTCCTGTTGTTGTGGGGGAGGAAGGCGCAGAGCTGACCACGGCGGGGGTGGGCGGGCGGGTGGAGAAAGAAAAAAAAAGGTGGCGCTCCTTCTCCACCCGTTCTTTTCTTTCCTCTTCTTCCTTTTTTTCTTCCTTCTTCTTTTTATTTGATGAAATTCTTAGGACCCCTGCCCAGGCTGGCTTGGGGAGGAAGGGCCGAGGGCCGATAGTGGCGTCTTCCTGTTGGTGTTGCCTCTCTCTCACTGGCTCCTTCCCCAGTCGTCTGCCTGCCCGCCGTTGCCCTTGCCGTCGTTCGAGTTGCACACACTAGGTGCAGTACGTACACAGCCCGCACGACTTGTCAGGTAGGTAGGTAGGTATGTGGGCTCTTGCCGTCGGTAACGAGTCATCCGGCAAGACATACCTGTACCTACACGACGCCTGCATACTACGGTATCGGGCCAAAGTTTAACCCCCTCGTCAGGTAAATGTGGCCGTGCTTTTTTGATTATCTCAGCGACGGTACTTTGAGCTTCTTGTGCACATCTATCATAATTCTGGCCAGTGAGAGTCTCTCGTACGTGGGTCACAACTCCACACTACCTGCTAGGGAGTTTATTTTTACTTACCCATCATACGTAGTAGTACTGGAGCTTCAGCTAGCGGCATTCCTACTTCTGAATCAACGCCGCTTACTCAGCGGCTCTTTCCCAAAGCAACAACCCCGAGCCACCGAGCCAACCCAGGTTTGTCCAAGTTTGGAGGAGCTTCTCCGAAATTGCACATCTGACGGCAGCTTCTGAGCCAAACATCTCCTACATCAGCAACCCCCCCCCCAAACAAAGTCATATTACTGAATATTCCCGCCATCAAGCTCTCGTTTGATAGGCTTGCCCTCCTGCTTACAAATACACAGTACAGTCACTTCGCACACAACATGTTGTTCCATCGGCAATCTTCCTAACCTTCTACCTACCCAGGTACACCTGGCCCAGTATGGAAAACACTCGCTCACCCCATTCACGCCCCATCTCGAGTCCCGCGTGCAGATCTGACCTCCCTGGGACTACCCCCTACACTGAGGTAGGTACTCCGTAGTGTGCAACTAATAGGTAGCTTGCAGCTTACAGCTTACAGGGCCGTCACCGCCGTAAGCCCACCGTCGAAATCTCCTGGTACACATCCCTCTGGGTGCACGTTGCCAAGCCCGTCCTTAAATGTTCACCTTTAGCTACTGCACAAGCTAACGGTAGGAGGGAAGGTGGTCGCCCATCGCGCTAGGCTCAATATGGAAAGCGGTCAACCTATCTGTTCACCCAATGACACCCAAACTTCCTGCTGACGTACGCAACTAACCCCTACTTCTGCCAGTATCTGATCCCTGTTTCTGCCAGCACACTATACCCCTTATGGTGGCCGCGATACCCGTTGCCGTTAGCTTGTATAGTAGCTAAAGGTGAATTTAGCCAGTGTGGACGGTAGTTGTGGCCGTCCGCCAGCTAGATCAATGCCGTCCAAAAGTATCCCTACGGTGGGGTGCACGAAAACGGCTACAAGTATCGAAATGATGGGCGGGTGAATAATGGAAAGGTCGGTCTCACTTCCCGTCCCGCCTCTCGGAGACTTTCCCTTACGAATTACCGCTTCGCAGCCTAAGCCTCCCGCCCGCCCTTCCGCCGCAAGTCAACCGCTACACTCCATCACCCGCCTATACCCCCGCCTTTATCGGCCGATGATTCGGGAAAGGAAAAAAAAGGATTTACCCGTGTGAGGGTGCCACCTTGGCTAATCAACGCCACCAACATCCCCCGACTTGGCGAGTCTGACGGGAAACGCTTGACATTAGATGAGTCACGAGAGCTTGCCAGGTGTCGCCAATGGCGCCATTAAACAAAATGTCCGTCCGTCCGTCTCGCTCTCACTCAGATGCGCGCCTCTACCAAGGTGCCCCCCACCCCGCGTGACGCCGCGTTGTGCCCACCGCCGGCAAGTGAGCAAGCACATGGCCCCGACACACACCCAGCCTGCTGGTTGATCCTCGGTCCCAAGTGTTGCGATGCGAAACATGGACGAGAAAGCCAACTCTAAAACATCCCTCGCACGTTGCAGCATGCGCCCTGCACTCTCGATTCGAAGCAGATGCCCTGCCTCGTCCTTCATCCACCCGGATGAACAATGGCAGCTCCCTCTTTTTGGGGAGGGGATCAGCATCCCAGCAATAGTCCGGCATTGACACATTGCCAGACGACTCCTCGTCCTTCAAACTCGGTCAAGGTTAGTTCTACTATAGGCAACTGACCTGTTACGTGTTCTAGATGATGTTTCCGTCGCCAAACCCCCCTTCCCTCCCTCGCCTCTTCCTCCTCCTCCGCCCCTTCGTGTACTGCCCAATTCCAGCCTAGATCACGCTTACCTGCGCTCTCACTTCGTTTCAGAAGCGCAATTTCCTTGCGAGATATGGTAAAAAGAGAAATTACGCGCTTGGCTGTGTGGGCGTGGGCGACAGCGTGAGAGTGAGGTCCCCCGGTCGAACCCGAGTCTGTCTTACTCACTCGAGTAGGACGAGCGAGCGATCTGCGCCTCCAACCCGTCCCGTCCCGTCCCAAAGCGTCGTCCTCAATCGACAAAAAGCAATTCTGTCATCTGGAAGCTGACACTCGGTCTCGTCCCTTTACCCAGCACGCACCATGCTGCCGCCATGGTTACCGGACGTTGTGGATCCTGAAAAACAACGGCCTTTGCGCCATTAAATGGTGACCGGACGTCTGTGAAACTCTCTTGCCGCTCAAAAAGCAACCTCGGCAGTTGTCCAGAGACCCACCGAGGGGGTGCCGGCAGATAGATCTCACCGGAGACGGTGGGGCTTGAGAGCCAGCCCTCGTGTGATTTGCACAGTTGACCAAATACGCGGCGTCTGGCGGTCTTATGATTCCTCACCAACCATGCGGGCACTTATTAACGAACTACCAGCGGCATCACTGATAGACAGCTCATGCCTCTTGCCCTCGGTCCAAAGAAACAAGAGCCAAAGGTCTCTAAGAAATCTGTCGACACGATTTCCTCGTCTCCCAGTTCCAAAAGAGCGGCAGGGCGAACTTCTGGTTCAAGCGGATCTATTGTAGCTCGTAGCCGACTTGTCGACTTTGAAAAACGCAGCCTTGGCCTCGGCGACGTACTTGGGTCCGACGAGGTGAAGTTGGCCCCCGTAACAGCCACCCGTTGACGAAGATGGACCGGTGTAGAGTCGGCCACTGCATCGAAGTAGAGCCGCAGAGGCCCCAGTTAGGTGGCAGTTGAAGACTCGCATTCAAAACGTATTCTGCATCTTCAAGGCCAACTTTGGTTATCGGAGCCAAGACCCAGATGACGCTGGATCCGTTCCACCAAATCGGCCCCGGGCAGCATCAATCTACAGACTCTTTGAGGAGCTCGTTCTTTTCCGGATCGGTGAACGACTCGTAGCGCTAGAGAGTCCTCATGCTCCCTAGCATCGGCATTCGGTCCTGTGCATCGTGTTGTTCCGCGATTATCCCTCCCCCATGACTCGATACTGTATTCGTCACTCCATTCCCTCTGATTTGGCATCGCCACTTTGAGGGCTCATTTCCTCCCTCTTCCTCCTCTTCTGAGACGGCATCATCGGCAGCAAACTCATCAAAGAATTCTTCTTTGGAGTGCCAGCCGCCGCCGCGTCTGGGCCAGCGGTTTCGGACTCAAGGAATCGGGCTTCGGCGTCACCCATCCAGGCCACTCCCCGCGGGGGGGGGGGGGGGGGGGCGAAGACGATTCGTGTGAGCGGGTCAGATCGTGGAGGATGCTTGAGAACGATGTGTTCCGGCCCGCCCTTGGCCAGCGTCGGGAATTGTGCATAGTCATGTCTCAACAGCCCGTCTCCCGAGTGCCTCGTTGAGATATTTCTGATCATATCTTTCGGAACAAGGAGCAATGCCGAGGTGTTCAACCCCAAGTGGAAGCACTGGCCGCACTATAAACCTGAAATTGCTCTCTTCTTTGTAACCTCTACTTGCTCAAGCTGTCGTTGTCGTCCCCTGTCACCCATACAATCACCACCTACTCACTCGTAGCATCCTCGCCCACCTACCTCCTAACCCCTCTCACCTCAACTATCACCTTAACTCTTATTTTAACTCTCACCTCGAGCAGGTCTAGAGACTACGCCCAGCGAGCTGAAAATGATCTGATGGGCGGCCCCTCAGCGATCGACATAGGTTTACTGAGGTAGCGGAAGAAGGTGGTCTCAATACTGTTGCGGAGGCCCAAGTATTGTATCTTTTAGTGAAAGGAGATGAGACGTTACCAAGAAAAAAAAAACCCCTTTCTCTCGGCCTTTCCTTTTCACCTCTCTGAAGAGTGCGGTGAGGCAGGGAAGGGTGAGACTTGGAACAAAAACAACAGGGCCAAAGGTAACCTCGCTCGGCGCGTTCGTGCGGCGCAATCTGCGCTTGCCGGGACCATGTGGTGGGCTGCAAGCACTTCCTGTCCCATGAGCGCATCGGCAGCTTCATGAGACGACAAGCAATCAGATCAGTTGAAACCCAAGCAAGAAGCGAGAACGATCGCGAGGGGGTGGAACGGCCGTCGCGAAGTAAAAAATAACATGAGAAAGAACCGTCATCTCTTTGGAAAGACAATTAGGGAAATAAGATCAAGCTTCGACGCCCACCAGCAGACCTCCCACTCAAGTCTGGAAAGCAATATCAGGGGCGAATAGAGACATCAATCTCAACATCCAGCAATGGATTCAAACCGAATATGGCCGGTTGGCCCAATGGCAAGGCGTCTGACTACGATCAAGTATGGTATCAGGAGATTCTGGGTTCGACCCCCAGGCTGGTCAATCTTTTGAAAAAATTCTTCATCGACTTGTTTGGTGTGCATTTTTGCGGATGCGGGCCCGATTAAACGGGTCTCCGGGGCCAGGGCTTCGTATCCCGGGCCGGGATTGGTTGTCGACAGATGAAAGTCACAGAAAGACATCCGCATTGGCTCGTCACTTGTTTTTAGACAACCTTAACAGGATTTGTGTATATAACTGTTAAATAGTAGGGATTGTAATAGTTAATTAATTAATTAATTACGTAATATATTATGTGTATCTAGTTAAGATCCTATAGGAGTAGGGAAATCCCCCTATTTCTTAGTTAGGAAATCCTAGAGAAATCCTAGCTATATAATTAGTAGATTTACCCTAAAAGTAGGGCCCTTTCACTGCCTATTCCCTAATAATTTACTATAAGGTAACTATATATTTACTAGTTAATTTATATATAATTCTACTATATTTAACACACCCCCTTAGCGCTAGTAATATAGTTAATTACTATAAAGCCTACGCTAAATATCCTCTATATATAGCCTATTTGTTTGTTAATTATCCTTTAATATCCTATACGTTTTCCTCCTCTATCTAGTAGTAAAGCTTTACTTTATTATTAGCTAATTCTTACTATTAATTTACTTTAAGGTATATATATTAGTTACTTATATTTAATTAAGCTATAAATATAGTAAATTATAGTACACTAAGTGCCTTTATTAATCTGTTAGCTATTAATTTAGTAGACTTCTTATATTTAATAGTAATTTAATTTACTACTACTTCTTAGTGTAGCTAGTAGTTATAAATATCTACATACTATAGCCTTATTTATAATTAAATAAGCTCCTTAGTAATAAGCCTAATAGTTTAGGTATTATTATAACTAATATAAATAGTTAGTAGCTGTTTAGTAGCTACCTACTTATTAAGTAATAATTTAGTTCCTAGTTATATTAATAGTTAAATACCTAGTATAGTAATTAATCTACTAGTAAAAAGCGCCTCCTTTACAGCAGATAATAAGGCTAGTAATTTAGCCTTAGTAGTTAATATTATTACTATATCTTATTTATTAGCTTACTAGGAGACAAGCCCTCTAAATAGCTTTAGTATATACGCTTATAAGCTATAATAGTCTAGTAAGTTATTAGTAAATAAGGCGTCTAAAGTAACCTTTAATATATTATCTTTACTATATAGTATTACTTTATATTTAAAGTAAAGGTACTATATATAGTAAAGATATCTAAGTATATAATTTACTGCCTTTTATTAATCTAGATTTAGATTATAGTTAAAGTAGGTAAGCTAGCTAGCTATAAAAGTAACGTCTAGCTAAGTTATTACTACTATATATAGGATTATCCTTACTTTCTTTTAATATTAGTTAACCTCTTATAATAAGGCTATATATTTACTAAGCAGTAGCTTAGCCTTTACTATAAGTAATAATCTATTATATTTATATTTATTATTTATTAGTAGTAGTTTTATTATTTTATTATAGTATACTACTTATAAGAGCTAGAGATAATAGTTACTTTAGTTATAACTTACCTTAAGGCTAAAGAACTACTATAATAGGCCTCTACCTTTAAGGTAGTATTATTACTAAAAAGCTACTATCTTATTACTTACTTATACTTTATCTATATAGTAATAGGCTAATATATAGTTATTAATATAAAAAAAGAATATAATATAATCCTTTTTCTAATAGTAATTCTTACTAGGTACTTAGTAAAATCCCTATATAGTAAGCCCTTCTTTAAGGTGCTTTTGCTATAGTAGAGGTAATTATTAGAGCCTATAAAGTGCTTTTAATAACTAGAAAATCTAGCTAGTAATTTAGTAGCCTAAAGGTATCTCTATAAATACTACCTTATTAATAGTAGCGTAAATAAACATATTTACTATATTATATTAAAGTAATTCTAAATTAAAGTAAGTAGCTATTACTATAAGTATTTTAAATAATATACTTACTAATATAGCTATATAAGTATCTTATAAATCCTTTACTTATTAGTTACTATAGACTATAAGTCTTACTTGAAATTTAGTTAATTAACTATATTTATTAAGCTTATAAGTATATACCTAATAGTAGCTAAGGATTTAATACCCTTTAGCTACTACTTATAGCACTATTACCTAAGATTTTAATATTTTATACCTATATAGATACGCTTTTTTAGTATTTTTAAATTACTTTTTATATAGGTGGCTTTTTAACTATCTATAGATTAGTAAAAGGTGTAGTAACTTCTAATATATACTTATTAGCTTATAAAGTCTAGTAACTCCTTTATTATATACTAGTAATTTACTAGTAATATCTTTATAATTATTATACCTATTAGGCGTTATATAGTTAATTAATTCTTAGCTATAGGCGCACTTTAGCTAAAGGTAGTAATCTTTACTTATTAGTTAACTCTATAGTGTACTAGACTATATTATTACCTATAAGCTACCTTATATATAGTCTATAATCTTTTACTATAAAGTAAGCCCTATAAGGAAAGCAGCCTTAAATAAAGTCCTTAGTATAATCTAACTACCTATATATACAGCAGGATAATACCCTTTTATAACGCCTTTAAATAAGGTTACTACTAGCTAAAGATTACCTAATAGGCTAGCTGTAGTTACTTAGGAATTAAACACCTTTTTACGCTTAGTAACGTCTTATAAATTAATTATATAGGGATAGGATAAGGCATAAGGGATTACTATCCTTATTATTTTAGAACTATTAGTTCCTAATAAGTTACTAGCTTATAGGCTATTAGCTATTAATAAATTATTTAAACTATTATTAGCTTTAATTACCTTAAGTAAGTTACTAGCTTATAGGCTATAGGCTATTAATAAATTAATTAATAGGCTATTAGCTATTAATTTAAGTATTTACTTATTAATTATTTTACTATTAGTAAGTACTTAGCTATTAGCTATTAGATTAATTAATTTAGAACTATTAGTTCCTATTTTACTACCCCTTACGTTAATATCTATAAAAGCTATAAAAAAGGCGCTTAGTAGTAATAGTAGTAAAGTAGGGAGAAGTGTAAATTTTACCTGCTTATATAGATATTCTAGTGCGTTAGCTAATTATAAAGCGCCTAGTAGAGTAATATTAGCGTACTTAACTACTTTATCTATTTCTTTATTAGCTTTTTTATATATTAGGGATTAATTACTAGCTATAATTAGCTTATTAATTTATTATTAGATTGCTATAAGGTTAGCTTTATAAAGCTTATTAAGTAATCTATTTGTTAATTTATTAAAGATTTATTTCTTATTAAATATTACGTTATATATAGTAAAGACCTTATTTTACACTAAATACTAAACGTAATATAAATTACTAGATATATATCTAATAAGGAATCTAATTTATATATAAGTAGTAAGCTTTTACTAGTAGTTTTATAATAGTTATACGTCTGCTATTAGTATGTACGCTTAGTAGCTATAGGCTTATAAATATAAAAGATCTAGCTTTACTATTAGTAAAGGCTTAGCGTGCTTATTAAGTATAAAATATAAGTAAAATAATTAATATAGTAATTTCTACCCCTAAGCTGCTAATAGTATTTAATTATAAAGGTATATAGCTATAGTTATAATTTTAGGCTATAGGACTTTAGGTAATTTTACGTTAATCTATATATATTACGCCTTAAGTTTAATAATTATAGTAATTTACTTAGCGCTACTATTTTAAGCCTAAGTATTTACTACTAACAGCTTAATAAAGATTTTATAATTAAAGAGTATATCTATAAGTTACTTAAGGTATAGGATTTCTTAGTTAGCCTTAATAACTTTTAGTATAATTAAATATTTAGTTTTTAGTATTATAAAAAAGCCCCTTATTATTAAGTTAATAGTATCTTAGTAGTAGCTATATAAGTAGAAATCCTATATAAGGCCTATTACCTAATCTAAGATTATTATTACTAAGTAGTATCCTATATAACCTTATTTAAGATTATAAAAGTCTAGTACTAAGTAATTACCTAGCGCTATATTTATAATAAATTTATAAGGCTAGTAGTAAATCTACTGCTTTATCTTACTAAGACTATATAAATTATAGTCTTATATTATTATAGTATTAACTTAGGTTAGATATACTTTACGTGTAGTATTTATAATCCTTTATAAAGCCTTAGCACCTAGGTAGCTAAGATGCTTATACTATATTATTATATTACTATAAAGTAGTTATTACTATATTAACGTTATATATTTATTTCTTACTTATAGGGTTAGTAGTAAATTATTAGTAGAGTATATAGTAAAAGCGCCTTTACTTTCTTAGCTATAGCTATATTACTTATAATATTTAAGCACTTATTAGTTAGCTTATTCCTTAATATAGCCTATAAGGCTATAATCTATATGCCTTAGGTAATTATTACCTAGGCTTATATCTTACTATATACCTTATTAGTATAGCCTTATAAAGGAAATAAGTAATATAGTAAATACACTATAATATATTATGTTATATATATAAAGCTTTATTAGTAAGCTATTAGCGCCCTTTAAAGTAATCTTTATAGTACTATATCCTTTAATTATAACTTAAGTAGTACTAGCCTAAATATAGTTACTAATTAAGGCTACTACTAACATAATAAACTATAATATATAGTTAAATATATAGTTAGTAGTACCTAAATTAAGTAAGGCTAAATTACCTAGCTTATAGCCTTATAAAGTAGTATAAAAGGCTACCTTTATATAGTATTTACTATATAGTTAATATAACTTAGCCTTAATTCTCTACACTTATTTAGTAAGGTTAGGATTACTTATAATATACTTATTAATTTATTACTAACGTTATATATTTACTTACTAATTATTAGGCCTTTATAACTTATTTATAAAGTAATAAAGTTATAATAAATAGGCACTAAAGTATATAGGGCACTTTACCTTTTTACTTACACTTTATTAGTAGTAATACCTCTTATTATTAAATTTACTATCCTTTACTACGCCTTTAGTATACGTTAGGCTATTATTATTATTACCTCTAGTTAGGCTAAATACGCTATAGCCTACTTAGCTATAATACAGTAAGTTATTAGTAAGGGCTTTAACCCTCTCTAGCGCTATCTTATAAAGAGACTACTAGTTAAGATTATTCTAGTTACCTATTATTTTACTTATTACTATATATAAATCTAGCTAGAAGCTAAGTAAGCTGCTTTATAAAGCAGTAGTAAGGTTATTAAACTAGATTAACAGCCTTTAGTAGTTAAGTAAATTAACTTATACTAATTTACTATAGGCTATATTCTACTTATTAAGCTATATAGTAAGATCTTTCTTAGTAGTTAAGGCCTTTTACTAGGCTTTTACTAACACTTTACTATATTTATTATAAGCGTACTTTATATATTCTTTTTTAGTTATTCTTACTACTATACTAAGCTTATTAAGCTATTTAGCTAGTAATTTATTAGATTTATAATATCTTTTTTAAAGATCTATAAATATAATAGATTTAACTATATTAGCTACGTCTTTAACGTCTTTTTACTAAGTAGTATACTTATATACTTCCTTATAATAGTAGCTTATCTAGCTATTTAAGTATATAAGATTATATAAGTTAAGATTATCTAGCGTTATTATATATTTAGTTTTATATATAAGCCTATTAGGTATAGTTATAATAGCCTTACTTCTTACTATATATAGCTATATAGTTACTTACTAAGATATCTTAGTAATTACTATAGCTATAGTAACCTCTTAGTAAGTAGTAAGCTTATCCTTAGTTAAGGCGTATAAATATTACGTTATAAGTAGCTTTATTATTTTCTTTAAATATATCTTAAGAATTAATTAGTCTGCTACTATAACCTCTAGGTTAATATACTCCTAGAGATTATAACGTTTTACCTTTACTTAGATAGCGTTAAGCTATATAAACTAATTACTATATAATTATAAGATAGTTACTTTATTATTATAGTTCTTATTAATTATTATAATAGTATTTAATTAGTAAATAGGTATATTAGTTATTATAGACGTATATATTAGACTATTAATTATTAAATAGTAGGGATTATAATAGTTAATTAATTAATTATATAATATGTTATATATATCTAGTTAAGATCCTATAGGAGTAGGGAAATCCCCCTATTTCTTAGTTAGGAAATCCTAGAGAAATCCTAGCTATATAATTAGTGGATTCACCCTGAAAGTGGGGCCCTTTCACCGCCCATTCCCCAACAATTCGCCGTAGGGCAACCGTGCATTCGCCGGTTAATTCACGTGTAATTCCGCCACATTTGACAACAACTTAAGTCAAGCCCATGTCCCTCGGTTCCCCTCAATCACACAATATTGTTTTTGGTCGCTTGCCGGGCTCGGCCGGTGCCCATCGGCCCAATGTCCCACTTGGCTCCGAAGCTTAACTCCGATAAGTACGTACCTCCTCCCAGTGACTCGGTCTCACTTGCAAAATATTTCCCCGTTCACTTGCGAACAACAAGCCATCATGTCAACCCCTCGGCTAACAACACGAGCACCGATATTTGATAGTCTGACGCTCATCGTCACCACATCGCCAACACCCTCCGCACCCTCTACTGAGCTTCTAGACGCGGTATTCCAATCTATCCGCCTCTGCTGCGACGACCTGCTGGCATGTCGCATCATCGTCGTCCTTGACACATTTGAGCGCGTTGGCGAGGTCGCTAGGTTGAAGAAAGGCCAAGTCACGGAAGAAGGAGCGGCGGCGTATCTCAGATACAAGGAGAACGTCAAAGATCTGGTGTTGAGAGTATATGGCCAACCCGACAGCAAGGATGAGTTAACCCAAGAGCAAGGGGAAGCCGAGTATGGCTACAGTGGCCGAGCGGCATCCGTCACGACAAACTTTGCAACTTACACGGTGAGCCGGACGAAAGACGGACGGGTTTCCTTCGTGGAGCCGTCGGAGAGGTTGGGGTTCGGGTTAGCTGTGCGGACGGCTCTGAGGATAACGACAACGCCCTACGTTTGGATCCATCAGCACGACTGGACAATTGTCTACGACATCCCTGTGGCGCCGATTCTGGATGTCATGGAGACCAACGACAGGGATGAAGAGGGCCCCGTGAAGTACATCTGCCTACCATCGGTCCGGATGCTGCAGTATGCCGAGAGCGCCCATGTCCAAGAATTTCCACATTTACGGGCTTTGACGGCCAAGCTGAAGCATAAATTCGTTCCGCAGTCTTATCCGACGACCAAGGTGCCGCTAACACCCATGTTCTTTTGGCATGATAAACCACACATAGCGTCCACGCAGCACTATTTGTCCAGGGTGTTCCCGACAAGATTGGCGATACCGAGAGGCGCCTTCATCGAGGACACGATCGGACACCGCGCGAGGACGCAGATGAAGGAGCAGGGTATGTGGTCTCGATGGGGCTGTTGGCTGTTCTATCCCGGTCAAGGAAAGCAGCTATGCCTTAGACATCTGGACGGACGACGATGGAGGGGTGCGGAGGCAGAGATGAACATGAGAGAGATATATAGACGGACACATGGAGAAACCAAAATAAGAGACGCTGATTAGACTGAAATCGGTATTGAGCGTATTAAAGCATGCCTCGAAAAAATACTCTTGTGTAAAGAATCCTGTAACCCAATCATGTGTGGGAAAAGGCCGTCCCACGACGAGCTCCGCGGAAGGGCGCAGTTCGCATCGAGAAAAATCGCCACTTTGGGTAACTTAGGCGCCAGCCTGCCTTGGGACACGATAGGTGCCTGGAACCGCCCCCCAGTCAAGGTGAGGTGGCACTGCATTCACGTGATATGCAGGCTGCAGCCTGATGGCCCAAAAGGGCTCGCTGATGTTCGAAATGAAGTTGACTTCTACAATGCAAACAAACAACCATGTTGAGCTTCCAAAATCCACCCTTTGAAGTAGATCACCAGTTGCTGCCGGACTTGGGGGTTGCGAAAGAGGCGGCTCATCATGTGCCTGGACACCTGCGCGTTCGTCTAGATGACCAGGAGAAGGTCCGCCAGTTCTTGACTACGGAGTTCTGCAACGACGATTTAGATACAGTGGCCGATAAACTGTGGTGGATGTCGAAGCAGGACAGCCGGAACATCTCCCCGCTTCACCGTCAAATCGTGAAGCGCCGTACAATCGTTGTCACGGAGGACCCCAAGCTCCATCTGGTGTGGATCAACGACCGGATCTTCATCAAGCCGCTGCCGCGATACGTCGGCTCGCATGCCTTTTGGAGGGATCACCTTGGTGCTGAAAATGGGCCGAAGGGAAACGAAGGCCGGGTTCGGCGGGCGGCGTTGGGATTCATCCGGACTTATTACTACCTGATCAAATACGAATCTGACTTTCGCATCGCCCAGGACCACAGCCTTAGTCTCATCCCCGCCGATGTTACGTGGACGCAGTTCTGCAACTTTACGTCGCGCCTGGCCGATATCCAAGACGGAGATGTCTCCCAGAGATACAACTACGGGGAGATCCGCCTGACGCGACTAAACTTCTACGCGCCCCTCTTGCTTCGGAAGTCGCACTTCCAGAGGGTGGAGTATCAGTACGGGCCGTATCTGGCGCGATTCTACGTCCCCATTCTGTTTGCCATGGGTGTCATTTCGGTTGTCCTGAGCGGGTTACAGGTCATCATCGCGGTTGGCGAGGGGAGCGGAGGAGGTAATGGCGGCGGCGGCGGCGCGGACAATGTTGCCCTTTGGTTCAGCGTCCTGATGATCTTTGTATCCTGCGGCGTCCTTGTAGCTCTTGGGGCACTCGTTGCATATAAAGTAGCAAAAGAGTGGAACGTGGCGATACGTGATCGGCGTCGGCTGATGAGGGAACGGCATAAGGATAAGACACTGGCGGCGGGATCCCCTTGAAGACTTGATAGATAGAGTATATCAACGTAGCTGGTTCTTGTACGATGGTCTTCGACACTGGCGATCTGATGTTGCGGTTCATCACACCGAATATAACGGTATAAAAGGGTATCTAACATTCAGAATAATATTTCTCCACGTGTTGCTTAGAACACTGCTTAGAGCACGTCAAATTCAGAGAGAGAGAAACGCACTTGAGGCACGTACTCCCTTGGTGACGACGTAGTCACCCTCGTTACCTTCGAATGTGTGTCTATAATAGGTCTCAAGCCACAAGTTTTTAACGCAGCGCAAGACGTAATAGTGACAAGCTAGAGGAAGCCTAGCTGTGTTGCCTAACTTAGGATTTAATATTAATATTAGAGGCAGGGATAGTATTAAGTAAAGGAGTTAGTAATAGGCGTAGTTAGGGTTTAATTATAATAATTATTTTAATATACCTCCTTTAACCCCTATCTTCTATAGAGTTTTCCCTTTTTATTATTCCTTTAGTAACTAGTTTATTTAGTCCTAGTCTTACTTTAGTGCCCCCCTAGGGCCCTACTCTAGGCACTTAATATAATCCCCCCCCTCTAAGGTCTTACCCTTAGGACCTTAAGTAGGCTATCTACTAGTAGCCCCCTTATTAGCTACTTAGACTATTTAATAGCTAAGCCTTATACCTAACTTTTAATCTCTTAAAGCCTTAAGCTAGTTACCTACTAGTAGTCTTTTTATTAGCTACTTAGACTATTTAATAGCTAAGCCTTATACCTTATACTTATCTTTTAGTATCTTAAGAGACGTTTAGGAATACCTATTAGGCCTAGTAGGCTACTAAATAAGTAGTTATCTTTTTAGCTAACTATTTACTTTTAGCCTTACTTTTATACTATTACGTTTTAGCTAGGCCCTAACTACTACTTTCTTAATATAGTTTAGTCTTTTAGCCTAAAGTATAAGTCTTATATTACCTTACTTAGTAAGGGACTACTTACTTTATAATAAGGACACTTTATTTACTTATAATACTTTTTAATACTTTTTATTAACTAAGCTTTATAGTACCTTTTTAAGTACTATATACTTTTTATTATTTTTATTATTATAATATTTAGCTTTTTTATTAACTATTTATTAAGTTTTAAGTTATATTAATTTTATAATAAAAAAGAATTCTTATTTTACTTTTTATAGTTAGTACTAGTAACCTTTTAGTTTTAGCTAGCCTTTTTTACTAAAGCTTATTTAGTCTTAACTTTATAAGCTTAAGTTATTATTATAACTAGCCTTTTTCTTAATACTAACTTAAAATAAGTAATTTAAATTAACTTAGGTTTTTATTAATTTCTTTATTACTTATTTTTTTATAATACTTTTATATTATTATTATTATTTTTTTATTATTATTATTATTATTACTACTTAATAGTAATAGTAATAGTAATAATATTAGTAATAATACTAGTACTACTAGCTCTCTTACTATTACTATTATATTTACTACTACTTTTACTAATACTACTACTATTACTAATACTACTACTTTTACTACTCTTAAGAGCACTAAAGGCCTTACTACTACTTCCTTATTACTTTTTTAGTTTATTAGCTTTTTAAATAAAAAAAATAAAAATAACTATACTATAGTTTATTTTATTTTATACTATTACTACCTTTAGGCTATATTTATTTAGTATATAAATATAGCTAATACTAAGGCTAAGTTTTTTTACTACCTTAAGACTACTAGTAAGTATTTAATACCTTAGTACCCCTTAAGGGCCTTTTTTTACTTATATCTTAGTCCTAATTATACTATTAGCTACTAGTAATAAGTGCTTTTAGTATACTAAGATATATAGTAAGAAGTATATTTATATAAGTATTTTTATATTATTATCTTTTTTTTATAAGTAAGAGGTACTTTAGTAACCTCTTACTAACTCCTTATAGACTACTTATATTATAACTTCTACTACTTTTACTTTTAAGAACGTCTTTAAGGCCTTTTACTATAATAGTACTATATATACTAACTACTACTACTATAAGGTATATCCCTCTTAGTACTTTATAACTACCTTTTAACTAACCTCTTATATAAAAAGAGGTTACTACTACTTAAACTATAGTTAAAAAAGCCTTTTAAAAAAAAGTAAATACTACTAAGGCCTTTAATACTAAGTATAAGGCTAAAGCTAAAGAGGAAAAGTAGCTTTTTTATAGCTATAAGGTTATAGCCCTTAAGGCTTTTACTATTACTACTACTTTTCTAGCTAAGTTAGCTAAGGTAGTTACTATAGCGCTTTAGTACTAAAACGTACTCCTTAAAAAGTAGACTAAGACTATTAAGGCCTAAGGCGCCTTTTTCTTTAAGTAGGCTACTACTTACTCTTAGGTTATATATTATTCTTCCCCTTAGTAACCCCTTACTACTCCTTAGTTACTAACTTTTATTTTAGCACTTTACTAACTTTAACTTTTAGTTTAAAGGTAATATAGCCTTTAGTACGCCTAGTAAAGGTAAAAATAAAGAGGAGAAGTAGGTGCTACTACCCCCCTAGTACTCCCCTCTTTTTAGGCCTTTTTTTAGTTTTATTTTCTTTTTTCTAGCTACTATAGGCTTTAGATACCTAGCCTTTAGGCTATATACTTTCTAGCTTTAGTGCTAAAGAATAAAAAAAAAATCTAGCCTTTTAGGCTAAGTACTTACTTTTACTTAGTGTCCTTTTTATACCCCCCTAGTAACCCCCTACTTATAGTCTTACTATAAATCCTTAGATATATTTTTTTATAGCTTTTATAAATTTTTTTTCTTACTATATTTTTTTTATTTAATAAAGTACTACCTATTTTACTATAGTCCTTTATATACTACTATTTAGTCTACTTTATATATATCCTCTTTTTTTTTAATCTAAATAGGCTAAGGCTTTACTAGTGCTTTCTTAAACTTCTCTAGCTAAGATAGTAAGAATATATTATAAATATAGTACTTTATTTTTATATTTAGTTTATAGGCTTTCTTACTAAAAACTACTTATATTACTATAAAAAGTTTAAAATACTTATTTATTAGCTTTTTTAATAGTTATTTTTACTTAATAAATTTAGCTAATAATAAGACCTTTTTTTTTACCTTAAACTTAATATTTATCCTTTTTTAGTTATACTACTTCTTATAGGTCTAGCTTATAGACTTTAGTATACTAATAATAGTAGCCCTTTAGCTTCTTAGCTTCTTAACTTTTTTATAGGCTATAAAGACCTTTACTAGTTTTTATTTTATTAGTCTTATATTATAAAGGTTTTATAAGGCGTAACTTATAAGGGCTTTTACTAGTAATACCTTAGTTACTTTATACTATACCTTATTATAAATAAATTTTACTATTAAAAGCTATTTAACCTAATTATCTTACTTTATATTATAAAAGGCTTATAAGAAGTATTTTATATTTTAATTTTACTACTTTATTTATTTATTTATTTAGGGGTAGTAAGTAGTACTAAGTTTTTACTTAATAGCTAGCTAGTAGTATACTACTACTTAGAAATAGCTAGTAAATAAGGATTCTTTATTTAATATTATTACTATAGGGATACTAAATCTTAAGAATACTTTATTTACTAAAAAGGTTACTAGCTAGTTTACTATAATAGTCTTTTAAGTAAGTAAGTAAATAGTATACTTTATAAGCTTATTTATTACTACTAAAATACTATTATATACCTTACTATTAAAGCCTTTTAACTTTAGTAGCTTTATAATAAAGTTTATAGTTATATATTCTTATAGCTAGCTAAGCACTAGTAAGGGCACTAGCTTTTTATATAGTAAGTAGTGCCTTAGTTTAGTTTACTAGTATATTATATAAGTCTTTATATACTTCTTAACGTCCTTCTTTATTAACTTCTAGAAATATATTTATCTAATATATTTAAGTGTATAGTTTACTTCTAGGTAACCCCTAGCTAGCTTATTATAAAATACTACTAGTAACTTTATTTTTACTATATACCTATTAGGGATAAATAGTCTTTTATTATACTATAGTGCTTTATTTTTTCTTTTTATTTATTAACTACTTAGTTATTACTACTTTTCTAATTAGGCCTACTTATCTACTAGTTATATTATAATAATCTTATTTTTTAAGTTAGTAATAAGCTGTCTTTAGTTTAGTAACTTAGGACCTAGTAACTTACTATATCTAAACGTTATAACCTGTTTTTTAAATCTACTAAGGAAATCTACTAAGAACATACTATATACTTTTTTCTCCTCTTCTTTAGTAGGCTAGTAGTCTAGCTATTATAAGAGCCTATTTACTATATTATCCTTCTTAGGCTAGTACTTAATCTTAAAGTTAAATAATAATAAATCTTATAGTAGCTAGGCTTAGTAACTATTAAGTTAGGGCTTAGTAGCTAGGTAGTAGTACCTTAAATAGTCTATTAAAAACACTATTTAATATTATATATATAGTAAGTAGTGTCTTTAGTAAATTACTACCTTATAAATTATAAGTAGCTTTACCTCTAGTGCCTTATAATAAAGTTTTACTTTTTATAGCTTTTATAATATAAAGGCTACTAAGTACTATACTTTTTTATAAAGCTAGTATATTACTATACTAATTATAAAGTTAGATATATTTATCTTAACTTATATAAGTAACTTAAGGTTAAAATACTAAAGGATTAAGGCCTAGGTAAATAAGGCGTAAAGCTTATAAAAAGCCTCCTCTACCTTTTATATTATTACTTACTTTTTTACTACTTTAGATATTAGCCTGTTTATTAAAGGTGTATATACCTTAAAGTAGTTTTTAATAAATTACTAGTAGAATCTTATAAACCTTAGGAAAACCTAGATCTCCCTAACGCTAGTAGGGAGTAGCTACTTTACTATTACTTATACTTACTTATACTTTATAGTAATCCCTTTATTAGACACTATAAAACTTAGGAACCTAATAGACTAAGTATAGAAAATATACTTCTTAGGGTTTATA